AGAGGAGCAGAAACTGCAGAGCATCATTGAGGTGGGTGAGGAGGAGGAGGAGGCGGCTCGGAGGTAATGTAGTCCTGGTTTTGATTTGATCTTCTGTTTGAGTGTTCAGGATCTGTTGGAGCAGCAGGAGGCGCTGTGGAGCAAGAAGAGCTCCACAGTTTCTGATGTCAGATCGGAGGAGCAGAAACTTGTCTCCGTGAAGGCTGAGCACAGGTCCCACAGAGCAGGTACCGGACAGACCGGACCGACCCCTGTCCTGCAAGTAAAACTTCTGATCAACTCGTGTGTTTGTGATCAGAACTGAAACGGGTCCTGAGGGAGGAGTGGAGCAGGATGCAGGAGCAGGTGGCCATGAAGAGGAAGGAGCTCTCTGCACCGCAGCAGTTGGGCCAGAAGGATGTGAAACAGCTGCAAGATGAGCTGCAGGTCCGGAAAAGTCCAGTTTAAATCAAATCCGTCATGTTTTTGTCCATGGAGCTGATGTGTGTTTTATGAACGAGGTGCAGAAGCTGAATAGGAGGAGGAGGAAGAGGAGCAGCCAGCAGGAGCAGTGTAGACAACTGGAGACCAGACGGAGGCATGCTGATAGGTAGGACCCGTGACCCGGTTCTGGTCCAAGCTGAGAGTCAAAACCTGACCACAACTGCTTACAGGCGTCTGTCTGTGCTGGAGGCGGAGCGAAGCCACACCCACTTCATCAAATAGGAGGTGATCGTGGAGACGGGAGCCAATCAGCAGCCAGAGGTGAAATCAGAGAAATGTATTATAGTAAAAAGGATCCAATAATCAGCAGGGGGCGCTGTGATCAACCAGAACAGACACCTTCATCAGAGGTGTGAGAGCACCCCGTCAACAAAAACTAGTTTTCCTGATTCCATCATCCAGGTAATCCCAGGAGGTCTGAAGGAATTCACCTGGACCTTTCACAGTCCATCCGAGCATCAGATTCCAGTTAGAGATGACTCTGCTGTGAAAGGTCCAGGTGAATCCCTTCACACCTCCTGGGATTACCAGAACCTGGATGATAGGGAACCTACACCTAAGGAATCATTCAGCTGATGGAGACAGTACAGTCGACCTTCAGGTTCCAGAACCAAGCCCAGGCCCATCTGGAGATCTTATTGGTGGAGGGTAGGCTCTATTCACCTGAACCGGTTCTGTCGTGGACCAGTACCCAGCAGAACTTAACGTTTCCACGACGCGGTGCCTCTGGTTCGGTTTGATTTATGAGACATGTAAAGCAACCAAGTACTGCTCCAGGTTCCAGTTCTGATGAGTTTTTCATCTTCTCCTGCAGGGCCCTGCCTCCACGTGTCACCTTCCTGTCGTTGCTGTTGCCAGGTGACGGAGCAGCTGGGAGCTGCAGCAGCTGCTATCCACCTGCAGCAGGAGATGCTGAGAAAAAACAAACATTGTGTTACTAAAACTTCAGTTTGGGTCTGATCTTAAAGAGCAAGTCACCCCCAAATCAACTTTTTTTCCTGATAAACTACATAAATGTGTGTCTACATAAATGTGTGTCTAATCGTGCTGCAGACACGTGTCGTCAGTAGTTTAGCACTTTAGTGCATTTTAGTTAAAATTTTAATTTTCTGCCTAAAACTGTCGGTGTTGTGCCGTTGTCGGGTAAAAACTCTGCACTACATTTGAATTTAAATCTGCTATCGCTATTGGCTAAGAGGTAACCTAGAATGTTAGCTGGTACCATATGATGTCACAATGTCGTGAGCCTGTGTGTGTATTTGTTAGCGGCTCCGCCCTCTGTCTGCAAGGCAACAGCATTTCTTAAACAGGAAGTGGGAGTGGAGTAATACTCTGGAAGGGGGTGACTTGCTCTTTAAATCAATTATTTAAATGTATCATTTTTAAAATAAAATTCTTATTGAACTCAACGCCATTCGTGTGTTTGGATTCTGAATGGCTGAGCCTCAGCTACAAGTACACGACTCACCTGGACACGTCCATATGAACAGGTGTCCAGCAGGTGGATGGAGGCGGAGCTTTGATCCATCAGCTGCTGTCGAACCGAGTCGCTGAGCCTCGAGTCTGAAGAAACGTCGACCATGAGCCGCAACAAACAACGCAGCAACACGTCGACACGCCGCGCCATCCTGAGGAGGGTCAGAGGTCAAAAGTCAGTCACGCCCACCAGAGCTCTGGGACAGGACAGGAGACAAGTTTCCACCAGAGAAGAATTCTGAGCAAAAACTCGATGTTTGTCAGACCGTTCGCGTGGACCTGAACCTCCATCTAAAGTCCTGATCTGGCCTGCATTCCTTACCGGAATCCTTTGGATCAGGACCAGATGTTCTGTTAGGACCCGACATTAGATTCTGTCATCTGTCAGACCCGCGTGTGTGTGTGTGTGTGTGTGTGTACACCTTGGCCATGCCTCTCTGGTCATTTTCTGCAGCACTTCCAGCATCTTCAGCCGACTTATCTCCTCAGGTGGATCTTTGACCTCCAGATATCCGAGCACCACCCGCTCCAACCGCTGCAGGTGTCGGCACACAGCTACCCCCATCCTACACACACAAAACCAACATACTCTGAGAAGCTGGCGTGGGCTCCGCCCACCTGATGCAGGACTGCTCAACTAATCAAATTTTATTCTTAATTACGAGAGTTCTGAATGACTATAAAAACAAAACAAGCCAATTTGCTCCTCCCTCTTGTGGTGCTCCAAGTAGCAAATCAAGCGCTCCTCCCACAGTGTTGCCAATTTAGCGACTTTGTTGCTATTTCTAACAGCTTTTCAGATCCTATGAAGTACCTAGGGAACAACCAAGAAACATTTCTGGTGACCCTTGGCTACTTTCTGGATAAGTCGTCGACATTTCCTGCAGGCTAGCACAACACTCTGCCTGCGCACCGGACTGTCATCAGGACATGAGGAACGAGAATGTGTTGGTCGCTAAAGAAACGAGAGGCTCCTGGCTGCAGACCTCCACCGCCAGGCTGCCTCCGGTGGAGGCTCCACTGTCAGGATGGGAAATGCCCGGGATACATTACAAAATAAAACGCCAAACGTACTTACGCTTGTAATTGATAGGTTTCAATATAAAATATAACGTAAAATCTTATCAGTTATTTCTCCATAGTTCATATGTAGTTGTCATTAAACATAGTTACGGTTGTAATTTTTCAAAACGAATTAACGAATGGCCGGGGTAGGTTTCAACATAAACGCTAACATACTTCCGGTCGTCATATTTCTAAATAAAATCCCAAATGCTGTTTCGGTTGAATCGCTCTCCTCACAAACGCATTTATTTTTTAATATTATGTCTTAGATTATGACAGAATATATCAAAATGACTAGGGATGTAAGAAAATATCGATATGGCAATATATCGTGATATTTTTCCTGCGATTATTACATCGATATTCAAAAGCCGTGTATCTAATTCTTGAAAGAATTTACATGCAAACATTTGTGAATTTTCTTTTCGTTTTGTGCAATTCAATCGCCACCCACTAGTTGGCAGCAGTGTGCAACGGGCTTTGTTTCCACCATTGAAATGTAAATCCCTCCATCATGGTTCAGATACCTCATGTTAAACGTGTTACGTATCAGTTTGGACTGTTTATTGAACTTTCTTACAATAAATTCAGTTTAAAAAAAATTGCTTGTAATGTCTGACTGAATGTATCGCAATATATCGTATCATGTCCCCTGTATCGTGATATGTATCGTATCGCCAGAATTTTAAAAATACACATCCCTGATAATGACCACGTTGTGCAACAGCAAAGGAAAACACAACAAAAATGACAAACAAAACTAAGGTTTACTAAATAAATTATGAGCCCTGGCATTTTTACTGTGATTGCCTGTTTTTCTGTAAAATCACAGAAAAAGAGAGATGCTCGGGTCGAGCAGGCTGCTTCATGCGCGTTCACGCTCAGGCATCGCCCTCCGAACCGTTCTTTGAACGTTGTTCCAGCTGTGACCAAGGATATAAATGTTACAGATACAGAAGGTGCCACTGGCGGTTTAGCTCGCCTTGTAAGATTTCAGGCTTCCATGCAGGAGACCCAGGTTTGATTCTGGATGTGAACATAGTTTATTTAGTTTCTTTTTTACATTAATGGTATATTTTTTTACAGTAAGATGCCCAAATTTTTACTTGAGACTCGCCGAACGGCATTGAATTCACAGATAAAAAAGATGTGGGTTCAACTTTCATTTTGGAACAATTTTTCAAGCAAGGGAAGGGAATGATCTGAGCATGCAGGAGGACTGACCCATCATAAACCTTTGTCGGCTGTGCTGAAGAGAAAGGTACAGAACCACATTATTTAATTAATTAGCTGCACGTTCTCCTGTCCTCTGTCCTCCATGCCACACACACGCACGCGCACACACACACACACACACACACACACACACACACACACACACACACACACACACACACACACACACACACACACACACACACTGTCTCAGCTGTTATTTTCGTTAAGGAGTGTGCACGTACAGCATGCTCGCCTCGTGCACGGGCCTACCATTGAAGCTGCCGTTACGCTTTTGGCCTGAGGGGGCGATCGCGAGCATAAAAATTAAAAACTCCGTAAAGTCACTTTAAATAATAATCTTTTTTATCTGTGAATTCAATGCCGTTCGGCGAGTCTCAAATAAAAATTTGGGCATCTTACTGTAAAAAAATATACCATTAATGTAAAAAAGAAACTAAATAAACTATGTTCACATCCAGAATCAAACCCAGGTCTTCTGCACGAGAGTCCGACGTCTTACTAGGTGAGCTAAAGCACCAGTGACGTCCTTTGTATCTGTAACTTTTATATCCTTGATGACAGCTGAAACAACGTTCAAAGAACGGTTCGGAGTGAAAATGGCTGTTTTGTTGCTAATTTGCAGGAAATATCTAGAAGAAAGTTCTACAGAAAGTAGCTAAGGGTCCTCAGAAATGTAGCTAGCTTTGTCACTAGGCGTTAGGAACAGCGACAAAGTGGCACTGCCTCTCTCTCTGCTGCTAAAGCTACGGATAGCAAACGCTACGGGCGATGCCTGAGCGTGAACGCGCATGAAGCAGCCTGCTCGACCCGAGCATCTCTCTTTTTCTGTGATTTTACAGAAAAACAGGCAATCACAGTAAAAATGCCAGGGCTCATTCTACAGGACCAGGGCGTTGCAGGAGAATGTATGAAGAAGACATTTATTATTTCTATACATGTTTTGGCTGTCACACTTCCATTATGCCCCTTTAATGTTTATATGTTTTCATTTGTTTTATATTATAAATGCGCTGTATAATTCTTGCTGTCTGTATTGACACGCTTAAATGAGTTCAGCCTAACGTCTTTGGGTCATAAACTACAAGCCAGTGTATCGGCCTGTTTACTTTAGGAATCAGGAGTTGTTTTTGTGCCAGCCGGGTCCTCTTGGCTGTGACAGAAAGGTGAGGAAATCCAACACACCTCTCTATGTAGAGCAGCAGAGCCGATGCATAGATGCGTCGCAGTTCCACCTTGTGCTCCACCTCCATGTTGGTCAGGACCACGCGCAGCACGTCGTCATGGCGACAAGGTTTCCTGCGTGATTGGGAGGGGCCGAGTAAGGAGGGGGGCTTCTCAAAAACCAGCAGCAGGTCGAGCAAACAGGCCAGGGCGAGCTGGAGGGAGGAAGATGAAGCCTGAGCAGGTGTGTGTATGTGCGTGCGCGCACGTGTGTGTGTGTGTGTTACCTGGATAACAGCAGCCTCACTGGTGTGCAGGTGTTTGAAGACAGCCTGGTACAGAACTTCAGCTCTGTTGAACTGACGAAGATCTGCAGCAGGCTAAACACAGACCATCATCATCATCATCATCTGGGAGACGACAACAAGGTGACGTTGAACCCAACAAAAAGGTTCTGACCGTGTTCTGCACGATGTGGTGCAGACAACGAACTCCCAGCATGCAGTTCTCTGGCTTGTAGTGATCGTTGAGAAGTAAGGAAAGGGGGAGGAGTCGAGGGAGGTGGGGAGACAGTCCAGGGCGGCTCACCTAGGAAAAACAACACACACCTGTAAACGATGAAGAGTGTGTGCAGAAGCTGCTCAGAGCCACTTCCCCCAAAAACAACCGTGTGATGATGCTATAGTGAGAGTAATAAATATTACACATGCGAGTGGAGGTCAAAGGTCAAACTGACCTGCAGAAGAGCCCATGCAAACACAAACTTCAGGGCCTCACAGCGCTGCCACGAGTCTCTGTTAAGAACGTAAACATGAACCCCTGCGTTAGAATTTTATTCACCAAGCGTGTCGCTGTGACGAAGACCAGCCACTGGGAAGCTGGATTCACTGGTTTGTGACCTTTTAACCCTAAACCCCAAACAGTGTGTGACAAGTCTCGGGGTAAAGCTGGGTGCTGAACTCAATGGCCCCACAGATGAACTCCGTAGTGAGGTCTTGCTTTTATCAGCTTCGCCGCCTGACTCGCCTCAGACAAATCTTGATGTGGAGGCATTTGGAGTCAGTCATCCATGCCTTCATTACCTCTCGCCTGGACTATGCTAACACCCTCCAAGTCGGTGCTCCGGTCTCTGCCATGAATCGGCTGCAGGTCATCCAGAACGCTGCTGCCAGGCTCTTGACAAACACGCACCGACGTAACCGTATTACCCCTGTCCTGGAACGTCTTCACTGGCTCCCTGTCATTTTCAGAGTACAGTTTAAGTTACTGACTTAAAGCTCTCAACGACCTGGCACCTCCCTGTCTCTCTGACCTGCTCACTCCATATGTACCCACGTGCACGTTGAGGTCAGCTGACCTCCTGCTGATGTGCACGCCCCGGATGAGATGGAAGTTGCGGGGTGAGAGAGCGTTCGTGCATGCTGCCCCAAAGCTGTGGAACTCGTTGCCCATTGGAGTTGGGCAGGCTCCATCATTGGCGGATTTTAAATCTCGTTTAAAGACCCAATTCGATGATGTAGCTTTGAGTCAGTGACTTGTTTTTGGTTTTATTGTGTTCTTAGTATTCCTCATGTTTTATCTTCTGTTTTAGTTGCTTTAGATTGGTCGGGTTTTGGTTTAGCCTGTGCAGTACTCTGGGCAGCTCCCATGCTGCGTTTTAAACGTGCATGTAAATAAACTATGATATGGTTTCACTGGTGTTTATGCAGGAATGTTGCATTACTGAGGAAAAATGAGGTGTGTGTGTGTGGAGGACAGTGGACAGAAGAACGTGCAGCTAATTAATTAAATAATTTGGTTCTGTACCTTTCTCTTCAGCACAGCCGACAAAGGTTTATGATGGGTCAGTCCTCCTGCATGCTCAGATCATTCCCTTCCCTTGCTTGAAAAATTGTTCCAAAATGAAAGTTGAACCCACATCTTTTTTATCTGTGAATTCAATGCCGTTCGGCGAGTCTCAAACAAAAATTTGGGCATCTTACTGTAAAAAAATATACCATTAATGTAAAAAAGAAACTAAATAAACTATGTTCACATCCAGAATCAAACCCAGGTCTTCTACATGAGTCAGCCATCTTACAAGGTGAGTTAAAGCACCAGTTACATTTAATGGATCTGTAACATTTATACCGTAAATCCTCTAATACAGGCCCGGGCCTGTATTTGATTCAAGCTCATCAAGCTCCAGGCCTTTATTGGAAGGAGGGCCAGTATTAGAGGCAGGCCTCTGTTTCTATTTGAGCAAAATGAACTAATGGTTCGCTGGAGTTTTTGACAATTAATATTGCGCCCACATTTTCAAAGTTAAACACATTTCTTTTAACAACGGTAGTTCCTGCTTCAGCCCATCCCCCACCCCCCCCACCCGCGCAGCGGCCGCAAACTCACTGATGCGCCTGCAGCCTCTCGGAGTTCCTGCTGCTCTAAACATTAAAATAATTATTTCATTTTCTGTTCCTCACTTCTGATTACCTTCAATGGTGTCTGTTTGTTGCAACCAGCAGGTACAAAAACAAACTTGTTTTTATTTGACTATTTTTCTGTCCTGTCTGTTTATTATCTTCCTGCATCTCCTCTCAGTCCTAAAGAGAAACTGCTACCTGGGTTCATATATATTCACCTCATGAGTTACCTTTGAACTGCAGTTCTAAAAGATCTACCGACCGCAAAAACAGCGGAGTGCTCCGTGCTTGGCGGCCGCATCAGTGATCGGAGCGTCGGAGGACAAGGTGATGCGCCCCGCTCCACAGCAGCGAAACGCATCAGGCGCAAATAAAAGACAGAAAACATCAAAGGAAATGAACCGACGTGAACGATCGCCCCCGTACTTGCTTGCTACCACATTCCACCCGGCCACAATAAGAGACCGGCCATTATTCACCTCCGCCGACTCCGATACCGGCCAAAATTGGAGACCCGGCCTTTAACTGAATGCTGGCCTGTATTAGAGGATTTACGGTATCCTTGATTGAATTCAAGTTTATTTATAAAGCGCCAAATCACGACAAGAGTCGTCTCAAGGCACTTCACGTAATAAACTTTCCAATTCAGGTCAGTTCATTAAGCCAATCAGAAATAATGTTTCCTATATAAGGCACCCAGCAAATTGCATCAAGTCACTGACTAGTGTCAGTGACTATACAGCAATCCTCATACTAAGCAAGCATACAGCGACAGTGGAGAGGAAAACTCCCTTGATGACAGCTGAAACAACGTTCAAAGAACGGTTCGGAGTGAAAATGGCTATTTTGTTGCTAATTAGCAGGAAATATCTAGAAGAAAGTTCTACAGAAAGTAGCTAAGGGTCCTCAGAAATGTAGCTAGCTTTGTCACTAGGCGTTAGGAACAGCGACAAAGTGGCACTGCCTCTCTCTCTGCTGCTAAAGCTACGGATAGCAAATGCTACGGGCGATGCCTGAGCGTGAACGCGCATGAAGCAGCCTGCTCGACCCGAGCATCTCTCTTTTTCTGTGATTTTACAGAAAAACAGGCAATCACAGTAAAAATGCCAGGGCTCATTCTACAGGACCAGGGCATTGCAGGAGAATGTATGAAGAAGACATTTATTATTTCTATACATGTTTTGGCCGTCACACTTCCATAATGCCCCTTTAACTCTGATGTCGGCTAGGGTCATTAGTGGAAACAAGTCAGGTAAAAAAACAAGTTTTTTACTAATCTGTGTAAAAAAAGAACAAAGTGATGGATTATGAAGTTGCCCACAGAACAAATATACAAACGAAAACCTGTAAATGTTTTATGTACAATCATGTGTTTGAACCCTTCTGGTATACCGACATTAGCTCGATGATGGGTTCCTCTGTGCCTGGCTAAGGAAGTGTGTGGTTCATTAACATTAGCCACATCCCCCCATGTTTTAGTAATAATGTCTCACTTGTTCAGCTGAGGCTGCAGGACATCCAGGACTCTTCCCAGAATCCCTCTGTCCTCTCCGTCCTTGTCCCCCATCAGGAGGTGGGCGGAGTCTCTCCAGCCACCAGCCCTGAGCAGCGCCTCATGAAGGCGCCGTGCAGCCATTCTGGAGGTGGCTCTGGTCCACGCCTGATCCTTCAGCATGCAAGCACACACACAACCATTCAGACATCCTGAAAGGCTTTAAACTTCTCCAGCTCACGACATCATGCAGGTAGGCGCTCACTCACCTGAAAGTGTGTGACAGAAAACACACAGATGGTCGGAGCCACAGCAAGCAGCAAATCACTCAAATCTTCTCTGGCCCCGCCCCCATCCCTCCATTTCTCCAGCAGCGCCGTGAGGACAGCGCTTACTGCTGTAGCCCGACTCGGAATGCTCTGATAGGCTGCAGCGCTCAATGAGCTGCAGTCATCCTCACAGATTGGCAGAGCTGCACAGCCAATCAGAGCGCTGATTACAGAGCTGTACGCCGTCTGAAGCTCCACCAATCCACACCCCTGACGATCTGACGATTGCGAAAACAGCCAATCAGGATCTGCAGCCCGGAAGAGCTGCTCCACTTGTCCAATCAAGGAGCTGCTGTCGGTGGATTGGAGAGCAGCATAAATCAGCTTCTCTTGCAGCAGAGAGAGGAGCTCTGTGATTGGGGGAAGTCGATGAGAGGGGAGGGGCGTCTCTGAGGAGGAGGAGGAGAGATGAAGATCGTGAAGGAGAGAGGAAAGTTTCATCCTGAGGAGAAAAAAATAAATAAAAGTATGATGTAACGTACAAAAGAGTCTATTTTTCACCATCCAATTGACAAAACATAGCTTTTCATGGCAGCACCATCTGGACCCCCAAAACAACCCTTTGATCACTTATTGTTCTTCAACGCAGACATAAACAATCTCTCCCAAGGTCCTGCACTCTCTGTGCAGAAGCCAGACTGCTGATTCCTCACCTTCAATAAAGATCAAACCTACTTGAAGCTCCTACAGGACTTCAGTTACACGTTAAACAATCAGATGTGATGAATGAACAAGATGTTCAAGTCAAATGTTTGAATAATAAGTGCTTAAACCAACGTTTTAGTAATAATAAGGTTGTTCTCTTACAATGATCCATTTCAGATCTTATGATCAGTATGTGTTGATTTAACGAGTTAATCAATATCTACACTCACCACATTACAATAAGATACTCATTAGGGTTAATATTCATCTCACATAAGAGTTTAAAGGTCATCATTCACAAAGTGTTAAAACCTCTTGTATCTGAAGAGGGCGTGGCTTTCTGGGGGATGTTGGTAAATACTCAGAAACGTGTCAAATTCTGGTTTGCCAAACTTCGCCAAAACTCATAACATTGTGGTTTAATAAAACAGGAATTACTTCTCGATTAATTCGTTTTCCAGCTGACTCCCGATTCGGCCAAATCGGGAAAGGAGCCTCTTTTTGAAACCATCTCCTTTGACCTCTGGTCAAAAACCTTTCTGCGACGCTGCAAGTGATTGCAGACACAACAGCTCTTTTCAGAGCTACGTCACACCTGAGACACCTAACCTGCAGACCCCGGGTTGCATCTCATTAGGGATGGGTACCTTTGACATTTGAATCGATCCGGTACTAATTGCCGGTACCTACGAATCGATACCGGTACTTAACGGTACCAATTTTAGATACTTTTGAGTGTTTATTATTTTAATTCTCTTTTATAATTAAATATATATTTTTCTCAAAATATAACCATATTTGATAAATATCATGATAAATAACATACAACTGTTTGTATTTTAACATCGTCCTTGTAGTTTTATAAGCTGATAATTAAACTGAAGCAAACATCTTTACTATGAACTAAATTTACTGTGTATCTTCATTCCTTTTGCCGTCCTTTTTCATTTGATTTTTCCTACTGGGAAGTTAGAATTTCCGAGGAGAAAGCGAACGCACCATTAGCTGATAACAATGGTGGCAATGCAAGCTAATTTATCAAGCTAACATTATCTTAAACAGTTTATTTAGCTGCTGGAGCAGATTAAAACGATGATGTCTCACACTTAGATCGTTGTCGCTGGTTTCATCTTCACCCAATCACCCGTCACATTTAGTAAAGTGAAGCCAAACTTTAGAGCGCGTTCAAGTTCTTCTAGTCGGAAATTCAGAGTTCCGAGGAGAAAGCGAACGCACCATTAGCGAAACGGAAGCTAACATATCAAGCTAATTATATTTACCTACCGGAGCAGATTAAGATGAGAATGTCTCACTTAGATCGTTGTCGCTGGTTTCATCATCACCCAGTTACCCATCACATTTAGTGAAGTGGACCCAAGCTTTAGTGTGCGTTCTTTCTACCATGCTGCTCTGTTTACAACTCGCTCGCAGCGACCGATGACGTAACGCTCTTGCGCATGCGCAGCTGTCTAGGCAAGTTCTCGTTATGAAGGACGGGTACCGAAACGAGGCACCATTTGAAATGACGTGAATCGGTGCTCAGTCGGTACTATGGAATTTGGTCGGTACCTTAAAAAGTACCGAATTCGGTACCCATCGCTAATGCCGACTAGTCCTGGCTGGTTGCTGACTAGTCCTGGCTGGATGCTGACTAGTCCTGACAAATCCACCACACCACATCTCCTTATTCATATCTTTTCATGTATAATTTATTAGTTTAGGAAAAATTAAATTCATTTTATAAACCATATACTGACTCTGTCTGGATTAATACGAAGTGTGTTTATGATCCCTAAAGAAGCAAAGAACCCTAGAATCTTCTGATTAAACATTCAAAGATCAATCAATACTTTATTAATCCCAGAGGGAAATTAGAGTTTCAGTACACACAATTCAGAGATCAGACATACATGGGCAAGACACATGACAAGAATTGGTGACTGTGGTCATTCGCAACCCTGAGTCGCTCTACCTTAATAGAGATAAGAGGGTTACATGAGGATTGGTTCTGGTGGAGGGAAAAAAAGGCACTTCAGAGCTACTCTCCACCAGGAGGGCAGCTTTGCTCTGCAAAACAACTCCTCAGACAGAAATGCAAGACTGCATCAGGTCGTTTTTTAATGCTCCAGAACGTCAAGTAAGTAGAAACTTGCATTTTGATAAAGACATCTATAAGAAAGAAATGAAAATGTTTCTAAATGGTTTCATTAGGCAAAGTCCAGGCAGCCAGAGCCTGTCAGACACAGGCACAGAGTCTCAGGTCAGTCTCTTATAAGGACATACATTGTTGTATGTAGAGAGCTTTTTTTTCATGTCCCCCCCAAAAATTACTCTTTGAAGTTTTACTGTTTATTGTCCCCCCGACCCCCCCCCCCCCCCCCCCCCCCCCAAAAATTGAAATGGGATTTCCGCCCTTGGTGATGCAGGAAGTTAGGCAAAGCGGATTAGAAAAGAGCGTTTTTAGCTCCGATGACTTGCATTCAACAGTGTAAACAACATTAACCATGTAGGAAAGTTAAAATCTGCACTGGGAACTGGTTTAATCCACCATTATTATTATTTCACCACTAAAACAAATCTAAATGAGATTATTGTTAGAGCTTATTGTTGCCCTCTGATGCTACAAAAGTAACGATATGTTTATTTCTGTAAAATAAGCTGAATTCTATGTTTAAAGGTGACGACAAGCAGCAGTGCTGTAAACCCTCGTAGCACGCACCAAGATGGCGGCTGCCTGCCTCGCCTGCCGCGAGCAGCTTTTTTTCGCTGTTTCTTTTTCCGGACTCGTGAATCGTAACTGACCTGAGATCGGCCTGCAGGCTCTCCGGACGGTCTTCTTTCATCCTCAGCAAAACTTCGTCCAGATTTGATAGAAACGTAGAGACATGTGGACGCAGAGTCTTGACGCAGAGCCACAAACCAGAGAATGGCGTGTTTCCCTCTAAAGCTTCCGGGTGGGCTCAAGCTCACCAGCGCCACCTGCCGTTCCAGAGAACTAGCGCACTTTGGAAGAATTGAAACAACTCGGGATGTTTCATCGTGCCATCGTGTTTAACCAGAAAGTCACTGATGTATGCAGAGAGGGTCCTAACTGGAACCAACAGAAGATCCAACGTTCTTCCCGTTTTACGCTCAGAAGCTCCTAAAACCAGAATCTACCAGCAGGGCCAGACCTGGAAGAGATCCTGGGTCAAGTCTGTTGCTCCTCTGGTTTCTGTTGATGGCAAACGGATGAAAAGATTCCGATTTAGTCTTGATTTTACTTTTAAAATAAAAATTTTGGATCTGCTTGGTGGAGCAGGTAGCGGCACTGTTGCCTTGCTGCTAGACGGTTGCAGGCTCAAATCCTGGCATTTTCTCCCTGTGGGTTTTCCTCCCGGTGCTCCGGTTTCCTCCCACAGGCCAAATGCATCCATGTCAGGTTAACTGGAGAGCTTAAAATATTCCTAGGTGGGACTTGTGTGTTCCTGTGATGGACCGGACACCTGCCCAGGTGTAGCCCCGCCTCCCACCTGAGCTTCCGGAGACCCTGATGATGATGATGATGATGATTATGATGATGATGATTATTAAGCTTCTGATAAAAAACAAGTTTTTTTTTACTTCACTGTTTTTAGTGGTTGAAGGTAACTATAATAGCTTATTGCCTGTAGTGGTGATTCCTTGGTTTTCCAACCAATTTCCTTAGTGTTTTACATCCTTAAGCCGCCGCTGCACTGAAGTGATGTCTTGTACGCGGGCAAAAGAAGTCCAATGTCCAAATGATCCAACAACTGTAACTAAGCTAAATAGCTCCAACATTGCCTTTGTGTGTTCAGGGGCGTGTCCAGGGGGTGGCCCGGGGTAGCACGTGCCACCTTTGGAATCAGATTGGCCACCCCACCGAATTTCCTTTAAATAGACTTGTCCACAAAAAGCTTGGGGTAAAAAAGAATGGTGCCACCCATGCACAAAGAAGTGCACTACTTGGGCCACCCCATTTTAAAAGATCTAGCTACACCACTGTGTGTGTTTACCTGAAATCTTGTTATTTTTTCTTCTTCCTTTTCTCTGCGTGCTGCTGTAGCAAGTGGCTTCACTGTGGGATTAATAAAGTCTGTTCTATTTTATAAAAATAATAATGGTGCCGAAGCCGGTCCAACTGGGTCAGAACAGTCCTTCAGACTGGAGCTGCTGGTCTCTAAACACGTTTCTGGAACTGAACTCAGACGTTTCCCTGACGTTTCAATTCTGGGCAACATGGCAGAGGGATTAAGTGCCCATTCTGAAACCAGAGGGTTGCAGGTTTGAGCCCTACTTGGTCTGTCACAGTCGTGCTCTTGGGCAAGACACTTCACCCACCTTGCCTGTAGGTGGTGGTCAGAGGGATCGGGGGTGCCCGGCATTGTCTCTGTCAGCAAGTCCCAGGGCAGCTGTGGCTGCGATGTAGCTCATCACCACCAGTGAGTGAATAACTGGCATGTTGTAAAGCACCTTGGTGGGTTGTAGAACCAAAAACAGGCTATTTATGTGTTTTCTGTGCATCGTTTCATCTCACTGTGCGTGGAAACTCTCTCCATAATGCTCCGGATTCAGCTCTGGTTTGTTCCGGTTCTGCAGAGTGGAGACGACCCGACCCGTGACGCCCAACTCGGTCCATCAGCAGCGGATCTGAGACTCAGAAAATAAAGAGTTTTAAGAACCTAAAAGTAAAAACGGAGAGCAGCTGCTCCAGATGTTGAGTCAAGAGTGACATCAGAGGGATGTGTGTGTTTGTGGTGATATTAGCCGCAGATTAAAGCCGCTACACACGTTTAAATGATTTCTAACCTCTTATTGACTCAGCAGCACGAATCCAGATCCAACGGCTGAAGCGTTTCCTGCTCAGGTCCACAAACAAAACCACATCAGAGCTCAGACACAAAGGACCTCCACACCTTTGATGGTCCTGCAGAGCGTTTCTTCGGATTTCAAAGCAGCTAGTAGGAAACGCTTGCAGTTTGAAGCTGCTGTGATCTGCTGTCAGAGGAAATTATTAACACACACACACACACACACACACTTCCATCTTTTTGTGGCACCACAGGGAGTTTCCTGTGGAGGGCGCTCCAGGGAGAAGTCTACATAAAAGCCACCAAATGGGCAGAGTTAGGGCCACTAAAAGGCAGTGTCCACATGAAAGGGAAAAAATGTGTGTGTGTGTGTGTGTGTGTGTGTGTGCGTCAGCTGAATGTCGATTGGTTGTAAATGTTAAACGTTTTGTTGACAGATGACAGGTTTAACTGTATTTGAAGACTAAAATAATGCTTAATATTAACCAGCTGATTAATAAAACACACCTGAAGACTTTCATTGGTTTAGACTTTACTTGATTAGATGATGACATCATCACATTTTACCACCAACCCATCAGCAGCTTCTTTGAATTCATTCATTTTTATTTTGGTTCACAATCAGAAACTCACCAAAGTGTATGTTAGACAAGAGATTTAGTGAAGACACAACACACACACACACACACACACACACACACACGGCTTTGCAACCTAACTATCAGGGATGTTTGAAAAGAGTCGGTAGCAGCCGTGCAGACAGGACAGGAAGTGTAACCATAAAAGTAAAACGAAGACGATGTCAGGAGGCGGAGCTTTTGTGTCACTCGTCAGTTTCTTCTTCACTGCAGTCGTTCAGAGTCAACTCACATCTGTCCTGGTGTGTGTTGTAGTTCTTCCTGTGCATCACACACTCCTGGTCAATGATGGCCTGCAAAGCGCACACACACACGCACACACACACGCACACACACACACACACACACACACACACACACACACACACACACACACACACACACACACACACACACACTTTACACACCAGCTTTTTCCAGCAGTAGCTGGTTGACTATCCTGTCTCCAGAGGAACCAGGCCGTTGGAGGCGGTGACGGCAGGAAGCGTGTTTCAACCTTCCAGCCAAACCAACCAAACAGCAGATCATTTCAATCCAAAGTGCATCCCAGTTGCTAGCTCCATCCAACCTAGCTAAAAACCTGAAGGGTTGTGATCGAAGACTGGATATCCCCCCAAGGCGCTTTACAACACAATCAGTCATTCACGCGCTGGTGGTGATGAGCGACGATGTAGCCACAACTGCCCGGGGCGCACTGACGGAGGCGAGGCTGCCGAGCACAGGCGCCACCGGTCCCTCAGACCGCCACCAGCAGGCAAAGGGGATTACGTGTCTTGCCCAAGGACACAACAGCAGTAACAGACTGAGCAGGGTTCGAACCTGCAACCTTATGATTACGGGGTGAGCACTTAAACTCTGTGCCACCGTCACATGGGACAGCAGTAGCTCAGGAGGTTGAGCGGGTTGTCCGGTAATCGGAAGGTTGCAGGTTCGATCCCGGCTCCGACCAGAGAATTCTGCTGTTGTGTCCTTGGGCAAGACACTTAACCCACCTTTGCCTGCTGGTGGCGGTCGGAGGGACCGGTGGCGCCTGTGCTCGGCAGCCTCGCCTCCGTCAGTGCGCCCCCGGGCAGCTGTGGCTACATCGTAGCTCACCGTCACCAGGGCATGAATGACTGATCGTGTTGTAAGGCGCCTTGGGGGGTCGTAGAACCCAAAGAAGGCGCTACTCAAATACAGGCCATTTACCATCGTCACATTTAACATATGAAAACAACAAAGTCAGCGCCAGCAGTGACCGTTCAGAACACCGCGGTGCGTCTGGTCCCACCCCTGGCCTCGTGAGTCAGATCTAGTCCACTGGTGTTAGTCTGACTGGAACGCCTTCCAGCTACTTGAATCCTTTTGCAACTGTCGTTCCTCCGCTATCTAAGGATGGTCAACTAGCCGTGCCGTCACCACGCTCAAAACAATCCAGACTCTTTTCCGCCATTGTTCCATGAAGGTAGAATGCAATTCTGATTTATCAGACCAGCTCTCGACCAGTAAACCCTATTTTACTCAGTCCCCTCTGACAGAACCTGGCTGGAGTCCTTCCCTCTAGTTAGTTTATTATTCAGCATAATAATAATAACAATTATTATTATTATGCTGTAGATGATAACTGATCTGCTTCACAGGGAACCTAAAAACATGGAAACATTAATTATTTGTGTGGTATCAGTTGAAGTAGGCTGTGATTGTCTATTGTGACCATGGACGTAATTTTGGGGGGGACAGGGGGGACATGTCCCCCCCACTTTTTCCAAAGTCAAGTTTTGACCCCTGCACTTTTTACCATCCAAAAACAACATTACGCTATATTAAATAGACACTGGTTGAGCTCTAGGACCACGCGGAAAACAACCGTTTGTGTTGAAGCCTGTTTCCCATCAGAGCATACTGTAAAGATACACACCCCCCCCCCCCCCACACACACACACACACACACTTCTAAAGTGAAAATTACGTCCAAGATTGTGACTTAGATGAAGATCAGATGACATTTTATGACCGATTTGTGCAGAAATCTAGTATTCCAAAGGGTTCCCCTGCTTTTTCTTGTATCTGTATCTGTATTTACCATTTTCTCCTCTCGGACAGCTGGGCTACGTAAAAGGAAGCAGAGCGGAGCGTACAGGATGTTGATTACTCCAATGAACACCATGAGGCAGGGGAAACCCACGGCCTGGACCAGAGAACCCCCTATGGATGGTCCTGAAACACCAACATCAACAAAACCAACATTCAAATTAAACGATTTAAATGAGGTCCTCGTTTTCCATCAGAGTGCGTTACCTATGGCGAAGCCCATGCACAGCGCCACATCAGCGATGGCGTAGACACTGCCATAGACAGAGGCGTGGCGAATGTCAACCAGGTAACCCATGATGGCCATCATGGAGGAGTCCACCATTCCTGATGGACCAGAAAACAAGATCATCGTGGTCCCTCACAGGAAACTAGATGAATTAAATCAGAGTCAGAGCAGATGTTAAAGGTCACCAATAGCGAAGCCAAGACCTCCATTTGGTCCGATCAGACCATGGATGCTGGTGGCAAGAGGGACCTAGAATACACACGTGCACGCACACACACACACACACACACACGTGTTTGAACTCAAATTCATCTCCTACATCCTATAGATGAAATAGATGATGGATAAGACGCTGAACAGCTGGCGAACAGCTGGATGTGTCACTCACACACAGCAGACTGATGCCAATGATGAACATCCCCAACATGGAGCAGAGCCACCTGCAGACACAGACATCCTTCAGTCTCCTGCTGCTAGCAGAAACCAGCATGGTCAGCTCTGAACAGGAGTCCTCTTTCCAGAAGAGTTCGTCGATGTCTTTAACAGCTGAACTGATTCCCAGCAATCTGCTTCTCCGTGAATCCAAAACCTGCCTTCAGATACGACTCCAGATACCACTGGAACCTGTTTGAGCAGCACTGTGGTGCTGACTAAAATTAAAAGCTACAATTACTGCTTAACGTTCATTAACACTGTAATCCATCTATGCTTTCATTTATCTGATGGCTTAAAATGTGTTTTAATGGAAAAGAGCAGATTTGAGTTTTGTCTCCTTTGAAAGAAAATATTTATTTTATTCTCTAAATATGGTGCTGACAGGAAGCCGGTGGATGGGAGAATAAAACGGATCCAAGTAAAGGTCCCTGAGGAACTCCACATGTGAGGACATAAACCAGTCTAGTGCTGTACCCACAATGCAACAGTGCTCCTGCTGGCAAATGAGGATATTGAGGTCAGCTCTGTCAAAGGCAGCAGGACTAGAATTCAGTAGAAAACTGATTGTTCATGTTGTTTGACAGAAAAGACACCTTTGTCTAGTTTTGCTGTCAGAGGGAAGGTCTGATCCAGGTGAGAAACGGGTCTAATAGATTATCGATCCACTCACCGTCCCATTTTATTGGCTAAAACTCCAAACAGGTTCGTTCCAATCAGGTACGAAACGCTAGCTGGGAGGAAGGCCATACCTGCAACACACACACACACGAGAGAGAGAGAGAGAGAGAGAGAGAGAGAGAGAGAGAGAGAGAGAGAGAGAGAGAGAGAGAGAGAGAGAGAGAGAGAGAGAGAGAGAGAGAGAGAGAGAGAGAGGTTAGTAGGCTAGGTTAGATTATCCAGAGTTACCTCTGTAGTTATGCTGCTATAGGCTTAGGCTGCTGGAGGACACACTGACCACTTTTCACACTCTACTGCTTTCTTCTACAATCTGCTCTTTAACTGTATTATTTCCTGCTATTTCAGTTGTTAACTTTATTTTTCCTCTAAGTGTTTTTCTCCCCAGAAGAAGCTACAATGATGTTCTGCTGAGCTGTGGTGGCCTCATGGAGGGGGCCATCGTCTAGCACACTGCTGCTAACCACTTAAACATTCTCCCTCTCCTGATAATAACTTTTTGCTTTCCTTGACGTTGGATGTGCTACTACTAGTTTACCCGTTTAATTATAGATCCACTAGGATAAATACAATAAAGTTTATCTCTCGCCAAATACAATATTTACTAAGAAATCACAATGTAACCTGTGTGTGTGTGTGTGTGTGTGTGTGTGTGTGTGCGTGCGTGCGTGCGTGCGTGTGTGTGTGTGTGTTCTGTCTTCTCGATCCCCAGTGAGTCATGGAGGATGGCTGCTTATACTGAGCCAGGATTCTCTGGAGGTTTCTTCCTGTTAAAAGGGAGTTTTCCTCTCCACTGTCGCTATATGCTTGCTTAGTATGAGGATTGCTGTAAAGACTCTGACACTAGTCAGTGACTTGATGCAATTTGCTGGGTTCCTTATATAGGAAACATTATTTCTGATTGGCTTAACGAACTGACCTGAATTGGAATGTTTATTATGTGAAGTGCCTTGAGACGACTCTTGTCGTGATTTTTTATAAATAAAATTGAATTTAATTTAGTCGTTTGGTTATCAGACTGGATCAGCTGTTCTAGGTCAGAATGATTCTGGGTCATACCAAGTTGCCACTTCGGGGAGCACATGGTCTGCATCATCCAGATGGGCAGTGTTGGCTCCAGGATGGCCACGCCCATGTTAGCGAAGCAGAGCGATCCTGAAGAGAGACCCTGATCAGTAGCTTAACCTGCCTCCACATGTGGGAGAAGATAAAGCTGCTTACCGGCACTGACGAGGATGTATGGATCTTTTAATAGAGTCATTAGAGGCGGTCCCTCCACACTCTGAAATAAATACATGATACTGGTCACTCTGGGCCAGAACGGCAGGAATGAACTCAGAACTGGAATAAAATACTAAAATGGAACAAACTGATTTCATGGAGCAGAAACCAAATTTTATTTAAATGTCTATCTAAGACCACTAGTGGTCAGAAGTCACAGGATGAATCAGTTGTTTACTGGTGAAAGGGTAAATAGATCCAACAGCTGATGTTGTCAAAACAGCGTTAAACTGGACAAGAAGCTGTTCAAACAGGCATAGATCAGGAGCTCTAAACTAGATCAGTATGCTGGATTGGAAAATAAGTTCTAGACTGGATCAGAATCAGGACTAGATCTGGTTCCACGGGGTTTGATGTGATCCAAGGATCCAGAATAGGAACCGTTCTCCAGGTGGACTCACCCCAGGAGAGATCTTCGAAGGCTGCAGGATGCACAACTGCAACGCTGAAACACATAGAATCACCAACATCATTGATTGGTTCAGCTCCATACCCATCTGCAGGGGGCGGAGCTTGTTTCAACAATTAACGGTCTGAGCCAACAAGCCACCTCTCACCTCCATCAAACACAGCCAGGAAGGCCAGGATCAGGAAGGGGGCACTCTTCCCCACAAAGTCATACATGACACTGCCAAACGGAGCTCCAACTGAAACACACACGCACGCACACACACACACACACACACACACACACACACACACACACACACACACACACACACACACACACACGCGTAAATCATTTATTTTGTTTGTTTCAGCCTAAAGTTGATCCACCTAATTTAGTCATTTACACATGAAAGGTAATATGTTTAAATGTTTAACCAGCTTGTAAGCAACGGTGGTGCAGAGGTTAAGTGTCTACTTCATTATCAGAGGGCTGCAGGTTTGAGCCCTGTCTGTCACAGCCATTGTGTCCTTGGGCAAGACACTTAATCAGCCATGTCTGCTGGTGGTGGTTGGCGACAGCCTTTTACAGCCTGGCTTCCACCAGTGTGCCCCTGGGCAGCATCGGCTACATTGTAGCTCATCACCACCTGTGTGCCATTTATCATTTGTAAAGATTCGTGAGGTTTATGTGAAGTTAGAGTTAGTACCATCTGACTCCAAACCTGTCGAGTCATTAGGACCTCTGGTTCATTTGTTTCTATTTAAATTAGAAGAAAAAAAAACTTACAAAAAATCATAAATAGAGCATTCAAAGTGAGAGGAGAACCAAAATATAAAGGGAGATCTCCAATGATCTTATATACTAATACAGGACCACATGGATCTGAACATAGTCCACATGACTGCACCGTGGATGGGACTCAGAACTCAGATATCAGAAACTAAAAACGTTGGATGAATGTGTTGTATGTCACTCTACTGCGTTCTGACACAAACACAACCAATGATTCTGGTTGTGAGACACAAAAGGACAAGCAGGAGTGTGTTTGTTCTTACTCAGAACTCCCATTGCCAGTCCTCCCAGTGCAATGCCCATAGCCACACCTCTCTCTTCATCATCTGTGTACACACTGGCCAACATGCCAAGACCTAAACACATAAAGACACTGTAACTGTAAAATAGCGTTAATATATCTGCAGTCGGGGTTGCATGACTTAATTTTTTTAAAGTCGACAGTCAAGTAATGAAAATCGAGTCGACTTCGACTAGTCGTTGATGACGTCATACACCTGAAGCGGCACGGGGGGGGGGGGGGGGGTCGGTAGGTTCGCTGGAGTTTTTGACAATTAAAATTGCACCCACAGTTTCTAAGTTAACAAATCTCTTTTAACAACGGTAGTTTCTGCTTCAGCCCTCTCTCCCCTCCCCCTGCGCAGCAGCCGCAAACTCCTGCCTGCAGCCTCTCGGAGTTCCTGCTACTCTAAACATTAAAATAATTATTTCATTTTCTGTTCCTCACTTCTGATTACCTTCAATGGTGTCTGTTTGTTGCAACCAGGCACAAAAACTTGTTTTTATTTGACTATTTTTCTGTCCTGTCTGTTTATTATCTTCCTGCATCTCCTCTCAATCCTAAAGAAAAACTGCTACCTGGGTTCATATATATTCACCTCATGAGTTACCTTTGAACTGCAGTTCTAAAAGATCTACCGACCACAAAAACAGCGGAGTGCCGCTGTTCGTCAGCCGACTACAACGGAACCGTTTTTGCTGCGGAGTTCGTGCTGGAGTGGAGCGGAGATAGTGGAATTTGGGGGGGTGCGTCACCGGAGGACAAAACAGGTGATGCGCCTCACTCCGCAGCAGCAAAACGCATCAGGCACAAATAACAGACAGAAAACATGAAAGGAAATGAGCCGACATGAACGATCGCGTGTTTAATTTGTTATGAGGTGGTGGCAGTGCTCAGGACGCAGATGTCTGGAGCATGTCAACGATCAGAGCTTTGCATGCGCAAACTGGTTAAGATTAGGATGGGGGTGAGGGGAAGGTAAAATTGCAAGAGGGAAAAGGTCACAGTTTGGTTAAATGTCCGTTTTACCACCGTTGTCAGTACAGACGCTCTGGCACAGCGCGTCGCCTCCGCCTCCCGACGCGCAGGGGCTCATCACCTGCTGTCTTTTCCGAGGACTGCATCTTGTCAGTCATTATCACGTGACAGCGACTAGTCGATGACAGCCATAAAAAGTCACTACAGAGCCGTGAAGTCGACTAGTCGACTAGTTCATACAACCCCTAATCTGCAGTACATCGTAGCACATCTGTAACACACCTGTAACACATCTATAACACACCTGTAACATATCTGTAACACACCTATAACATATCTGTAATATGTCTGTAACACACCTGTAACATATCTGTAACACACCTGTAACATATTTGTAACACACCTGTAACATATATGTAATATGTCTGTAACATCCATGTAACATAACTGTAACACACCTGTAACATGTCTGTAACATCCATGTAACATAACTGTAAGACACCTGTAACATATCTTTAACACACCTGTAATGTGTCTGTAACATGTCTGTATCATCCATCTAACATCCATCTAACATATCTGTAACACACCTGTAACATATCTGTAACATATCTGTAACATGTCTGTATCATCCATCTAACATCCATGTAACATAACTGTAACACACCTGTAACATATCTGTAACATCCATCTAACATATCTGTAACAGATCTGTAACAGATCTGTAACACACCTGTAACATATCTGTATCATCCATGTAACATAACTGTACTACACCTGTAACATATCTGTAATATGTCTGTAACATGTCTGTATCATCCATCTAACATCCATGTAACATAACTGTAACACACCTGTAACATGTCTGTATATCCATCTAACATCCATGTAACATAACTGTAACACACCTGTAACATATCTGTAACATCCATCTAACATATCTGTAACATATCTGTAACATCCATCTAACATATCTGTAACATGTCTGTAACATGTCTGTAACCCTTCTGTAAGCTAGTTGTAACATCCATGTAACATAACTGTAACACACCTATGTTTTTTTATTTTTATTTTAGTTAACTGCTTTTCATATCATCACATAGTTTTCCTTTTATATTAATTGACACAAAAATAATTTAATTTAACACGATCCACAACACAGCAGCTCAGCTTTTCCAGTTAAACATTCCAAGAACTTTAAGCTAAACAGCTTCTGATGCTGTGATAAGTTTGTTATTAAATTGAATTTTGAGATCAGTTTTTTTTCTGTTTCTCATGGGAGACTGTTGAAAAGCCCTCTGATGACAGGTTTTGTTGGTGTTTGCTGTCGCTTTTGACATGTTGGAGCACCGACCTGCTACGGAGGAGAAGGATGATCCGATTCCTTGAAGAGAGCGAGCGAAGAACAGCAGAGCGTAGCTTCCTGAGAAAGCAAACACTAACACAAACCCACACTGTCAGGGAATCTCCAGGAAATGCTGCTGTCAAAGTGTGTGTGTGTAACAACTCACTGATAGTTGACACAAACATGATGATAAAGCCTGCAAACATGGGGATGTGGTAGCCGATCCTATTCAGAAACAAGCACGAAGTTTTATTAATGAATGAATGAGTTAATGAGTTAATCAGCCAGAGACTCACCTGTTAGTGAGAGGGCCGACGAACGGGTTGATGAGCAGCTGGACCAGAGCTTTGGAGGCAAACAACAAACCAACTCGAACATTTTCCTCCTCCAAGAAAACACTGTCCTGCAGACAGGAGTCCTGAAGGGAAGGGGAGGAAACAAGGAAACATGCTGATCAGAGGAGAGGACAACAGTGAAGGAAACAAGGAAACACGCTGATCAGAGGAGAGGACATCAGTGAAGGAAACAAGGAAACATGCTGATCAGAGGAGAGGACAACAGTGAAGGAAACAAGGAAACATGCTGATCAGAGGAGAGGACAACAGTGAAGGAAACAAGGAAACACGCTGATCAGAGGAGAGGACAACAGTGAAGTAAACAAGGAAACACGCTGATCAGAGGAGAGGACATCAGTGAAGGAAACAAGGAAACACGCTGATCAGAGGAGAGGACAACAGTGAAGGAAACAAGGAAACACGCTGATCAGAGGAGAGGACATCAGTGAAGGAAACAAGGAAACACTGTAATCAGAGGAGAGGACATCAGTGAAGGAAACAAGGAAACACGCTGATCAGAGGAGAGGACATCAGTGAAGGAAACAAGGAAACACGCTGATCAGAGGAGAGGACATCAGTGAAGGAAACAAGGAAACACGCTGATCAGAGGAGAGGACAACAGTGAAGGAAACAAGGAAACACGCTGATCAGAGGAGAGGACATCAGTGAAGGATACAAGGAAACACGCTGATCAGAGGAGAGGACATCAGTGAAGGAAACAAGGAAACACGCTGATCAGAGGAGAGGACATCAGTGAAGAAAACAAGGAAACACTGTAATCAGAGGAGAGGACATCAGTGAAGGAAACAAGGAAACACGCTGATCAGAGGAGAGGACATCAGTGAAGGAAACAAGGAAACACGCTGATCAGAGGAGAGGACATCAGTGAAGGAAACAAGGAAACATGCTGATCAGAGGAGAGGACATCAGTGAAGGAAACAAGGAAACATGCTGATCAGAGGAGAGGACAACAGTGAAGGAAACAAGGAAACACGCTGATCAGAGGAGAGGACATCAGTGAAGTAAACAAGGAAACACGCTGATCAGAGGAGAGGACAACAGTGAAGGAAACAAGGAAACACGCTGATAAGAGGAGAGGACATCAGTGAAGTAAACAAGGAAACACGCTGATCAGAGGAGAGGACATCAGTGAAGGAAACAAGGAAACACTGTAATCAGAGGAGAGGACATCAGTGAAGGAAACAAGGAAACACTGTAATCAGAGGAGAGGACATCAGTGAAGTAAACAAGGAAACACGCTGATAAGAGGAGAGGACATCAGTGAAGTAAACAAGGAAACACGCTGATCAGAGGAGAGGACATCAGTGAAGGAAACAAGGAAACATGCTGATCAGAGGAGAGGACAACAGTGAAGGAAACAAGGAAACACGCTGATCAGAGGAGAGGACATCAGTGAAGGAAACAAGGAAACACGCTGATCAGAGGAGAGGACATCAGTGAAGGAAACAAGGAAACACGCTGATCAGAGGAGAGGACATCAGTGAAGGAAACAAGGAAACACGCTGATCAGAGGAGAGGACATCAGTGAAGGAAACAAGGAAAGACTGTAATCAGAGGAGAGGACATCAGTGAAGGAAACAAGGAAACACGCTGATCAGAGGAGAGGACATCAGTGAAGGAAACAAGGAAACACGCTGATCAGAGGAGAGGACATCAGTGAAGGAAACAAGGAAACACGCTGATCAGAGGAGAGGACATCAGTAAAGGAAACAAGGAGAGGGAGCAAAGGATCAGTGATGTCATCATCCACCTACTGAACTGTTGCTGGTGTCGTTGGCCTGCCGAGGTTCTGTGGTGGGCCCGATCTGACCCACTGATCCAGTAAGGGTGTTTTGGATCCCCAGCAGGCTGAAGGTGGTATTATCAAACAGGGACACCAGTGGAGGTAGGTGTGGGTTCTGCTGTGGCTCTGAAGCCTGCATCAGTGTGCTGACACTGGGTGGAGGCAGTAGTGGAAGCTGGGTGGTTTGTGGACCCGGTTCAGGATGCTCCATGGCGTAGAGGAACGTCGGAACGATAGGAACTAAAGCAATATTGATTCATTATCCAGGTACCAGCAAGTGTTTGTTAAGACCCAACTAGACTTCCTGTTCTGGTTCTGAGGAGCTGAGGACTTTCTAGAACACAAGAGGAAAGTTCCTCCTCCTGCCTTTAAATCAGACCTGGACTCTGATTTCAGATCAGCCCAAAAAATGATTCTGAATCTATTAAAACGTAAAACTCAAACCCTTCAGAGTCGTTTTGGTTCCTGTGTGAACCTCGGGTCCTCTTTGATCCTGAAGGGCTGCAGATGTTTAATGTTCATGCTGAAAAGCAACACGTCAAACGCACCCAGATGCAGAACCGAGCGGTTCATCTGAGAGGAAACGCGAGGAGACAAGCCCGAGCAGAGAGGTCCGATTTAAAGTTCAGGTCCAGAAGGTGAAGACTGTGTGTGTGTGTGTGTGTGTGTGTGTGTGTGTGCGTGCGCGCGTGTGTGTGTGTGTGTGTGTGTGTGTGTGTGTGTGTGTGTGTGTGTGTGTGTGTGTGTGTGTGTGTGTGTGTGTGTGTGTGTGTGTGTGTGTGTGTGTCACTCACCAACCACTGTCAGCAGCATGTTGTCGAGCAGCAGCGCGACACACACCACCACCAGGACGAGTCCGGGAGAACCTCGGCCCTGATGGAACCACACCATGTCTGCAGAACCAGAACCGGACCTGTCTCAAATCAGTAACATAAAAACTATCCAACACATGTTAACAGCTGCTTTTTGCCAGAACCTTGGTTCTTAGTCATGCCCCCACTTGACTGAAAAGGTGGGTTTGGACCAGAACCTGTCCTGGTACTTTAACAGCCTCAGAGGACATCTGGAACCTGCAGCATGTTCTCAGCATCATAAACACAGAACCGCCTCGTATCTCATCTGATCTTTAATAAAAGCCCAGAACAGCCTCCAGGTATTAGTCTGAATATTATTATTCCCCTTTTTGTCGTTCAGCAGGTTTATTCACCAACGCAAGCTGACCAGTCCTGACTGGTTCCTGACTAGTCCTGACGGGTTCCTGACTAGTCCTGACTGGTTCATGACTAGTCCTGGCTGGTTGCTGACTAGTCCTTGCTGGTTCCTGACTAGTCCTGACTGGTTCCTGACAAGTCCTGGCTGGTTCCTGACTAGTCCTGACTGAATGCTGACTAGTCCTGGCTGGTGCCTGACTAGTCCTGACTGGTTCCTGACTAGTCCTGACTGGTTCATGACTAGTCCTGGCTGGTTGCTGACTAGTCCTGGCTGGTTCCTGACTAGTCCTGACTGGTTGCTGACAGTCCTGATGGTTGCTGACTAGTCCTGGCTGGTTCCTGACTAGTCCTGACTGGTTCCTGACAAGTCCTGGCTGGTTCCTGACAAGTCCTGGCTGGTTCCTGACTAGTCCTGGCTGGTTCCTGACTAGTCCTGACTGGTTCCTGACTAGTCCTGGCTGGTTGCTGACTAGTCCTGACTAGTTTCTGACTAGTCCTGGCTGGATGCTGACTAGTCCTGACTGGTTCCTGACAAGTCCTGGCTGGTTCCTGACTAGTCCTGACTGGATGCTGACTAGTCCTGGCTGGTGCCTGACTAGTCCTGACTGGTTCCCGACTAGTCCTGACTGGTTCCTGACTAGTCCTGACTGGATGCTGACTAGTCCTGGCTGGTGCCTGACTAGTCCTGACTGGATGCTGACTAGTCCTGGCTGGAGCCTGGCTAGTCCCGACTGATGATGACTAGTCCTGACTAGTCTTGGCTGGTTCCTGACTAGTCCTGACTGGATGCTGACTAGTCCTGGCTGGTGCCTGACTAGTCCCCTCCCGACTGGATGCTGACTAGTTCTGACTGGATGCTGACTAGTCCTGACTGGTTCCTGACTAGTCCTGACTGGATGCTGACTAGTCCTGGCTGGTGCCTGACTAGTCCCGACTGATGATGACTAGTCCTGACTAGTCTTGGCTGGTTCCTGACTAGTCCTGACTGGATGCTGACTAGTCCTGGCTGGTGCCTGACTAGTCCCGACTGATGATGACTAGTCCTGACTAGTCCTGACTGGTTTCCGACTAGTCCTGACTGGATCCTGACTAGTCCTGGCTGGTGCCTGACTAGTCCTGGCTGGTGCCTGACTAGTCCCGACTGGATGCTGACTAGTCCTGACTGGATGCTGACTAGTCCTGGCTGGTGCCTGACTAGTCCTGACTGGATACTGACTAGTCCTGACTGGATACTGTTTAATCCTCGCTGGTTCCTGACTAGTCCTGACTGGATGCTGACAAGTCCTGGCTGGTGCCTGACTAGTCCCGACTGGATGCTGACTAGTCCCGACTGGATGCTGACTAGTCCTGACTGGATGCTGACTAGTCCTGACTGGATGCTGACTAGTCCTGACTGGTTCCTGACTAGTCCTGACTGGATGCTGACTAGTCCTGGCTGGTGCCTGACTAGTCCCGACTGATGATGACTAGTCCTGACTAGTCTTGGCTGGTTCCTGACTAGTCCTGACTGGATGCTGACTAGTCCTGGCTGGTGCCTGACTAGTCCCGACTGATGATGACTAGTCCTGACTAGTCCTGACTGGTTTCCGACTAGTCCTGACTGGATCCTGACTAGTCCTGGCTGGTGCCTGACTAGTCCTGGCTGGTGCCTGACTAGTCCCGACTGGATGCTGACTAGTCCTGACTGGATGCTGACTAGTCCTGGCTGGTGCCTGACTAGTCCTGACTGGATACTGACTAGTCCTGACTGGATACTGTTTAATCCTCGCTGGTTCCTGACTAGTCCTGACTGGATGCTGACTAGTCCTGGCTGGTGCCTGACTAGTCCCGACTGGATGCTGACTAGTCCCGACTGGATGCTGACTAGTCCTGACTGGATGCTGACTAGTCCTGGCTGGTGCCTGACTAGTCCCGACTGGATGCTGACTAGTCCCGACTGGATGCTGACTAGTCCTGACTGGATGCTGACTAGTCCTGGCTGGTGCCTGACTAGTCCTGACTGGATACTGACTAGTCCTGACTGGATACTGTTTAATCCTCGCTGGTTCCTGACTAGTCCTGACTGGATGCTGACTAGTCCTGGCTGGTTCCTGACTAGTCCTGACTGGATGCTGACTAGTCTTGGCTGGTTCCTGACTAGTCCTGACTGGTTTCCGACTAGTCCTGACTGGATGCTGACTAGTCCTGACTGGATGCTGACTAGTCCTGGCTGGTGCCTGACTAGTCCCGACTGGATGCTGACTAGTCCTGACCAGTCCTGACTGGCTGCTGACTAGTCCTGGCTGGTGCCTGACTAGTCCTGACTGGATACTGTTTAATTGGTTCCTGACTTGTCCTGACTGGATGCTGACTAGTCCTGGCTGGTGCCTGACTAGTCCCGACTGGATGCTGACTAGTCCCGACTGGTTCCTGACTAGTCCTGACTGGCTGCTGACTAGTCCTGGCCGGTGCCTGACTAGTGCCGGCTGGATGGATATCGATTGTTTTAGATGCTTTAACCTGTTTCAGTAACAAAATCATCCCACCAGGACTCTCCTCCATCTCTCCCACTTCCATCTGTGCCCCCCCCCCACCCCCCACCCCCCCATTTTGAAGCCAAATTGGTCTTGATGTCATTATCCTCTGAATGTTTTGTTCACCGGAAAAACCCGAGGACTGTCAGTCAGAAACTAATGATGTTTAGTTCTTTCTTTCTTTCCTTCTTTCTTTCTTTCTTTCTTTCTTTCTTTCTATTATCTCTCTATCTATCTATCTATCTATCTATCTATCTATCATCTTTCAGAACTATAACTGAATCACAAAACAACAGCTGGATGCAGAAAACTGAAAAAATTAAATGAAAACAACAAACTGAACAAAAGAAAATTTAGCTCAAATATTTAAATCCAAATGAAACAATCCAAAATATTCCTTGTAACACAACAGAGACATAAAAGAACAGGTGAGTCCTACCTGACGATGAGACGGTCTGGCTTGTCTCTGATCAGCTGTCGGAAGATGGCATATGAACACAGGCGGGGGGGGGGGGGGGGGGGGGGGGGGGTTCCTCCTCTTAATCCGACTGATAAAAACAGACATTATGAGAACAGACTCTGACCGGTGTGTTTCTGTTTCTGAGTGTTTCAGGGTTCAGGTGTGTGTGTGTGTGTGTGTGTGTGTGTGTGTGTGTGTGTGTGTGTGTGTGTGTGTGTGTGTGTGTGTGTGTGTGTGTGTGTGTGTGTGTGTGTGTGTGTGTGTGTGTGTGTGTGTGTGTGTGTGTGTGTGTGTGTGTGTGTGTATGTGTGTGTGTGTGTGTGTGTGTGTGTGTGTGTGTGTGTGTGTGTGTGTGTGTGTGTGTGTGTACCAGTAATTGTGTGTGTCTGCTCTCTTATTGAAGCCAGGAACATCCTGCAGATCTTTTATCACTCACACACATCTGGGCTGAACAGCAGGATGTTCATGTGTGTTCATCCCATGACGTCTCTCACACACACACACACACACACACACACACACACACACACACACACACACACACACACACACACACACACACACACACTCCATAAATGATATGAGCCCCAATCGTGCACACGTATACACACGTGTGTGTGTGTGTGTGTGTGTGTGTGTGTTTGTGTGTGTGTGTGTGTGTGTGTGTGTGTGTGTGTTAAATTCATTCCCGTCTTTACGTCACAGATGATCTTTCTCCTAAACACCGGTGTCTGTTGCTGACGTTGTCTTCCTGTAGGCAGCTGCTGGTTTAAGGTCATAGGTCAAAGGGGGGTGGCCCAGGGGCATCAGGATGCCCCGAGGCCCCTAGGAGGCACATGAGGAGGCTTCTGGGGCCTCAGGGCTTAAATTAGACCTTGTTATGGTTTGATAAACTTAAGGGCTGGATCAGATACCTGGTGGGGAGGGCTTTATGAGCTCCTCCTTGCTGAAGGAGGAGGGCCCCGTGCACCGGGGCCCCGTGCAAGTGACCGATGACTGGACCTACGTTCCTGGGGCCCGGCTGGGCTAAGCTTGGGCCAATTACACGGCTTTTTAAGAGGATCGGGAATGGTTTGGTGCTTTGTGGATCTGTTTGCAGACCAAGGCAGAAACCTAAAACTGGCATCGGGGGGGGGGGGGGGGGGGGCTGATGCTTGTAGAAGAGGATAAGCGGTACCAGGTAAATGTGGGTGGACTCATCTCTGAAACCCACGTCTCTACGCGGGGTTTGGCTCTGGAGCTGCAGCAGGTGAGAGGCAGATGGCCGGGGTGGGGTTCTTGTTGGCTCCCAGACTCTATGTTGGCGCTCACTCCGGGGAAGGAAAGGCTCATGGGCAGCGTGGTGGCGCAGTGGTTAGCACTGTTGCCTCGCAGCACGAAGGTTGCAGGTTCGAAACTCTGCTCGGCTGCGGCCTTTCTGCGTGGAGTTGCGCGTTCTCCCCGTGCATGCGTGGGTTTCCTCTGGGTACTCCGGTTTCCCCCCAGATCACAACACGCCCTACAGGTTATAGATTGTACGTCGCTTTGGATAAAAGCGTCTGCTAAATAAATAAACATAAACAAACATAAACATTGTCCTTCAGGCCGCCGCTGGTCACACCTGAGCTGAAGAAGGGTGGGGAGATGATGGTGTGGGCTGACCCGCTTCTGGATAAGTGGCTGACGAAGAGGCCTGGTTCACCTTCAGAAGCTACCTGGTCGTGGTTTTTGACTCTGCAGCTCTGGAGCTGTTTTTCTGTTTCTGCCAAACTCCTGCTCTCCAGGCGGGAACGAGACGCTCCAGTTATTCGGGAAAAGTCTTGATCTGAGCTTCACCTGCTGGATTGTTTTCGGTGTCATCATTGGTTAAATCAGATTTAATCACCTGTAAACAGTCACACATCCTCCCGCCTGAGAGACGCAGCCTCAGCCCTAATGAGCCTTCATCCTGACCTTTCTAACCACATGAAGTAAAACCACACACACCTTCAAACGCAGCCCCTCTGACAGCTTTACCCGTCTCAGGTCTCCAGGTGTGTTCTAATCTCAGAGGTGTCACGTATCAAACCTCACCTGAGGCCGCGGGGCTTCCAGGAAGGAAGAGGAGGTTGACTCTGTCGACTGATGCGGTCGAGCTTCAAACACGGCGTGAAAACTTCTGAGACTGAAGCGGCTGTGGGGGGATGGATCAGAAGGGAGGGAGAGGCATAAAAACCAAACGCACCTGAAGGCAGCAGGCAGGAGGAGCTGAGCCGTGAGGAGGATTTGGTCTGAAACCCGGTCCAAAACATCCAGAGTCCACATTTAAAGCTAAACGAGGCAAAAGGCGGATCTCATTGGCCGAGCAGATGATGTGGACGTACCGCAGCTTCCTGTGTGTGTCTCTGGTTTGTGGTCTAGCTCTGGACTCCAACACCATCAGATCCTCTAAAGAGGCGACGCTCCAGAACTCCGAGCTGCAGGTGAGGCAGAAGCTTCCTCCTTTCTCCTCTTCCTCCCATTTGGCCATCGAGCACAGGTGCTGCTTCTGTCTGAGGCAGATTTAGGTGAAACCTGCTGAACGCACGAGTCCACAGATCAGATCCTACAGCCTCTGGGAGAAATTCAGTTATCACTGCAGACCAATGTGTTTTCCCTCGTAGGCAAATCAAATGAATTAATCTGATGAAGGTTGTTTAATAAGAAAATAAAAGTGAGTTTAATCTGTGATCGGCTGAAAGATTTTTTTCTCTTTAAGCATCTGTAGGTTTGAAAAGGTCTGAAAATCACAGATTCAGTTCACTTTACCCAATTCAGTCTGTAAATTAACGTAAACTAATCGTAAAGGAGACACTTCGACTTTTTCCTTAAGTTATAATAGTTCTACGGTCAAAACAAAACATGTTTATGAAGTTCTTTACACTGAATCCTTCTCACATATCAGCTGTTTTGTTCTTGAGAGTTTCAATACCTTCCAGAATGAGTCGCTTCAGGGCTCTGTCACTTAAAGAAAACAAGTGGGAGCCGGCCACACCCACCTCTTGCCGACTCAGGCTGCAATAAGCTGAGAAGCTCTGATATCTGGGAGGGGCTCGGAGTGGAGCCGCTGCTCCTCTAGCATGTGAAAGGTGGTTCTATTCTAATTTCCCCATTTGTGACATCACACATTGGGATATTCGGAAACGGCTTGTTTTAGGTACAATTCCTGAAACCAAACACTGACAGAAAACAGATGGCCAGGTTATTTTCTTGGAGTGTTTGTAGAGGCAGTAGAGAACCACATGGTCTTCTGGTTCTGACCAAATTTCTTTAGGGAGTTTATTTGGACCTATTTTTTTTTTCCAGGCCTAAGTCATGATACCAGAACTTTTGTGAAAAATTATTCAAAGACAGATAAATACACCTAACTCAAAGGATGAGCCAGTCTGATGTTCTGTCCACGTGTCGTTCCAATCAGAGGGGGGGCTGCAGTAACCGGGCTCAGAGGAGACCGACCAGCATGGACCGACACCAGAACTCGGACAGATATGCAGATGATCGTGGACTCAACCGGACCAGAGGTGAGTCAACACCAGCTCCCACAATGCACTGCAGCAATAGGGCCCGCCCACTAACGCCTTTGTGTGCGTTTCAGCTCCAGAGATGTCTGGATGTGTGCGGTCGGGCGACTGTGCTGCAGGGCTCTGCTGCGTCCGGTACCTGACCGGGAAACGGTGCCAGAGCATTCCCGTGGAGGGCGAGGCATGCCTGCTGCGGGGGCCCACCAAGCTCAGGAGGAACCTGGGCCGCTGCGACTGTGCCGCCGGCCTCTCCTGCGCCGCTGTGGGCCGAGCCGAACCGGGCAAAAGCAAGCGCCAGGGGGTGTGCGTGACCAGGCCCAAACAGGCCCAGAGGAAGACGAGACATTCTGGGAGGAAGAGGACTGAGGAGCTGCGCTGCTGAAGAAGTCCAGAGCTGATTGACTCATTTTGGTTTTGCGTCTCTGGGGTCACACGGAGGCGATGGGTGTCAGACCCTAACCCAACCTCTTCACGGGCCTTCTCAAAGCCACTCTCCTAAAACTATGCTGAAGGAAACCCAATGGGCGGGGCCAGGTTGGGCATGACAGCTCACCACGCTCCTCTAGGTGGAGGAACACCAGAACCCGCTGATGGGTTCTCCTGAAGCTTGACAGAACTGAAGAACCTGCTGGCTGGTTTCATTCCCAAAGTTCTCATCAGGAGTTTAACTGTCCCAGGAACAGCAGGGTCACTGTAACCATGGTAACACAATTGCACTGAGCTCTCCATTAAATTGTTTTTTTTTTAAAACTTCTAAGATTCATTGTCATTTAATAAGTTGTCCAACAGGCGAAAGCTCAAGTTTTACATCCGGGTCCCGGCTTTAGTTTCACCAGGAACGGTTCTTTTATACACGTTTTATTCTGGAGTTTAGAGTTTGAGCAGAAATTCATTTACAACCATTTAGCCATTCAAGTTCTTGTATCCAATTTAATCTAACAGGCAGCTGGAAACAAATCAAGGCAACTTTAAATTTATTTATATCCACTTTCTGGATTCAATAAAAACCGTTGGGACTTTGTGGAAAAACGTTTATGCAAAAGAAACTTCTGAGAGGCAAAGTCACAAATGCAGAAACATGATTGAACAGAATACAAAAAGGGAAGCTGAATCTCCATCTGTAGGAATGTTGATTTATGGAGGGGCGGAGCCTATGAGAGCACATCTACAGGATGAGCTGGGGGGGGGGGGGGGGGTCCCACAGCCACTCAGAGCTGCCCACAATCGGCGATGACAATCTTGGCCTTGGGTTTTCCTCCTGAGGTGCCATACGATTCCATCTTCTTCACCACATCCATCCCTTCCACCACTTTGCCAAACACCACATGTTTCCCATCGAGCCTGCAGGCAGAGAGCAGGGATTAGCCATACACCTTCATTCATTCAGGAGCTAGCTGAACATCAGCCCAGAGGTCTAAGCAGAACTTGGCCACAACACCAGCAGAAAGCTGGAATGTGCAGTTTGTGTGTACCATGATGTTTTCACTGTGCAGATGAAAAACTGGGACCCGTTGGTGTTGGGGCCGGCGTTGGCCATGGACAGGGTACCAGGTCCGGTGTGTACCAGGTTGAAGTTCTCATCTGCAAACTTTTCGCCATAGATGGACTTTCCTCCAGTTCCGTTGTGGTTGGTGAAGTCTCCTCCCTGCCCATGAAGAGGGGAAATGCTAAACTTAGGTCCAACACCCACAACAGCTGAAACACAGCAGCTGCCACTAGGCAGCATTAGCGGGAAAAGTAAAAGCTGGCTCGGACATGGTCGTCTCTGCTGAGCAGAGCGTTGCAGAAGATCCTTGAGACCACCAACATGAGTCAGGCCAGCTGGTTGCTCACCTGGCACATGAAATCAGGGATGATGCGGTGGAAGCTTGAGCCCTTGTAGCCGAATCCCTTTTCGCCGGTGCACAGAACCCGGAAGTTCTCAGCAGTCTTTGGCACGACATCGGGGCGAAGCTGGAAGAGAACAACATCGATTGGTGAAAAGTTTAAGAAGCCAGAACAAGTTTCCCCAACTTCCCCACAGACCCACTTAATCAAGCCCCGACCACATCCAACAAATCAACCCGAATTCTAATCCGATGACCCAGATTTGGACCTCACGTTCAATCGAACCGTTTGACGGTCAGTCAGCTCAGGAACCGGCCCAAAGGTTCTGTTGACGGAGCGTTGCACCATTTCCTCTGGGCACAGCAGCACCGCAGTAGGAGGGTGTGCGTGAATGTTTGCAGAACACCAGCCAGCCCGTTACCGATTCGGGTGGAGAAGGCACCCGAATCGGTAACGCCCATGAGAAGCACAAAATGGCCGGGCCCGTTTGCGGTTAGCGGTGGCTAACGAAAACCATTAACACCGTAAACGAAGACGGCAAGAGGCTCCGTTAGGCGTGCCTTCAATATCCGCAATCCAGACGATGCCCCTCCCCCTCCCTAACGCCACCAGCTCTGCCGAACTTTCCAGAACGGGTCTCGGCCTTAAAAAAAAAGGCCACACCGGTACCGTCAGGTTCAGCTACGGAGCTCCGTATGCGGTACTCTACGCAGCGCCATACCGACCTGTCAACGGAAGTTCCAGATCAACTCAAACAGGGGCTGAAATCGTAACCAGTTCACTCGTTCAAAGGGTTTCGCGGGGTTGTTGCGTGAAGGCCGCGTGGTGCTGCAACAAAGAGCCACGCGCTTCGCGAGACCGCGTGACGGCAGCTGCAGATTGCTACGGTCTACGCGGCGCTGCGGATTTACCGGAATTGCGGAGTTAATGTTCTTGGGGCGGCAATTCGCGTCGAGCACGTGCACGAGCCGCCGCTGATCATAACAGCGCAGCTACCGCTAGCAGAGGCGACTGCAGCACACCGCCGGGTATCCGAACCGAGCTCCCGGCCCACGTACCTCCATCACGACCCGGCCCAGTGGGCTACCGTTGGCGGTGACATCGAAGAAAACTCTGGGCTTGGCCATTTCAGCAAGACGACGTGAAGCAGCGAGACTAAAGACTCTTCCGGCGAGGGACTCGGTGGGCCACAGGAAACCGAAAAAGATGGAGGACCGGATTATTAAATTTATATAGAACTTGATGGGCGGTGCACAAGCCCAGCCAGCCAATCAGCAGGGCTTATTGTTTGATTGACTCCCAAGTTAGCGTATCAGCATCAAAGCGGCGAACGACGCCGTTTTACTAGCTTCGCATATTCTGTAGTGCGTTTCATTCCTACCCCAGAACGAACCGGGAAGCCAATGACCGAACAGTTTCCAGCCACCGTCCATGAACACCGCCCACCTCAGCGTACCGGTCCGACAAGTTTGAGCTTTCTATTCCCAGAGGAACACGCGCCAGCCCCGCAGTAGTGGTAGCGCGCGCTGCCAGGTAGAGCGCGCGATCAGGGCGTGGCCGCAGGCGCTCACAGTGTAAACGCTTCATGGGGTGTGTTTGGTGTTTGTTTTCAACATGCTGGTGGTGAAGGCAGGAAGTTGGTTCACAAATAAAATTACAACCCAACTTTTAGACTGATTCGTTTTGACATTTGATGCAGGAGCTTTCGAAACCTGACGTCATCAGCGTTTTATCTGCAGAGTCATAAAACACGAGGAACAAAATCCAAGCCAGGACACCCGAGGGTCCACTCTGACTCCGCCCATCTCAGGCTGCAGCTGCCAGGGTAAACCTGGGTCAGATGGTGGTGTTCCAGTTCCTCCAGACTGGTTTCATCTGGAGGAAGAAACCGCCTGTTGGTACAGTCTCCATTCAGCTCAGAAGATCATTGCTCTTTTTTCATCCTGAGCCGAGAATAATCTTCAGACCACAATTAAGCTTCATGCTCTACATTGTCAATCATCCGGGAGATGTTCGAAGTAGACCCGCTGCTCCTCCACGTCAAGAGGAGCCAGTTGAGGTGGCTCGGGCATCCATTTACGATGCCTCCCGTCCCGGACGTTGAGGTTTTCGTAGCTGCCATATTTGATCGTACAGCCTGAACAAGTAAAACGAATGTATATTTTTAGATTTATCGTTTTTTAGACAATCTTCATGATTGTAACAGTAACGATTATAATAAATGTATTTTGCAGTTTTCTACTAAGACTTCTATGGAAAACAGGATCCATATTCAATCACTTCATTGATTCTCTGCATGAAAATAAAAAAATACGTTGTTATGTACCTCAGTAATAACCTGGCCTGCCAGACTCGCCCTCTGTCCATTCCACACAGATCGCACATTCCCATAAGGAAGCATTGGCGTGGCTACCTCAATGACTTCCTGAAACTTTAAACTATCAAGGGTTAAACAAAGACCATAAATTGTTTTAATTTGTCCTCTCTTCCTTAGTTTGTTGACCCCCCTGTGTTGTTTCCATGGCGATGAGTTGACCTACCACCTCTCTGAAAGGCGTTAGGATCTTTGGGATGCAGGGAACAGCTCATTCCCAAACCCGACATCCCATCTTGGAGTCTGACTAAACGCTGATTCGGGCGTCGTTGCGTCGAAGCTCAGATTCAGGAGGAGCAATGTGGTTTTCGTCCTGGCCGTGGAACAATGGACCAGCTCTAAAGTTAAAGTCCCATTAGTTGTCACACACACTGATGTGTGTGCGAAATTTGATCTTCGCATTTGACCCATCCCCTGGGGATGGGGTGAGCTGCAGACACGGCTGCGCTCGGGAACCATTTGGTGGTTTAACCCCCCCAATCCAACCCTGTAATGCTGAGTGTCAAGCAGGGAGGCATTGGGTCCCATTTTTTCTAAGTCTTTGGTACGACCCGACCAGGAATCGAACCCTGATCTCTCAGTCTCAGGGCGGACACTCTACCACTAGGCCACTGAGCTGGTCACCTATACCGTAAGGGCGATCCTGGAGGGTGCGTGGGAGTTTGCCCGACCAGTCTACATGTGTTAAGTGGATCTGTAAAAGGCGTTTGAACCCGTCCCTCGGGGGGGCCTGTGGGGGGTACTCCGGGAGTACGGGGTACCAGGCCCTCTGATACGGGCCCTTAGGTCCCTAGTCTGCATTGCCGGCAGTAAGTCGAGCTCGTTCCCAGTGACAGTTGGACTCCGCCAAGGCTGCCCTTTGTCACCGATTCCGTTCATAACCTTTACGGACAGGATTTCTAGGCGCAGCCAAGGTGTGGAGGAGATCTGTTTTGCAGGCCCGAGGATTTAATCTCTGCTTTTTGCAGATGATGTGGTCCTGTTGGCTTCATCAGAACGTGATCTCCAACTCTCATTGGAGGGGTTCGCAGCCGTGTGTGAAGCAGCTGGGATGAGAATCAGCTCCTCTAAATCCTAGACCATGGTTTAAGCATCTCGGGGTCTTGCTCACAAGTGAGGAAAACATGGAGCATGTGGATTGGTGCTGCGTCTGCGGTGATGTGGGCATTGTACTGATCTGTTGCGATGCCGAAAAGCAAAGCTCTCGATTTACCGGTCGATCTACGTTCCTACCCTCACCGGACACGAGCTTTGGGTAGTGATTAAAAGAACGAGATCACGGATACAAGGAGCCAGAAACGAGCTTTCTCCACAGAGTGGCTGGGCTCAGAGAGACAGGGTGAGAAGCTCGATCGTCCGGGAGGGGCTCGGAGTAGACCCGCTGCTCCTCCACATCTAGGAGCCAGTTGCGATGGCTCAGGCATCTAGTTAGGACGCCTCCTTGGTGAGGTTTTCCAGACACGTCCAACCGGGAGGAGACCTAAGGGAAGACACAGGACACGCTGGCGATTCTATGTCTCTTGGCTGGCCAGGGAACGCCTTGGGATTCCCTGGAAAGAGCTGGCTGGAGTAGCTGGGGAGAGGGAAGTCTGGGCCTCCCTGCTTGAGCCTGATTCATGCTTCTCCGTCTGCATTAGTGCGGAGACACACAACGTCCTTGCGGGCCTGCCGGAGAGCTCCGCAAAGACGGACGGAGTCGAGCTCTCTTTTCTAAACATCCGTCAGTCGAGACGGACAACGCAAGCTTGTGATTGGTCAGGGCACCGCTGTCATCTACACCGAGGTGGCGAGCGCATGAAGAGGTGGAGGACGAGAGACAAATTTGTTTGTGTTAAAAAGTCTCTTATATACAAAAAAACACAATATAAACACACTATCTTTGACCAGATACATGACAGGGTACCACAGAACAGCGCTACGCCCTCTGCTGTCCTGGCGGGGAATTGCTTTGCAACACTCCCAGGAGACGGAGAAGTATGAGGGCAAAGTGTCTCCATCCGTGTGTCTGTCCCTTGCAGAGCTGACAGAGAAGCATGAATCAGGCTTTAGGCTGCTGCCCCCCGCGACCCGACTCCGGATAAGAAGCTGAAAATGGACGGTTCAGTAATGAATGAAATTTTTTGGAAAACCTGGAGCGGATCAATGGAAACAACCCACCTTCTCTAAATTCCCTGAGACTGTGAAAAATTCTTCCTTCTTCAACATGAAAGGTTAATGATGCGATACCCTGTTGGAGCCAGAACCTGGAGCTGAACCCAAACACTCGGAACCAGCAGACTCAGAGACGTTCCAGTGTGAGTTTATTAAATTACAAAGATTAATAATCTCATTATTCATTTTACGGTGACTCAGCAGAAGCTGACGGACTCTGTCAGCACTTTACAATAGACGGAACCACGATGGACGATGAGGTGGACGAAGATGAAGCCTCACATCACGGGAGACAGAACCGAGTCCAAACGAGAAAAAGTTCAAGAGACGGAGGAGGAAAACCACCTCCAAGTTGGACGTGAAGCCAGAGCTGCTGATTGGCCGAGAGACCCTTCTGGTTTTAAAGCCAAAGGCTCTTTGGATCCAGGATGGCTCCGGTTCTGATTGAGAACCACTTGGTTCTGATGACCACAGGGAGGAAATGATCAGGGATCAGAGTTCGGCGTTCCAAATGTAGGTCCGGAACAATAACAAACCAGAACCAGAGCCAGAAAGAGGACTGAATCCCAGAGGAATCCTTTAACCCGTCTCCACCTGCTGCGACAAACAGAACCCATTCAAATGGTTCAGAACGCACAGACGACCCGGTTTCCTTCAGAGGGTCCAGAAAGCTTCGACCGGGCCAGCACAGAAGTCATGGTTCTAATGGGCCGATAAGGAACGAAGAATAAAAGTTCAGATAAAAACAGTAAAATAAATCCACCATCGAGTTCTGCGTCACTAAAACGGGTTCTGTGTGTAAAAGCGGTCCAATCTGCCTGGCGCGTCTGGCCCGGTCCAGGCCAGTGGCGTCCGGTCCGGATCAGTTGTTCTCAAACAGAGACAGCAGGTCATCATTGTTGTTGGGGAGGTCCGGCGGGCCGAGGTAGGACAGCAGCTCATCCGGGTTGGTGAGTTCTGGAAGCAGCTGCGGAGACAAACGGGTCAAATCGGTTATCAGAACTTTACCGACCCACAAACCAGGTTCTCACCCAACAGCTCATTACCCCGTACGTCTCAGATACACAGGGTCCTGGTCCCACCCAGGTTCTGATGAACCGGGCCTCATCAGTTCTGGGATCTACCCGACCACTGAAGCCTGACATCAAGAGTGAGAGCTCCACCTGGACTGAGTTTGTTCATCCAGAACCAATCTGGACCTGAACCTGCTGTCGGGTCGGGTCCTACTTACATCTAGAGACGGTTCTGGAACATCCGCAGATCCCCCCAGCCCAAAGGAGCTGTCGCCATGGAGACGAGGATTCTGGCTGCCGCGGGGCATCAGCTGACCGCTGCCATGGACACCCTGCGACTGCTGCTGGGACAGAGGTGCACCATGGGAAGTGGAGTCCAGACGGCCTGACATCTGAGAGGAGAGGAGATGGGGTGAGGAGGTGTAACAGTTCAGGAGTAAAGGGGGGGTGGGTGGGGGTGCAACAGAGGAACGGATCGAGATGAAGAGTACCTGTGGTGCCAGCGGGTGGGGCGGGGGCTTGTCCGGGGTGAGGAGAGCGCTGGAGAACTCCGACTGGTAGGAGAGGGGAGGAGGGCCGGGGGAGGAAAAGTTCCCCATGCTGGGAGATCCGGGTCCGCTGAAGTCTGAGAACGGCGCCGACGAAGCTGGAAAGGAGGGAGCTGAAAGATGAGACACACAGATCAGAACCGGTGAGGGCGGGTTCTACAGAAACGGTTCTGACAGGAGGGAGAACTGACCTGCAGAGGGGAAATCCGGCGTGTTGCTGCTGCCTCCCCCAGGCAGGGAGGGGTAGGGCATCGGAGAGGAGGAGGGCGGAGCCGATGTGCTGGAAGGGGTGGGGCCAAGGGCTGCGATCATCTCCATGACACTGGGAAGGACCATGTGGCTCGGGCTGAGCGTCTTGCAACGCTTCAGAACCGGACCATCCGGCTCCTCCTTCACATGGACGTCGGGTTTGACCGGAACAGGCTTCCAGCTGCAGACCGGGTCGATGGTGATCTCCTCGTAGTCAGAGCTGCGGGGTGGGGTGGGGTGGGGGTGGGGGGGGTACAGTTAGCTAAAAGGGTCGATCTGAGAGCATCTTAATCTCTGGATCAGAACCAAATGCAACTGGACCACAGAACCACAGCCATGGACTGGGCCAGACTCGATTATGAGACAAATAAAGGTTCCTACTTTTGGACGTAGACGAGGATTCCCAGCATGTACTGGTCTACTTCCAGTCCCTCCAGCAGTGCCGTTTTACTGCAACACAAACAGGTTAGCGGCAGGTTCTGTTCTAGGTTCTGATCCACTCTGAGCAGGTGGTACCTACTTGCACACGGGACACCTCCAGGTTCCTCTCTCACAGTTGAGTTGCAGGTACGACTCCAGGTCAAAACACTGAAGAAAGGAGAGAAAGTCTTCATGTAACTCACAGCTGCACCCAACCGCTCTAGCTCCAAATGGTTCTGGACCAGTTCTGGCTCCGCTGGGGCTCAGGCCTTTACACCCAGATCCAAATGTCTGGGATCAGGATCCGAGTCACAACTGGACCTGTGGTTCTGGTCCACCAGGACATCGTGTAGGCAGGTTTCTATCCACAGGTCTCCGGAGCTGTGATTGGCTGCTGCTCTCACCTGTATGTGTCTGCAGTCATGACCTCTGGCGGGAAGCTGGATGCGTCGGAACGTGATGGGACATTTTAAGGACACTCTGATGGCCGTCTGCTCCACGCCGTCCTCTCCGTTTAACCCGGGGGTCCCGGGAATTGACCCGCTGCTGAAGTTCCTTTTTACTGAAAAACATCCAAACAGAACCGAGCCTGAGCCACCAGATTTCTTGTTTCATAACTGATGTGTGTGTGTGTGTGTGTGTGTGTGTGTGTGTTTTGGGGGTCTTACTCTTGGTGACACAGTGCTCTGCTGGCAGCAGCCTCTTCTTCATCAGACCCTGTAGGACTGAGCGAACGGTTGGACGATGGACTAGCTGGAGGACGAACAGGTGAGACTGGAGACATGAAAATTAGTTAGAGCCTGCCTGGACTGGGTGTGTGTGTGTGTGTGTGTGGGTGTGTGTGTGTGTGTGTGTGTGTGTGTGTGTGTGTGTGCGTGCGTGCGTGCGTGTGCTCCTACACAGCAGCAGGCGGTGACGGTGATCTGGATGGTGTTCCTTCCTGGCTGGCAGACGTGTTTCAGGTACAAGGGTTTGTGGGAAGTTTTGTTGTCGCCCCGTTTGATGGTGAGGGGAGTGGCGTTCACGCTCACCTGAGGAGGAACCACAAACGTCAGCTGATCTGGGTCTGGTTAAAACCTCGAGAGTCAAAGGTCAGAGGTCAGACCTGGACAGAGGCGGGCCAGTTGGTGTTCATCTGCCGGTCCTCGTGGTGGTAACACTTAAACTGGAGCTCCAGGTCTGGTCTGAAAACAGAGACTTGTTAGTGTGTGTGTGTGTAAGTGTGTGTGTGTGTGTGTGTGTGTGTGTGTGTGTGTGTGTGTGTGTGTGTGTGTGTGTGTGTGTGTGTGTGTGTGTGTGTGTGTGTGTGTGCGTGTGTGTGTGTGTGTGTACCTCATGATGAGCGTTTTGTAGACGGAATCTCGCAGCTGGAACACGTGGTTGCTCACAGCCAGGTTGTGCTCCAACCTGAAGGGCTCCAGAACCACGCCGTCTCGGACAGGAAACGTCAGCCGCAGGTCATCGCTCGGGTTACCTGGGGGGCAGGAAGTCAAGACATTTAGAGGCCAGGGCCCTCATCTGTCAAACGTTCGTAGAAACCGTCCTATATTCCCTCCTGCATGTGTGCACGAACAGTAAAAACACTGATTGATGAAACGTGCGGTGGGCTCTCGTACGCACGCTCCTCCGCACCTGTGCCCTCCCAGGTGCTCGTGTCTGTTCACCATCATTTACATACAGGAACGCCTTCAATTTACCATATTTGGTCACGCTACGTCCTCAGCACGCGAGGAAATTCCCAGTTTTTTTTTAATAAAAAATAAATAAGAAATACTTTATTGACAATGAGATCAAGACACTGACTGCCAACGCGCGAAAGAACCAAACAAGTAGCCGAGGTTATGAACGCGGTCGGGACAGAGGAGAGGTTCCCGTCAGAAATAAATAAATAAATAATGGTTTTGATCAATCGTAGCGTAAGTTTACGTTTTAGGAGTCGTTCTGTTTGGAGTTGAGCCTGATTCATGCTTCTCTGTCTGCGTCAGTGCGGAGACACGCAACGTCCTTGCGGGCCTGCTGGAGAGCTCCGCAAGGACGGACGGAGTCGAGCTGTTCTTATATTTAGGAACATTTTCACGCACAGGTACTAATTGGTAAATACCAAATCACTCCCACGCACGAAACACGCACAGATCTGTTGGTAAGTACGGTTGATCGACGAGGAAGCCGCTGCTGCTGCCGCCATCCTTTTGAAAACGCCACGCTGTAGAAGACAACAAGGCACCTCCCGTGCATCCTTGGTGAGTTAGCTAAACGGCTAACAAACGGAGGACAGATGCCTCCGTAGCACATGAACATTAGGATACGCCTCGACAGTTCCTGATGATGCATCTCCTAGGCAACCAGGGTGGGACCATGGCATCGAGGCGAGGTTCCTTGACATTGAGAAACACCCCTCACACTTCCTGTGACATCATCAGCATCATACTAAAACACTCAAGAGGCTGTTCCTGATATTAATCAGCCTCGTTAGCCGATTTTTACATTGTTGTCCTGATGAGGACAACGTTGGGTAGAACATGTTTAGAACAGATTCAGGGCGCAAGTTCTTCACGCATTAGTTTGACGTCACGGAAGTGGCAGGATCAGGTCCGGCAGGGTCTGAGTGGGTTAAACCCGTCCCATGTGGACTCACCTGTGTGTAGTGTGCCCGTAGGTGTGGGAGGGACCAGGCCAGCCATATTGGGCTTGATGTCAGGCAGGAAGGAGGATGGCATCGGCTTCACGTCACTGTTGCCTGGCGACATGTAGGGCGGGGCCATGGAGCTGCTGGGGGTGATGGGAGGAGTCCGGTTCCCGGGAACGGGGGAGGAGGGGTAGTTCGGTAATCCCCGTCCAGGCTGACAAATGCGGAGAAAATTTTCATTCAGATCCAAACTAAAACAAAATATCTTCAGGAAATGATTCAACGTCATTTGAACTGAAACTCTACAAGGAGGATGAAGTGATACTAAATCTGGACGGACCAGCGGTGATCAGATCAGTTACATCTGTGATCGGCTCGTCTCAAACAGGTCCCTGATCTCGGCATCTCTACATCTGGCCACACGACTCGTTCAACATGCAGCTCGCTCGTTTGCTCTCGATCTTTAAGGTCACCAACATAAACATGAAGTGTGTTACCCCTGAAAGCTGGTTGTAGGTGCCGTAGACTCCACCAGCGCCCCCTGCTGTCAGCGCGTTTAAACCCCCAGCCGGGCTGTTGAACTGGTCCTGCTGCTAAAAGACGGGTTACAGCCAGTCAGCACATCAGTTCAATCACGACTCTAAATGTCTGAAGCACCACTCACCTTGTAGTACTGCGAGCTGGGGGCTCCAGAGGGGGGGTACTGCGAGAGGGGCATTTTGTGACCTTGATAGGAAGGGGAGGAGCCAGAGCACGGGGGGCCAGGGCCAGCGGGACCTGTAGGAGAAAAAAAAAAACAGCGAGTTTCCTGTTTGTGTTTCATCTCTTTAGTTTTATATTAAATGTTTGATTTGGATACAGGAAAACTTCCTCGAAGATCCGGCCACGAAGAAAAAAACGATTAGAAATGAATCCAGAAATTTTATTTAGAATTAGAACATTAAATCTACATAAAATCATGTTTTTAATAAGATGGTAGATAAACATATTTACACATTAAATCTGATTATATGCCGAGTAACGTAGTTTTGACCGTTTATGGTAGAAAATACGTGTGTAGGACACGTGTCAGACACAAGGCATCTGGCCCGCGGAGCATTTTTATTTGGTCCTCGGGATAAATATAAAAAATATATTAAAACTGACCCGCTGGCCGACTTTACCGCAAAGACTACAACTCCCATGATGCTCTGCGGCGTTAGCGCGGAGCCAAGTTGAAGCCCATTAACCCCTCAGTACATTACACTTTTTATGATCCTGAGCTTCAATAAGACATCCGGACTAAAATGTGTTCTACCAAAGCGACCCACGGGTCAAAGGTCAAATGGTTTAGATCCAGTCAGACAGATGGATGAAAAGGACCTAAAATATTTTTCTTGCTGTTGATAAAAGTAATAAAACGCCGTAAATGGCCACCATCCCCTCGGCTGACTGATGATTTATCCGTGTGATCCAAGCCCCCACAATGCGGCTCAAAAATTGAGCCCAACCCGGAAGTACCAAAAATTGCAGTTCCACCCTCATCCACTAGGGGCTGGTGTCAGAAGCGAGCAAATCCTCATTGACTCCCATGTTAAAAATACCAATTTCACAGCAGAAATAAACATGTTTACAGCCTGGTACCAAAACATGTTTTTGGTTTAAATGATCTAGTTTACACTCATGACAACTCTGAGGGGGGTGAATTTTTTTCTCACTCTTCTGTTTAAGTGTATTAAAAGCCTAAAATTCTGTATAATTAATGAGCATCAGACCCACGTGACCACAGAGCTAGCTCCGTGGAAAGGCCTCAGTAGAGCCTCGGTCTGGCCTGGAAACTGCTCCGGGATTTTGAGTCTCTGTGTGTGTGTATTCTTTTTTGGATATTTTTGTGCAATTGTTGGACAAAATGACTTGCTGTGGCATTAATTGCACTAATAGAGCGTCCAAGGAGTCTCCACTTCATTTTTTTCGGTAAGTAAAATTATATTTATGTATTTTAGGTCACTGCCGAGCTGAGCTTAGATTTTAACATGTACTGTTTAACCATGAAATTTAAATGTAATAGGGTAAAACCCAGTGCATTTAACATAATGCTGCACTTTAGAAAATGGGTTGAAATATAACATGTTGGTGGAGCTGGGTTCCGACTACCGGCTTGTGGAGCTGCCCCCGCGACCCGGACCCGGATAAGCGGAGGAAGACGAAGACGAAGGCTTGTGGAGCTCTCGGGAGACCTCTGTTTTCCACCCTTCTCCCCTCCCCGCAGCTCGGCACATCTCTGTCTGATTGCGGCTTCTGTCTGCTGCGCGGGCTGCCGGCTTGTGGAGCTCTGGGATGGAAACCTTTCCACCCGGTTCTCCCCAGCGGCAGCTCTGCGCATCTAAGATGGCAGCGGCGCTTGTCTGCTGTGCGGCTGCCGGCTTGTGGAGGTCTCGGAGACCTCTGTTTTCCACCTGGTTTTACCCAGCGGTCAGCCCGGCGTATCTCTGACTCAGAAGCTCTGGTGTTGTGCACAGTTAACTCCGGTTGTAGCTAGGTTGCTACCTCCGTTAGCTTAGCTCCCACCTCCGCGTTAGCTTTGGGTTAGCTTCAGGTTAGCTTGTAGCTAGTTCGACCGGGTGTCGTCAGTTGATCCCAGCCTTACAGCCCCACCCTCAGCTCCACCTCTCTTCCCTTTTGTGGAATTGTCTGGGCTTGACGGAACCTGTGACACGGTCAAAATGGCGGTGGTGGCCACCTCCCATTTTAGCAGAAAAACTTGTTATTGGAGCCGATGGAAACCCATTGTCCATATATTTATGTCGATGGGTGAGATGTGATCCTCCTGAACACATTTCAGGGACAGGTGTGATTTCTAAAGCAGAAAGTTGCGCATCTCATTTCTTAAGTGGGAGGTTTTATAAACGAGGCCCCGGAACACCAGTTCTGGTCTTGCCGAGGACTCCCGTCATACCTGGGTGGTACTGCATGTTGGAGTTGGGGTACGAGCCGGGCCCAGTGTGCCCGCCTCCACCTGAGCCCGACATAGGGCCACCGGAGCCAGTCATGACGTTCACACTGGAACCAACGGGAACGCCATACTGCTGGGACATTCCTGGGAATGTCTGATGGGGAAACAGAAGAACATATAAACAGTTACAACATCTGTTTTAAACCGGTTCCATCGAGTTCAACTCAGACTCATCTGGGGTTTCTCGCCTCAGAGTTGTAGGGCCGTTTGAGGCCCTGCGGGGGCCGTAGATGTCCCTGCTGGGGTCCAGGCCCGTAGTTTGGGTGCTGAGGGACCCTCTGCTGAAGCCCCCCGGATCCGTACATTGATCCCATGGAGGGTGGGCCCCTGGTGGGGCCCGGACTAGGACCCATACCTCCAGGAACCATGCCAGTAGGGCCGCGAGGGCCAGGGTGGGACATGAACTGGCTGTTGTAGGCTGGACCCCCCATCTGGAACAAAAAACACAAATCAGGGGACCATACAGCTGGGGGCCCTGAAATAGCCGCGATGGTTCTGAACGGCTCATCAGGCACCCTTGGGACAGGTTTGACCCCCTCTTCACCACCTGTCCAACAGGAGGCGCTCCTCACCTGTCCGTAGTTCATTTCCTGGTTCTGTTTCTCCTGGATGGCGGCTACAGTGGCCGTGGCCGTGGCGGTTGCTGTGGCAGCGGCGGCTGCAACAGCTGCCGCTGCAGCCTGAGAGAAGCCAGCGGAGCCTCTGGAGCCTCCGGGGTTTGACGGATAACTGGAGAGGACAGAATGTCTTCAGTGCTGATGAAACCAGACCCGGACTAGCTGGTTCTGTTTGGGTTATAAAACACTCACCTGCCCGAGTACCCCCCCGGTCCTCCGCCGTAGCCCCCACTCGAACGGCTGTACATGCCCTGGTTTATGTAGCCTTTACTGGGCTCTCCGTATCCTGGCTGGCCCATGTAGCCCCCGGGTCCACCAGCCATCCCCGGCCCCCCTGGGCCTTGCATCATGGGACCCCCTCCAGGGTTGGTCCCAGGGCCCATCACACCCCCACCCAGGCCCTAGAAAACACACAAACACACACTGATTCTGACTGATCCCGTCTGATTAATGATCCAGAAAGACCCAAGACCTAAAATAGAACATGCCACACGATGGTGATGTCATAGTTGTGTGGTGATGTCATACCTGACTGCCTGAAGGGTTGGTGACTCCCCACACAGTGGTGACCACAGACAGAGACCCTGTGGGCTGGTTGGTGGGCTGTTGCCAGCTGGAGGGGTCGTAGGGATACGAGCCGTCGCTGTGGGGGTGGGGGGGGGGGTTAGTTGCAGCAGGAACTGGGATTTGGCCACCGGGTCAGGTGAATTTACCTGTGAGGGTTGTTGGGCAGTCCTGTCTTCATCTGGTTCAGGGGGTTCATGGTAGACGGAACCGCAGGGTCCAATCACGCCGAGTCCTGCCAGACAGACGGGTCGTACATTAAACTACACCTGCCACCAGCTCCCTGGCCCCTACCGCAGCAGTCTGAGAGTACGACACCAATCCGGACAGAACTGCTGTCCTTCCTCCTTCCAGACCATCTTTATTTATTGTAACGATGTTCAGGATCAGGTTGATGATTTGGAATCAGCAGAAATCTGTCTGAGTCACTTCCTGTCTGTGAGTAAGATCAGGTCAGATCAGCTGTGACAGACTTCCAAAAAATTCTAGGAGACGAGATCTTGCATTCTGAGCTAAATTCCCATAATCGGAATCACATGTGACTTAGGTGCATACCCATGTATGTCAGGAGCACGGAGCACAGAGATGCTGATGTGACTGGAGGAGGAAGGAACTAGCACTTTATGTTCAGTTTGATCCAGACCAAATTTCTGATCCTGCACAAAACTCCAACTCCTACATCCCCACACGCATGCACAGTATCCTGCTGCCTACCAGCTCATTCCAGTGGAAATTACCAAACAGGTGGGCTGTTTGCTTCACACGATGAACATTATAGGTCATTACTTGCCAAAAGCCCCTTTGGGTTAAAAGTACAACATGTAATAATTTTACAGTGAATTAATCCCAAAACTCAATCCCTAGTCTCAGCCATGTTGGAAGGAAGGTTACACTGAAACAGGGGGGTTGTCCGTTTTTCTTCTTTCAAATAAATGAAAGAGGGATGTTTTTGCAGACCCTGTGCAGAGCTACCGCTGCAGCGCTAGATTTGTAATTCCACCCCAGCAGAAAAAAAGCTCCGGAGTCGTTCAAAGGCCTGAAGCCAGTAGACAGGAGCAACCCAGAAGTTATTTCTTGTACAGCTAAGAAGCCACGGCATCTTTTTGTTTTACTCTAAAATCGCGTGAAGCAGCCTAGAGGCTAACATTGAGCTAGCAATGCTAATGGTAAATAGTCTACTCTAAAATATCTCAAGCTACTTTTTCTATTACCAACAATACGTGTGAAGGGAACAATGAGTCAATCTTGGCGTTTTCCTTCCTTTAAAGAGCAAGTCACCCCCTACAAGAAACTTACTTCACTCCCACTTCATGTTTGAAAAATGCAACAAATGCTGTTGCCTGGCAGACCGAGAGGGCGGAGCCGCCAACAAATACACACACACACACACAGGCTCACAATGGCATTGTGACATCATAATGTACCAGTTTACATCATAGCATACCTCTTAGCCAATAGCGGTGGCAGATTTAAATTCAAATGCAGTGCAGAGTTTTTACCTGATGACGGCACAACACTGCCTGCATTTAAATTTTAACTAAGATGCACTGAAGTACCAAATTATTGATGACACGTGTCTGCAGCACGATTAGACACTCGTTTATTTAGTTTATCAGCAAAAAAATGTATTTGGGGGTGACTTGCTCTTTAATGAGTTGTTCATAAATATAACAGCAAGACAGAAAACAACACTTCCTCTATGGCTGGAGACATAATACTGTAGTAAGTGTAGTAAGTACTACCTACTGTAAAATAGTGCCAACACCACATATGACAATTGATCTATTTATCAACTTAAAGAGCAAGTCACCCCCAAATCAACGTATTCTTCTGATAAACTGTATAAATAAGTGTCTAATCGTGCTGCAGACACGTGTAGTCAATAGTTTTGCACTTTAGTGGATTTTAGTTAAAATTTTATTTTTCTGCCTAAAACTGTCAGTGTTGTGCCGTTGTCGGGTAAAAACTCTGCACTGCATTTGAATTTAAATCTGCCATCGCTATTGGCTAAAGCCTGGTTTATGCTTCTCCGTCAGCTCCGCAAGGGACAGACACGCACGGATTGATGGAAGCGTTTTGCCCACGTACTTCTCCGTCTCCTGGGGAGCGTTGCAAAGCAATTCCTCGGCAGGACAACGGAGGGCGTAGCGCTGTTCTGTGGTATCCTGTCATGTATCGGTCCAAGATAGTGTGTTTATATTGTGTTTTTTGTATATAAGAGACTTTTAACACGGACATATTTGCCTCTCATTCTCCCACCGCTTCATGCGCTCCCCACCTCTAAACCCACGTTTCCTGTCATTTCCGTCCACAAATAAAACGCTTGCTGCGCATCTTTTCACTCCTCCAGTCACGGGAGAATTAAACGTTCATATTTTTAGAGTTTTTTCGCGAGGTATTCTTCAAGCTTCTCCGTGTTTGCCGCTAGTTATCCTCGGCTCTCTTTGCAATGGAGGCGCTGTAAACAACAGCGGCGTCCTGACCAATCACAAGCTTGCGTAATCCGTTTCGTTCGACGGATGTTTAAAAAAGTGGGCTCGACTCCGTGCGTACTTGCGTGCCTGCCGGAGCCCTACGCAAGGACGGGTAATGGCGTTGCGTGTCTCCGCACTGACGCAGACGGAGAAGCATAAATCAGGCTTCAGAAGTACACAATGAAGTTAGATGGTACATTACGATGTCACAATGTTGTTGTGAGCCTGTGTGTGTGTATTTGTAAGCAACTCTGCCCTCTCGGTCTGCTAGGCAACGGCATTTGTTGCATTTTTCAAACAGAAAGTGGGAGTTGAGTAAGAGTTTAGCAGGGGGTGACTTGCTCTTTAATGTGTATGACTGGTCTTTGCTGTCATCTAGAATATTCTAGTGCTGATCTGTAACTGGCAACAGCCGTGAAACTCATGGAGGACAGATAGTGACCATTTGGATAATGGTCTGTAGTACCCAAATTAGGCAGCACTGGATGTCATTCTTACTCAATCGTACCTATTGCACCTTCAGTTTACTTTATTTATCCAAGTCGGCAGGTCAGTGTGTTGAAAATTAGACTAACCTGTAATGAAGTGAAATCAGACCTGATTCCTGAACACTAACTCTTCTCATTTTTCATGTGCTGGCTATTTTCTGTAAACACCTGGCAGAATTCGTGTGAATACACCCCCACCCACACACGCGCGCGCGCACGCATTGATTTAAAAACATCTAACCCCGCGTGCATGCAACATGCACACGCGTAAAGTAACAATACCGTTCATCCTTTCTTTTTTTAAACAAAGACGTTTGAAACTGGGTGGCGTCGCTCCCCTTAGTGCTCCACCGGACTCCGGTACACCGGAAAGACATTTTGAGGTTTTTATGGGAAGCTAATGCTAACATGGTAGCTGTGGCTAACGCCTCACTAGTTAGCATTAGCATGCCTATTGAACAACAACTCGAGAACACAGCAGACGATGGTGTGTTCCGTGTGGTTTGACTGGTCAGAACCAAAACCAGACCCAAAATATCCATTTTATGAGTCAAATCTAAAGCATCTGATAAAAAACATTCCATGGTTAGCAAATTAGCCTAGCAGCACTGACAATGGAATGCTAATCATTTTTAGCTAGCAGCGTCTTCCTCAAACACAAAAAACCCTTCAGCTGGTAGTCCACAGAACCGCCACACGGCTCGGTTCTTCACACCTACACAGTGTACAGCCCGGACACACACGATCACATCACATTTCCAGCGGACGAGTCCTCTCACGGCCGACAAACCTTCAATTCCCCGGTGCCAGAGCCCAGCTCCGCAGTTTCAGCTCCCCGGGGCCTCCGACGCATCAAGAACCGGGCGCCGGTGGAGCCTTCACGGACACACAACCCGGAAACACAAAGCGCCCCGTAGATCCAGAAACAGATGTTTAAATCCAGCGTCCAGGTTAAGATTCACATCCGGCCGGATCACGCTCCCTGCAGCCTGTACCTGCGTCTGCTGATCCCGCCTGGGAAGGACCCACCGTCCGCTGCGGCTCCGGCAGGTTTCACACCGACAACCGCGGAGGCGAAGCGGAACGCCGGGGGTTAACTACAGTTCAGCAGCAGCGTGTGTCAGTGTTTCCTCTGCATCACCGTGACAGGCTGGTGGAGGAGGAAACGCGCGCACACCCCGTACGAGCACGAGCATTTCTCATCCTAACAAATCTCGTGTCAAACTTTCGAGAAAATATTTGTATTATTTTTCCTGATCAGCAGAGAAAATATACTTAGTGCGAGCTGGAAAATCCCAAATCCAAACTGCACAATGGGACTTCTGTTTTAGGGCCATAATGATTTGTTTTAAACTTCAAAATACCTGATGGGTATAAAGGTGTTCCATGCAGAGGAAGTGATCATTTATCTGCAAGGCTCCTTAGATGTCCTGACCCTGACCTGCAGCAGGAGGCCACCTCCATCTGTAACAACTTCACCATTGCTGCTGATCAGAGACAAATCCACTAAGTGGACAAGTTTAAATATCCGAGTGTCGTTTTACATTCGCATCAGGAAAGGGTCCAGAAGATTCCATCCTCCTCTCACTTTTGTGAGCAAGTCACTCCAAATCAACATTTTTTTGCTGATAAACTATATAAATGAGTGTCTGATCGTGCTGCAGACACGTGTCGTCAATAACTCGGCACTTTAGTGCATCTTAGTTAGAATTTAAATATTCTGCCTAAAACTGTCAGCGATGCACCGTCGTCAGGCAAAAACTCCGCACTGCATTTGAATTTAAATCTTCTGCCGCTATTGGCTAAGAGGTACACTATGATGTTGGATGGTACATTATGATGTCACAATGTCGTGAGTGTGTGTATTTGTTAGCAGCTCCGCCCTCTCGTTCTGCTAGGCAACAGCATTTGTTGCATTTTTCAAACAGGAAGTGGGAGTTGAGTTAGAATCTGGCAGGGGGTGACTTGCTCTTTAACACCAACACAACCCTTCCCATCAGACATGACAGAAACATCTTCGCTAACTTCCATCCCAACTCAAACTGTCCATCTCTATATTCTAGAATCAAATTTCATCCCAAGTCAGATCTTCACGTAAGATCCATCCTTCTCCCCCCTTAATCATCTTCTGTTTCAAACATTTTTGTTGTCAAAGTTTGATTTTATTCAAGCTTTTATGTTCATATTAGCTTTTGTATATTTTTAAGTTGGTTATTTTGTTTTTTGTGTCACGGTAACCATGGTTCTCGACCCAGAAAAGGGTGGCTTGCCAACTCCGGGTCGGGGGAGAGGTCCTACCTCAAGTGGAGGAGTTGAAGTATCTCGGGGTCTTGTTCACGAGTGAGGGTAGGAGGGATCGGGAGATCGACAGGCGGATGGGTTCGGCGTCTGCAGTGATGCGGACGCTGAGCCGATCTGTCGTGGTGAAGAGGGAGCTGAGCCAGAAAGCCAGGCTCTCGATTTACCGGTCGATCTACGTCCCAATCCTCACCTATGGTCATGAGCTTTGGGTAATGACCGAAAGAACGAGATCGCGGATACAAGCGGCCGAAATGAGTTTCCTCCGTAGGGTGGCCGGGCTCAGCCTTAGAGATAGGGTGAGGAGCTCGGACATCCGGGAGGGACTCGGAGTAGAACCGCTGCTCCTCCGGATCGAAAGGAGCCAGTTGAGGTGGTTTGGGCATCTGGTCAGGATGCCTCCTGGACGCCTCCCTGGGGAGGTGTTTCGGGCATGTCCTGCCGGCAGGAGGCCTCCGGGTCGACCCAGGACACGTTGGAGAGGTTACATCTCCAATCTGGTCCGGGAACGCCTTGGGGTCCTGCCGGAGGAGCTGGTGGAGGTGGCTGGGGAGAGGACGGTCTGGAGCTCCCTAGTTGGGATGCTGCCCCCGCGACCCGGACCCGGATAAGCGGAGGAAGACGACGACGACATGTCACGGTAACGTGACATGTACCTGAAATAAATCACCAGAGGGACGAACGCTGGTGCACATCCTGGTTTAAATAAGCATCTTGTGCCTGAAATTCTGTCAAAAAACAAAACCGGTAAAGTGGAACTTTAACATGGAGCTGAATTTTCTTTAGACAGGAACGAGGCGGAAGCAGCAGCTTCTCAGAATCCTTTATTGAATGAAGCAAAATAACAAAGACAACTTCAGTCCCCCATTATGAAAATAAATAAATGAATTTCTTTGTCACAGAAGCTGCAGCGGATTCAGCCTCCGCCGTCGTCTCTCTTGGTTTCCTGCTGCAACACCAGAGCGTAATAGGAAAACGTGACACGCTGCAGCGCATTTGGCACAAGATGAGTGCTCGCTTAGTGAGGCCGGGTGGGCCGAATGATCGTGGTCCAGTCCGTTTGAGGAGGATGAGCGGGGCAAGGCGGTCCCGTGTCATCTCTCATCTTTCAGAATAAGATTCAATAAAACCTCAGAGTTAGGCATTACCATAGTGACTAATTACAGACCTTCATTAATGAGCAAAAAAGCCAGAAACAAACAAAATTAAATAAACAAAAACAAAGAAAGCCTCCTCTCTCCCTGGTAGCTGGACTCCCATTCACTCCCAGAGGAGCGCTAATGAGTCTAAAGGTGGAGTTTGAAACGGGAAGTTAAACATTTCCTGTAGAGCAGAAGCATTGTGTGTGTGGGAGTGATGAAAATGATGATGATGCTTTTGCTGGTCTAGAACAGCTGGAGAGAGAGAGTGTGTGTGTGTGTGTGTGTGTGAGTGTGTGTGTGTGTGTGTGTTGCAGGCCTAGCTCCATTACAAGCAACACGTTTCCTTTTAGAGTCAAACTAAACTCTACCGAGCCCCTTTAGGGTGAAGCTGGACTCGGGTCAGATTCAACGTGGCAGATAGGACCGCCTCTCTGATGTTGCATGTTGCCATGGCGACTCCATTCCTGGAAACGACTATCAGCGCGAGACATGTCCCTGTCACTCAAACTAAAGGAAGGAAACGGATGTTCTGCGAAGCTTGAAGCTGCTCCGATGAAGATCCGGTCTGCTCTGTAGTGTTGAAGCCAGACAAGATATCAGATGTTGTGTGTGTGTGTGTGTGTGTGTGTGTGTGTGTGTGTCCAGGTGAGGTTCTGCTCCAGGTGCAGCTGGCTACAGCTTTACTGCTGATCTCTGAATGCATCCATGTCAAAGGCGGTGTCCAGGAAGCGCCGCAGCTCCATCAGGTGAGTGTTCTTGTTTCCTGTCGCCGGAGCTGCAGCTGGATCTCTGCCGGCGTACCTGAGACACAAAGAGAACAGGGTCAGAGGTCACCAGGTGCAGTGGTCACTGATCTGCACGTAACGACGAAGGCGAAGAAGACGGCTACCCGACAGGCTTGGCCTTGTTGATGGTGGTCCTGATGCGGGGTTTCACGTAGTCGTAGTAACCCTGGTTTTTGTGCTCCTCCTGACACCAGACCAGGTCGGCGTTGGGGAAGCGCTCAAACTCCGCCTTCACCTGGTCGAATGGGAACGGAGACAGCTGCAGGGAGACATACAACGCCGTTAACTGGGTTTCCCGTTCGGGGCAGAAACCTCAAAGCGTCAGACGTGAAACTGCTTCTGTTAAAACCAGCAACTCGAGATAATAGTAATAAATATTGTACAGCACCTTTCTGTTAGAGGACTCCAAAGCACCTTACCCCCCCCCCACACACACACACACACACACACACCTGCTGACGCTCCGTGTGTGTTTTTATTCCTGCAGTGAGACAAACTCACCTCACACCGTCCAGAGTTTGCTCTTTAAAGCTTCTATTAAATCCACCGTGTTGACGTATTTAACACGTTTCCTCTACGCTGCAGGAGTTAACGTTTACACTACGGAGTAAAAGTTCGGCAGACGCGTTTGTTTATATCTGGGTGGTGGGGGTGGGGGGGGGGACTCTGTGCTGCACACAGACAGCTGGTGTGATCAGCTCTGAAAAGCATTGATCACAATTTGCAGATCACGTTTATTTTTCACGAAGATCGGCCGCGGATTCCTCTTCTGTCGGCATTCTAGGAATCGAAATAAACTTTGAACGATTCCCGGAAAAACGAACAGTTGGAAGTCCAATCGATGCTCGAAGCCCAACCCTGTTGTGAGTTACAGAAAGATGCTCTAGTAAACAATAGTGACCATGAAAACTAGTTAAGCCGGGCGGACACTGCGTGACTTTTTGGAGCCGATTTTCCACTCGTGCGAGAATCCACGAGATCGGGGCGAGTTTTGCGTCGTGTAGTGTACGGGGGGTTACGAGAGGCGATTAACACCACGTGACCAGCTGCCGATCAGCAATGGTGAGCTCGCACGGACTTCTGGCGTGTTTGGTATTTTGCTCGTCCCTCGTGAGGGTATCGCACTGTTGAAGCGGCGCTGCGAGCAGCTGCGACCCAAAAACAGTTCCAGAACCGCTCACGGCGCATGCGCAATCCTGCATCAACACCGCTCGCCCGCTATTTCCCTAATAACACACGTTGTTCGTTTTTATTTCTACACGTTTTTTTACTCACAAAGATTGACACGAAAGCGTGTTTGTCGTGTTCGTGTCAAATTAAACTGATCACAAAACTCAGATTTACTTTCTTTATTTCGTTTTCCTCATCCAACCCCCATAAATCCCCGTGTGTCCCCCTGCAGCACTCCCGAAGGACAACAGGCAAACAAGAAAGTCTGACGTGTTGAGTAAAAACTGCTATTTTTAGCATATTTTAGGTCCGACGTGTTGCTACCAGACGTACAGCGTGAGCACATGGCACGTGAGATCTGCCCTGCGAGGAACTCGTAGCTGAAGCGGAGTGCTACGAGTGAAAAAGTCGCACAGTGTCCGCCCGGCTTTACTGTAAACTGTGTGTGTGTGTGTGTGTGTGTGTGTGTGTGTGTGTGTACCTGCTCCATGCGTGCGATGGCCACCGTGTCCTCCAGGCCTCTGCTCTTCCTCTCTTTCGTCAGCTCGTAGTAAACCTTTCCGGTGCAGAAGATCAGCCTCTTCACGGCGTCTGGACGCTCGGACACCGGACCGTCATCCGGGATCAGCCTCTGGAAGTGCGATCCTGATCGAGGAGGAAGAGGAAGATGAAGGTCACACTGAAACCTTTAGGCTCACGGACCAGGTGAGGGGCTGGTTACCGGGCAGCATCTCGTCGAAGCCGGACCTGGCCTCCGGGTGGCGCAGGAGGGATTTGGGAGTGAAGACGATCAGCTGCAAACAGGAAGGGCAAAAAGAAGATCTTCAAAATAAAAGTCTCAGTTCAGACAAACTAAATGAGAAGAGGAGTGATGGATAAGTGGGAGGGAATGGCCGCCGTCAGAACCAGATCCAGGGATGTTTCTGGCTCACTGAGAAGGTTCTGGTTCTGGTCTGAGCCTCACCGGTTTCCTGAAGGGGAGCAGGATCTGCCGTCTCAGAACATGGAAGTAGTTTCCCGGGCTGGAACAGTTCACGACGATCCAGTTACAGTCGTACAGCTGACGGACCGCAAAGTCCTCTGTGATGTTCTGAGAAGCAGAACCAGCGTTAGAACACACAACCAGCTGTTGGTATCGTTCTGTTTCTGTAGCTCTCACAGGCATGACATCTGGGTCGTCGTTGCACATCTGGAGGAATCGTTCTGGACGGGCCGAAGAATGTTCTGGACCCTGAGGAGCCGAGCAGGCGTCAGTTAGAGGACACGCCTGGAAATGAACAGGGTAGTGTGTGTGCGTGTGTGTGTGTGTGTGTGTCCCTCACCATGCCCTCCATCCCGTGCGGCAGCAGTAGCACGATGCCGTTCTGCCGGACCCACTTGGCCTGACCCGGACAGATGAACTGGTCGATGATGCACTGGGCTGTGTTGTGGAAGTCTCCGAACTGGGCCTCCCACAGGATCAGGGCGTTGGGACTGGCCATGGCGAAGCCCAGCTCAAAGCCTGGAGAGGTCAGGGTTCAGAGGTCAAAGGGAACGCGGGGGCAGAGGGACAGCGGGGACAGCAGCGGACACTCACCGAGGACGCCGTACTCGGACAGCGAGCTGTTACAGACCGTGTACGGGGCCTGGTCCGGACTCAGGTGGTTCATCGGGATGCAGGTCCGCTTGTCCACGTTCTGGTCGTGGAGGACATGGTGACGGTGGCTGGGGTCAAACAGTTTAAACACGAGTCACACACGGTCTAGAGAAGAACCCCGGCCCAGTCCCGGTCCAGGTCCAGCCAGGTCAAACCCAGATCTGATCCTGGTACCAGTTTGTCCCCTACGGTACCTGAATGTCCCTCGCTCTACATCCTGACCCGACAGTCTGACGTGGATGCCCTCTTTCAGCAGCGACCCGAATGCCATGTATTCTGCCAGGGCCCAGTCCACCGTCCGGTGCCGGACCATCTCAGCTCGGCCTTTTAGGATCCGGCTCAGACCTGATTGGACACAAACAGTCAGTCCTATTCAGATCCCAGAAAACCTTCCGGAGCGTCTCTGAGCTGGACTCGGACCTCCGTGGATGGTGAAGTCCTCTACGGGGACGGAGGACGCCACCTGTCCAATTTGGTTCAGGTCCGCCTCGGAGATCCCGGTGGTGGGACAGCTCATGGACTTGGGCTGTCCGTCCAGAGTGAAAAAACCTGGAAGAAGAACTTCTATGAGACCAGCTGCAGGTTCTGAGACTTAAGGTTCTGGGTTTGGGTTTGGGACGGCAATGGTTCTGGTCCCAGTCTCACCGGGCCACGGGGAGTCCAGCCAATGCTTGATGTGGAGGATCTTCTCATCTTTGGAGCGTGCGTGAGCCTCCTCACAGATCTTGTCGTACTTGGCGATCTCCTCCTGCAGAAGAACAAAGTCACGTGTTTACTCATCTAACGGAGGAAACAAACCACTCAGGAGGGTAAACAACCCGTCTGTTTGGAAGAAAACCCAGGTGTGGTGGTGGAACCGCTCATCTAAAGGCGACAGCGCCATCTTGGGTGGTGGGCGAGGCTAAATGAGAGGAGGGCGCCAGGTAAAGGCCTGTGAGGGAACGTCCGGAGAAGACCTCCTTCGGTTTATTTTTGTTACAGCGAGAGAGGAGAGGGGACCGGGTACAGTTACAGAAATTTTAAATTAGACTTTACTGGAAGTAAATTCTAGAGACTAAAATAAATTATGTAAAAAAAATTAAAATAAATTATTTTAAACAGTTTAAAGTGACATTATGGAAGTGTGACAGCCAAAACATGTATAGAAATAATAAACGTCTTCATACATTCTCCTGCAACGCCCTGGTCCTGTAGAATGAGCCCTGGCATTTTTACTGTGATTGCCTGTTTTTCTGTAAAATCACAGAAAAAGAGAGATGCTCGGGTCGAGCAGGCTGCTTCATGCGCGTTCACGCTCAGGCATCGCCCGTAGCATTTGCTATCCGTAGCTTTAGCAGCAGAGAGAGAGGCAGTGCCACTTTGTCGCTGTTCCTAACGCCTAGTGACAAAGCTAGCTACATTTCTGAGGACCCTTAGCTACTTTCTGTAGAACTTTCTTCTAGATATTTCCTGCTAATTAGCAACAAAATAGCCATTTTCACTCCGAACCGTTCTTTGAACGTTGTTTCAGCTGTCATCAAGGATATAAATGTTACAGATACAAAGGACGTCACTGGTGCTTTAGTTCACCTAGTAAGACGTCTGACTCTCGCGCTGAAGACCTGGGTTTGATTCTGGATGTGAACATAGTTTATTTAGAGTTTCTTTTTTACATTAATGGTATATTTTTTTACAGTAAGATGCCCAAATTTTTATTTGAGACTCGCTGAACGGCATTGAATTCACAGATAAAAAAGATGTGGGTTCAACTTTCATTTTGGAACAATTTTTCAAGCAAGGGAAGGGAATGATCTGAGCATGCAGGAGGACTGACCCATCATAAACCTTTGTCGGCTGTGCTGAAGAGAAAGGTACAGAACCACATTATTTAATTAATTAGCTGCATGTTCTCCTGTCCTCTGTCCTCCAGGCCACACACACACACACACACACACACACACACACACACACACACACACACACACACACACACACACACACACACACACAAGGGACTGTCTCAGCTGTTATTTTCGTTAAGGAGTGTGCACGTACAGCATGCGCGCCTCGTGCACGAGCCTACTATTGAAGCTGCAGCTACACGTTAGGCCTGAGTGGCGATCGCGAGCATAAAAACTTCAAACTTCCTTAAGAGTCCCTTTAAGTTTCTCTCTGTTTAGGAAACATCAATTCTTTGTCTTTCTCAGCTGAACCTTAAAGAGCAAGTCACCCCCTGCCAGAATCTTATTCCACTCCCACTTCCTGTTTGAAAAATGCAACAAATGCTGTTGCCTAGCAGACTGAAAGGGTGGAGCCAATAACAAACACACACACAGGCTCACAACGACATTGTGACATCATATTGTACCAGCTGACGTCATAAGGCACATCTTAGCCAATAGCGATGGCAGATTTAAATTCAAATGCAGTGCAGTTTTTACCTGAATAGGGCACAACGCTAAGTGTTTTAGGCAGAAATGTCTTATTTCAACTAAGATGCACCAGAGCGCCAAACTATTGATTACACGTGTCTGCAGCACGATTAGACACTCATTTTTAAAATTTATCAGCAAAATAAGTTGATTTGGGGGTGACTTGCTCTTTAATCAGGCTGAAATATTAAAACAGACTTTTTTCAGTCTTCAGGAAATGACCCAACCTTTAGGTCTTTGTTAGAAACATACGTTTTTCCACATCAGCTGAACAGACAGATGTACTGGCCTGGCAGCTATGATGAATATTAAAAGCTGAAATAATGGCCAAAGGAGGAGACGGCAGCGCTCAGGACATTTATTATCCCTCAAAGAAGACAAAGTGGGAAGTACGGGCATTTTTTGGATATCTGAAGAATGCCGAGGGACAGTTGATAGAAGACGGCTATCCTGTTTGCAGCACGTGCAGAAAAAGTGTCTGTGAAAGGCAGCAACGCTTCAAATCTCATGACACATCTGCGTGACCATCACCCACAACTCTGCAGTCAACGCAAGGCAAGCTAACGTTAGCGTTTTAGCTAAAATGCGTGATCCGAGGATTTGGGTTGAGGGAGAAAGCAACGAGTCGCTATATAAAGCAGCCGCAGCGCCGCTACCTGCATATAAACCGTGTCGCGGACACCGCCATGTTGAAATGACGCTATGCATTACGGGGCTCCCAGGGGCAGATAAGAGTTGGTCTCTCTCCGAGAATAATTATGAATTTAACAATGATTACTGCCTGATGACATTTTCCCACATCTGCAAAGCTCACTGGAAGGACACAAACTGAGGACAATATTTTCCTGATATAGGGTTTATTACTCAAGTAAGGGTAAAAAAGTATCTGATTAGAAGGCTACTTGAGTACTGAGTATCATCTGATCTAATATTTTTAAATGATGACATCAAACAGACATAAAATAAGAAGTTATGGGCAAATATTGGTATTTTAAAGACTAAAGGGGAAACATGTAAACAAATAAACAACATAATTACAAAATAACACATTTTAGGCTAAATTTAGACACAAACTGAGGACAATATTTTCCTGATATACAGGGTTTATGTAGTCGTCTGAAAATGTTACATGTTTAAAAAAATACAGCGATAATACCGAAAACCGTGATTATTTTGGTCACAATAACCGTGAGGTTCAATCTTCACACCGTGACAACCCTATTTCCATGTGAGTCTGGTTTCCATAGAAACGTCTCTCCCAACTCTGAACCCTTTACCTCGTATTCCTGCCTGCTCACGGCGCCGTCGGCGATCAGCTTTTCGGCGTATTTTTGCAGAACCGGCTTCTGCTTCTTGATCTGTTTGTACATCAGCGGCTGAGTGAACATGGGCTCGTCCATCTCGTTATGGCCCATCCGACGGTAACACACCTGCACACAGGTAAGCATGGCTGGATCATGCGGGGACAGGTGAAAACATCCCAACTAAAACAACACATCACAGTAGAGTCGTGTGCAGCGCCACCTGCAGTTGGAGGTGAGATTAAAATCACGTTTCTAGCTAAACTCAAACAGAAAAGCAGAAGTAGGTGGACAAGGTCAGGTCAGGTGTGAGGAGAAGCTCACCAGATCGACAACCACATCCTTGTGGAAGGCGGCTCTCCACTCGGCGGCCACCTTGCAGACGTAGATGACGGCCTCGGGGTCGTCGGCGTTCACGTGGAAGATGGGAGCGTTGACCACGCGGGCAACGTCGGTTGGGTACGGAGACGAGCGCGCCATTCGGGGGTCGGTGGTGAACCCGATCTACAGACAGACAGAAGGTCAAAGGTCGTTCACCTGCAACGGGATCAGTGCGGGGTCATCCCTCACCTGGTTGTTGACCACCACGTGCACAGTGCCGTGCGTGGTGTAGGACGGCAGATCAGACAGGTGGAAGGTCTCGTAGACGATCCCCTGACCCGCAAACGCAGCATCTCCATGCAGCAGGATGGACATCACCTGGACAGGTAACACACAGATAAACAGGTCGATCGCTTAGCCTCTGAAAGAACACTTGAGGAGGACGTGGGCACGACCTGGATGCGCGTTCCGGACTCACCCGGTTTCCGTTGGTGTCTCCACAGTAAAACTGCTCAGCTTTGGTTTTTCCTTGAACCACTGGGTCCACGGCCTCCAGGTGTGAAGGGTTTGCCACCAGAGACAAGGTGATGTTCCGGTCCGTCACTCGGTTTATCCGGCGATGGTACATGCCCAGGTGGTACTTTACGTCCCCGGAGCCCTGCGAAGCAGAACCGCGGCAGGCCCGATGTTAGCGCCAGACCCAGTCTGGTCCCATAAACCAAACATCTTCATCAGGATCAATCCAACAGCTCCAACCTCATCAGCAGATTCCAGTCTGGAGTCAAACTGGCAGAAGATCTGCTCCAGCTCTTTACGGATCACGTTGGCCAAAACGTTCAGCCGACCTCTGAAAGAGAGGACCTCCGAGAGTCAGACGCCTCCTTCAGTGTGTGTAGGTGTGTGTGCGTGTGTGTGTGTTACCTGTGAGGCATGCCCATGATGACGTTCTCCACCCCGTTCTCTGAGGATTTATCAATGATGGTTTTTAGAGCTGGGATCAGAGATTCGCATCCCTCTAGTCCAAAGCGTTTCTCTGCAGACCACTTCTTCTGCAGAAACTCCTCAAACCTGAAGGCACAGATTCAGACTGGATGACACGCCCGTGCACGCCTCCTCCTGCTGGTCGAACAGCTGGAGTTTACCTGGTGGAGCGGACCATGCGAGCCAACAGAGTCCTTTTCTCCTCCAGAGTGAACTGCATCACTCCAGGAGTCTCAAACTTCTGTCTGATCCACTGACACTGCTCCAGGTCATTGATGAACATGAACTCCACGCCGATGTGCTGACAGTACGCCATCTACACGCACAAACACGCAGAAAGTTCCGAAATAACTCGGATCGTTACTTTAACAGGATAAGACGGACCTACTGACTCGGACCTCTGATGGACACCTGCTCTGTGTTCAGAGTCTCACATTTGACTTCCATACCGGAACCATCAGCTCCAGAGCTCTACTCTACCTGCTCTCTATGGCCTTACATTAGTCGGACCGTCATGCGACACCTACTCTATACTGGGCAGGAGGAAAGACCCAGATCAGGAGCTGGAGGCGGGCTTAAAGAGAACATATCAGATCATGAGATCTGTGTTTAAAATTTATTTTTCTTCCGGCTCTTGGAGGGTGCAGACGCTTTTTTCCTCCTCTCCTCCATATCTTATCCTCAAGGCTCTTTGTCTGTCTGTGTGTGCTGGGTGCACGGCTGCTTCCGCATTTTTTCTGGAAACTGAAATCACTAAAATGGATCTCATCAGCTGGTCTCAACGCGACTGATACAATGTCTTCAACGATGGGAACGGGAGAAGGGGCTCCCGGATGTCCCTCCGGGACAGACCCAGTTGGACACATCATGGACTCCTGGAAACAGTGGAACTTGATCTGTCTTTCTCAGCTGTCTGTGGAGGACTCTGAAGACGTGTGGATATTTGTGGTGTTGGTGTCGGGTTTCCTGCTCATTGGCCTTGGAGGCTTCCTGGCTTACTGGAAAATTAACGAGCTGTCGAGGAATATCGGCCTGATCCCGGAGCTCAGAGATGGTTTGCACCGCGCTGTGAATTCACAGACTCACATAATTGTCTTCTGTGACTCTTAAAAAAACAGTAAAAATGCTGAGAAACACTGGCAGCGAATGAGTTAACAATGACGTCGAACACTTCTCACCGGTGATTTTGACGTGGTCGTGACTAATTGACTAATCCTGGCAGCACTAAACATCGCATGGTTTAACAGTCAGAAGCTCAGCTGGTGTTAGTGAATCCTGCTCACGTAGAACTCCTGCTCACAGCTGTTTAAACAGAGTGATAAACTGTCTCCCTACACCGTGATCCTCTACAAAAACTCATGAGTGATTTTAAGAACTTGCTCCAATGTTCTGGTGGTCTTATGTCTTCCAAGTCTGGTAAAATAAAAAGTACCAGATTTAAACATGGTATCAGGGTCAAATAAATAGAGGCCCTCAGGAGCAGCTTGAGCTCAAGAGGAAGTCAAAAGATGGCTGCCTCCTCTCCGGGTTTCCCCGTTTTCATGTCGATGTCACCTGCTCGTCTCTGGTGTTACCTCCAGTCGGCGGATGATCTCCTTCAGCGGCAGCGCCGTCTCCGAGGCACCGATGAAGGTGGTGGTGGGCAGCCGGAACACCTTATCCAGGTCTGACTCGTCCAGCCCGTAGAAACCTACAAGTCCCATGATGCAAAGCAGCAGAGGCAGAAAGAGAGAGAGGGAGGGACAATCAAGGAACAAGAAGGAAAGGAAGGAGTTGCAGAAAGGTTGTAGGAAAGAGGAAGCAAGAGGACATGAAAGAAAGCAAGGTCATGTGTTTGTTCACACAGAGAGAGAGAGAGAGAGAGAGAGAGAGAGAGAGAGAGAGAGAGAGAGAGACAGAGAGAGAGAGAGAGAGAGAGAGAGAGAGACAGAGAGAGAGTCACAGGCTAGGCTAGGCCAAACTTCTTGCAACGTTTGGGGTGTGTGTGTGTGTGTGTGTGTGTGTGTGTTAGCTAAAGTCAACTGTTTGATCTGAAGTTTGTGTTTCAGGACTGAACCTGAACATCGTTTAAAATGTTTTTATCCTCCCTGTTTCCTGATCATTAATAACAACAAATGGTGACTTCCTGTTTCTCTACGTGTAGGAGAAGGTTGTGCTGCACCAGCTGCGGGTCAATCTGGATGTTCATGGATTTGGGGAGGTGCTTCAGCCTGGTCAAGGCCTGCTACATCACAGAGTCAGCTTTGTTCAAGTGTTTTTATAATGAGGGGAGTCATGGATGTAACTGCTGATCGATACCGTTGACCATGAAATTCAGATTTACGGCCTGGAACAGGGGGTGGGAATTACTGGGCCGGCCATTCAGGGGGTTAGGTTTCATCCCTTGGAAAGTCTGTGTGTGAGAATAAGCCCTACTTCACAAGGGAAGCATCAGCGGCGCAGGGCAGCAGCGGTTAAAGCATTGCATCAAAAAGAATCCAGTATAAATAAATGGAAGTGACTCAAACCGGTTGCAACACGGACATTTTCAGGGGAGCTCCAGAAGCAGCGCGCCGCGCCGCTACCGGTAGGATTGGGTGCTATTATTGCCAGAAGCTGCTTCTGGGACACGGCAATTTCCACAATTAATATAGAGCTAGACAGGAAATCACACACTGTTTCAGTGTAAAACCTCTAGTAATTTTCAAAATAAAAGACTATTGCAGCGATGCAATTACATGGCTTTGTAGATTATGTCAAAATAACAGCTTATTTACTCCCAGTATTAGTGTTTTTATGGCTTTAATCCTGACAGTGGACTGGAACAACATCTTAAAGGACATCAAACAGCAATATAGACATGACTTAATGGATGGCATAAACAAACAGACCTTTGAAGTCTCGAGGGATTTTGTGATCTTGAGAGTCCAGCAAGAAACACAACGGAGAAGCCAGTCCACGGCCGAGATTCTCCCGGTGTGCAAACTCGCAAGAAAACTGTTCCACACCCAGTGTTGGGAAAGTTCGTTTAAAAAAACGAACTAGTTCAAAGTTCAGTTCATACATTTTAAAATTAACTAGTTTGTTTCCTAGTTCATAATAAAAAATAATATATATATATATATATATATATATGTAAACATATTTACATATATATATATATATATGTGTATATCGGTGTATATATATGTATATATTTACATATATATATGTGTATATATATTTTTTACATATATATGTATATATACATATATATATATGTATATATATGTATATATATATATATGTATATATATACACATATATATATGTATACATATATATATATATATGTGTATATATATACATATATATATATATATATATATATATGTGTATATATATACATATATATATATATATATATATGTGTATATATATACATATATATATATATATATGTATATATATACACATATATATGTATATATGTATCTTAGGAAGCAGGCTGAAGTAGCAAACTAAACATATTAAAAGTGCAAAACATTAAAAAATTAATAATCTTTCGGTGAAGTCTCTTCAATTTTTCCAAATGAACTTTGACTCCTGAACACAGCATAGACGTAGAAGAATAGACGCCGCACCAACCGCTACTGCCTATGTTTGGCCGCCTTCGCGGGTTCTACTTTTTATAAACTCGATGGTTAACAGGATGTTTTAGCTAGGCTTTCACTCCGGAAAAGCTCAGAGGAGATCTGGAGCTAGAACAGCAAAAGAACGCGTTCACAAACCCGTTCACGCACGCCAAGACGAGCACAGTCACTTTTACGTTCGACAGGCAAAATACGAACGAGTTCAGTTCACTTTCACGAAAAAAAAAAAAGAAAGAAAAAATTCACGAACGATTGTTCAATGAACGCGTTCGGGCACACCACCGATGGCTCCAGTGTGAAGTAGGCGTAAGACGTGTCATCTGCCTACGTCGCCATGGACTAAGGCATGCCACAGGGGTCTAGTCTTGTATCGCTTCTGTTCTCTGTCTATTTGCTGCCATTGGGCAAGTTGTTCCACAAACACAAGATAAGTTTTTACTTATGCAGATGAATACCAGGTCTATGTTGCCCTGAAGAGTGGTGCAACAATCTCAGTCCAGCTGTTTTCAGACTATTTATCAAAGGTTAAAGCTTGGTTGCTCTCAATTCAACATTGACAAAACTGAGCCCAAATGTGAGAAGTGAGAATTTAACGGCTCCAGAGTTGACATCACTGGCCTCATTTAGGAAGGAGGTCAGTACTAATCTGGGAGTAGAAATGGATGATGAGCTCACTCTAGAAACACATCAATGAGACCGTCAGATCTGGTGTTGTTCTTATTTTCACTTGAAGGTGCATCTCTAAGATTAGACCTGTTCCAACGAGGGCTCATCTGGAAACTGTCATCCATGTGTTTGTGACCTCAAGTCTTAACTCCTGTATGGAGAAGCCAGGCCTCCATCTTTAGAATGCAGATGTTCCACAACGCTGCATCTAGATCCTTAACAGGTACAAAGAAAATGAACAAGAAAAGGTAATAGATGGATCCCTGGAACAGCAGAATCAGCTACCTCAGGTGTTTGCTAACCATCTAAATTCAATTCAATTCAAAACCACTTTATTAATCCCAGAGGGAAACTGATTGCTGTAGTAGCTCAGAATAATAATAATAATCAAGTCATCAAAGAGTTGTTGTATATTACGATGGCTGTTGGCAGGAAGGATCTCCAGTAGCGGTCAGTGTTGCAGCCAAACTGAAGAAGCCTCTGACTGAAGACACTCTTCCGTTGTCGGACAGTCTTGTGAAGAGAATGCTCAGGGTTGTCCATCATTTTCTTGATTCTCTGGAGAATCCTTCTTTGCATCATCTCCTCCAGCGGTTCCACAGTCGTCCCCAGAACAGAACCAGCCTTTTTTATTAGGCTGTTGAGCCTTTTCAGGTCCCTGCTTCTGATGCTGCTACCCCAACAGACGATGGCTGAAGAGATTACACTCTCAACAACAGACTTGTAGAAGATTTGAAGCATCTTGCTACAGACATTGAAGGACCTAAGCGTCCTCAAGAAGTGCAGTCTGCTGTTTCCCTTCTTGTAAACGGCTTCGCTGTTCTTTCTCCAGTCCAGTCTGTTGTCCAGGTGAACTCCAAGGCATTTGTATTCCTCAACCACCTCCACTTCTTCTCCCATGATGGAAACAGTGTTTGACTCCACCCTGTTTCTTCTGACGTCTAAAATCATCTCCTTTGTTTTGTTCACATTCAAGGTCAGATGATTGTTTCCACACCATGCCACAAAGCGCTCCACCAGCTCTCTGTACTCAGCTTCCTGTCCATCTCTGATACACCCGACAACTGCAGAGTCATCTGAGTATTTCTGTAGATGACAGGTCTCTGACTTGTACTGGAAGTCTGAGGTGTACAGGGTGAAAAGGAATGGTGAGAGTACAGTCCCCTGTGGTGCTCCAATGTTACTGATCGCCTGGTTTGATGTGCAGTTCTTCAGCCTCACAAACTGTGGTCTGTTTGTCAGGTAGTCTTTAATCCAGGTGATAGTTGAGGCCCCCACCCGTGTCTTCTGGAGTTTCTGGCAAAGTATATCAGGCTGGATTGTGTTAAACGCACTGGAGAAATCAAAGAACATGACCCTCACAGTACTGCCTGCTTTGTCCAGATGAGAGTGGATTGGTTGAAGCAGCTGGATGATGGCATCTTCAACTCCAACTCCATGGTGATATGAAAACTGCAGCGGGTCCTGATATGTCCTAGTTTGCTTATTCAGGTGGACCAACAGGAGTCTCTCCAGGACCTTCATGATGTGGGATGTCAGGGCAACCGGTCTGTAGTCGTCAATGACTGATGGGCGAGTTTTCTTAGGAACTGGAACAAGGCAGGATGTCTTCCACAGGACTGGAACCTTCTCCTGGGCCAGGCTGAGGTTGAAGAGGTGCTGCAGAATCCCACAGAGCTACTCTGCACAGGCCTTCAGTACCCTGGGGCTGACACCATCTGGACCTGCAGCCTTGTTCCTGTTCAGTCTCTCCAGCTGCCTCTTCACCTGACTTCTAGAGACAGATAGGTGGGAGGGGGAGGTAAATGGGGCAGCAGCATCTCCTGACTTGGTTGAAGACAGATTTATAGAACCAGAAGAGTCCATGACTGCGTTAGAGGACATAAGAGCTGGCGTGTGACAGGAAAATGTTGGATCAGAGGAGGATGGGATGTCTGATTGGCTGGGGACAGGCGAGGAGGATGCCGGGTTTGTTCCTGAACTGAACCTATTGAAGAACTTGTTCAGTTCATTGGCTGTGTCCAGGCTGCCATCTGTGCAATCCTTCCTCTGCTTGAAGCCTGTGATCTTCTTCATCCCTGACCAGACATCTCTGATATTGTCCCTCTGTAGTTTGTTCTCCAGCTTCTTCCTGTATGCCTCCTTGCTGTCTCAGATCTTGATCTTCAGTTGCTTCTGTATACTCCCCAATAATTCCCTGTCTCCCTCCTTGAAGGCTCTTTTTTTCTCATTTAGCAGATTCTTCAGTTCACTGGTGATCCAGGGTTCGTTATTAGCGAAGCAAAATGAAGTGCCGTCCGCCTCGGGGGCGGGCATCTAACCTATGAGAACCCACCCGATTGGCCAAATGGGTGAAGATCTCTATTTGATTTGTTAAAAAACATCATGCTTCCGTTTGATTGACAGAACACATTATGTTTAGCAAACATTTGAGCTGACCATTCATTGCGATATTTTTCAGCTCTTTGCGAGATGCACATTGTGCACGCTGATAACGATATATTTACGATATATTGTGCAGCCCTACTTTCATTCGTTTTTAAAGCGTTGCACGGAGCGGCTCGGTCGTATTTGTCTGAGCTGCTGTGCTCACTCGAGCCTCTTCGGGCGACCAATCAGCTCCCGTTGGTCGCTCAGACCAAAAAGGAGGACGGGGCCGGGCTTTCGCGGTTGTGAGCCCAAGGCCGTTGACCATTAGATGGAATCCCTCAGTTGAGATGTTTAATGTCAGCCTTTTTGAAGAATGCACAGTAAACAGTGTCGCCATTTCGTGTTTTACTGTTTAGCAGTACTGTGTGTACTTCGTAGTGATCGCTCTTCCCTGCTGTTGTTTGATTTGTAAATGTTTTTGTGTGTGCGGCGTTCAGCCCTCGGACCGTCAGGTGGTGGTCCAGGTCAGGTCAGATCCAGTCCCGTTTTACGTTGTTAACCAAACAAAGCCGAGGTGTTAGCCATTAGGGAAGGATTTAAAACACATTAGCGACCCTGACTTTGATCCAATCACAACCACCAGAACAATGAGACCAGGGCTGAGAAACTGGTGATGCTGAGAACCAGATAGATTTAAATCAGTTTTATAATAAATGTTTCATAGTTCTTATTTGTGAGATGATTTAAAACCAAATGCAGCTGTAAATAAATCATTTTTAATCATTTACGGACTTTGATCTCGTCTCCAACTGAGATAAAATATCAGCCGTTTCTTTTTTTTCCAGCTCTGTGAACTCGTTCGACAGTTCTGGTCTCAGAGGTCAGGTTCAGATCGGACCATCACGCAGCGATCAGCAGCAACGGGTCACGTGACTAAGCTGGGGAGGGGGTGCTCTGCGGGAGTTCAGCTCAAAAACAACAACTGTTGGTTTCCGTTTGAACATGACTGAATCAGCCAATCAGAGAGCTGGCGGTTAACCGTTCAAGCAGCAAAATCAGCCAACCAGGAAGCAGTACAGCATACAGCAGCACGCGAGTCACAACTCAAGGCTGTCCATCACCCCTCCACCCCAGGAAGGCGGTGACGGAGACGTGAAGCAGGACGACAAACCGAGCAACGTTACCCATCTGAGGACGACCGACTCCGAACCGAGCGTGGCAGTCTGACTCTGAAACAGACACACAAGACTTTAACAACACACACCCGCAGCTGGCAGAACCAGAACCGGAACCCGGACCTGCATCAGATGCTCAGAGCTTCAAGGTTTCTGTTGACCTGCTGTGTCAGTCGTTAATCAGCTAGTTACCGGCTGGTTATCAGTAGATCTCCATCGGTTACTGAACATCTACAGTTTTCTGCATTCTAACTAGTTTTTAACTACATGAACCCAACTTTTTCTCTTGGTTTGTTTTTCTGTAAAAATCCGTAAGATACACAGATTAAAGGAACAAAAGTTATTATAGTAATAGTAATAGTAATGATAATAATAAAGTAAATATCACTAATGATGACGATCTGAGAAAACCCATAAAAACTGGAGGAGACGGATGTGGTAGACTCAGCTGGAGGCTCCGCCTCCATCAGAAACAGACCTGCTTCAGCTTCAGGAAGCAGCAAAGCAGCAGACCCACCTGGAGCCCTGTGACCTCTCACCGTGGTTCAGTGTTTCCTCCACTGTTGACCTCTGAGCTGCCTGGAGCAGCATCACTGATGACAGCAGAGCTGACGTTTAAACAGTCATCAGGTTGGTTAAAACCCATCAGAACATCTGGAGGAGTTTGATGGAAACGGTTTAGAAGAATCTACTAAAACGGCAGTAAAACACTGAACCACATGAAACGTGTCAGTCTTTCTGCTGCTTCTGCAGGAGGAGTTCCAGGTGGGAAGCTGCTGCTGCTGCTGCTGTTGGACCGGGCCAGAACCTGGTTGTGGACCCAGAGCACACTAAGCTAGAGGCTGCACGGCAGGAACACAGCAGGATGATCTCGTACCTCCCACCATTAGGAGTCTCAGCCTCTCCTTGAACACAGCCACATCTGGAGGGTCACCAGCAGGGGGCAGCAATGAGGAGAAACACCATCATGAGTCATCACATCGTTACATACCTCCACCATGTTTAGCCCGTAACACACCACCATCACAACCATCCACAGCTCGAAGAGACCAATCAGCAGCCCGGTGCCTCGTCGTCTCCGCCGCGTCATCGTTTCCGACGCGGTGAAGAGAACGAGACGCAGCTCAACCATGCTGAGGTTAGACAGGAAGCAGGTCACCTTCACCACAGCTGGGACAAGACTAACTCCTGGGAGCAGGGCGCACTTCGCTTTCATTACAAACTCACACCCAGAGGGAAACCACGTCTAAAAATAAAACCATCTGATCTCAGATCATTTCTCTGAACGGTTTCATAAATCTAAAAATAACTGAATATAAACACAAAACCGTCTGAAGTCAGAGGGTTTATTAAATGTGGAGGAAACGTTTTTAAAAAGTAAAACCCACATAAATTATTTTTCGATTAAGTTCTGGTTCTGAAACATCTACACCGTTTTATATAATGAAGCTGAGCCGGTTACAGGAACGCAGAACCGAGACCATCAACACGCCACAATCAGCCAGCAGGTTCGGCCACAGGTTCCCGAGCCAACCAGCTAGCAACGCAAAGTGATACCAACCAGATGGGTTACAGAACCAACAGGCGACGGTGGCATAAGAGCTAAGAGCTCGCCCCGTAATCGGAAGGTTGCAGGTTCGAGCCCCGCTCAGTCTGTCGCTGTCGTTGTGTCCTTGGGCAAGACACTTAACCCGCCTTGCCTGCTGGTGGTGGTCGGAGGGACCGGTGGCGCCAGTGCTCGGCAGCCTCGCCTCCATCAGTGCGCCCCAGGGCAGCTGTGACTACACTGTAGCTCATCACCATCAGTGCGTGAATGTGTGTGTGAATGGGTGAATGACTGATTGTGTTGTAAAGCGCCTTGGGGGGTTCCAGGACTCTAGAAGGCGCTATATCAAATACAGGCCATTTACTATTTAATTGAAATTACCAACGGAACAGGTCACCGACCCAAAGAGTTGCATGTTCAGACGTAAACCAGAACTTCAGGATGTGATCAGTGGTGCTTTTGTTGGATTTGTTTGTTAGAACCGACAAGATCCGTTTTAGGTGTGTTCTTGCTGTGTCTTTGTAAATCCATGCTTTCGTTCTTTTTTAAACACAGAAACAGTTTTGTTTACCTGTTTGTAGCTACGGTTTCGCCGACAGCTACCGGCTTCTTCAGCCTGAAGAAGCCGGTAGCTGTCGGCGAAACCGTAGCTACAAACAGGTAAACAAAACTGTTTCTGTGTTTAAAAAAGAACGAAAGCATGGAAGATCCGTTTGTCTGGAGCTGGAAGCCCCGTCCCGTCTACTCACCAGAACTCAATCAGCTGTTTTAATCATCTAATCAATAATTCCAGCTAGGGCTGGGCGATTTGGCCTTAAATCAATATCACGATATATTGAGGATTTCACCTCGATAGCGATAAACGGACGATAACTACAGGTGTGCGCAGAGACAAAAGTTGTCCACTAGATGGGGCTGCCACGTGTATCACGCTGAGTCACATTTTTACGTGACTCAAGGTGGTACAGCTTCTTAAAGGGACATGAACGTTGCCAACCTACACACATCTTTTCATTTTTTACTATCAAATTTATTGACATGGGAAAAATGATCTCGATAAAAGTCAGAAATTTTGATAATGAGAAATTTTCGCTTTATTGCCCAGCCCTAGTTCCAGCTAAGCTTTGGTGAGAACCTGGTGGATCTGCGTGTCGGCACCTGGAAACCAGCTCTAGCTCTAATCAGGACAACGTCTCTGGTTTTATCAGAGACCTGCAGCCAGCCACTAGGGGGCGGTCCTTATGCTTCTATGTCTAGTTCAAACAGAACCAGCCCAGTTTAAAACACCTGAACAGAGCCTCGGTTATCGGCGGTTAATAGCTTTAAATTTAAGACAAAAGTTTGAAAGCAAAAACAACAGAAAGTTTCATCTAAACCGTTTTTAAACTGTTAGACATGCATGTTAGACTGATTAATAACACACGCTAACGGCTTCATGCTGGCTTTAGAAGGCTGCCAGGTCCTCCTAGACCACTAGATGGCAGTAAGTGATCCACACAGCTCCTTTAAACTACAGCTGGAGAAGATAAGAGGTGTTTCTCAATGTCAAGGCGCCTGGCCTTGCGAGGCGATGTCTTGCAAGGCCAGGCGCCTTGCTTACGAGGACAGGATCCTTCCTTGGTCAAAGAAAACAGTTAAATGGAACGGACTCTCATCACGTGACCGCGGCTTCCACGGCGGTCACGTAACGTCACGTGACGGGGAGATAACATTATATTCTATACATATTGGTTTCAATATATAATGAGACTTTTACTTTTTAAATTGTGTATATGTTTATTAAATTAAAAATATAAGTGAGTTACTACCCGCTAGCCACCGAAGCTGCAACTACTAAGCTACTAACCAACCATAGATAACTTCTTTGGATCTAAAACAACATTTTAAATTAGATGACTTACTTTTAAACTTGAAAATTGTCCCCGAAGTAGCTGCTGGCTTCTGATCTGCCGTCCTTTTGAAAATACTGCGGTGTATTCTGGGTAATTTTTGACCAAGGCTAGGCTACAAGACACCTCCCGTGTATCATCGCACAGCTAGCTAAACGGCTAACAAACGGCGAACACACGCCTCGGTAGAACGTGAACATTGGAACACGTCTTGGCGGCTCCTGATTACGTATCTCCTAGGCAACCGGGGCGGAGCCAAGACATCACGGCGAGGTTCCTTGGCTTTGAGAAACACCCAAAGTCCCACACACACCACACACACCACAGACACCAGGCACAGCCGCGCTCGGGAACCATTTGGTGGTTTTACCCCCCAATCCAACCCCTTAATGCTGAGTGTCAAGCAGGGAGGCATTGGGTCCCATTTTTTCTAAGTCTTTGGTATCACTCAACCAGGAATCGAACCGTGATCTCCCAGTCTCAGGGCGGACACTACCACTATGCTGTGATTCAAACCTTCCTCCTGAATAAATCTGTTTATTGTGTCAGTAATAAAAACAATGAGCTCTTAATGAGCTCCTGCTAGGTGTGCCCAACCCTGATCCTTGAGATCCCCTCTCCAGCATGTTTTAGACGTTTCCCTGTTTCAACACACCTGATTTGAATCAGTGGTGATTAGCAGTGTTCTGCAGAGCCTGAGTAGCTGCTGAACAGGTGATTCAGCCACTGAATTAGCAGAGTGAGACATAAAACAAGCTGGATATGGGATCTTGGGGATCAGGGTTGGGCACACCTGGTTTAGTAGAACCAGAGAAGGAAGATGGTTCCAGTTTTAACCAACTTCTCTTTAGAAGAAGCATCAGTTTTATGGTTCTGTTTCAAGCTGATAGTCAATTCCTATAACTAGCACCTCTAACAGGGTTAGTTTTCCACATGGGGAAGAGTTAAACCTTCGTCCTATAGGAGGAGCTTCCAGTGAGCCAACACAGCCAGGAAAACTGCCCTCGTACAAGAGAAGGTGAAGAATCCAGCCAGCACTCCGAGGAAAGTCCTCCAATGAGCAGCAGCTTCAGATCTCAAACGGCTGCTTCTACAGGTGAGTCTGAGAGCCAGGTGAATCAGGGTAAGAGAACAGGTGACAAGGCAGTGGACAAGCTCCTCACCTAGCTTGTCGGAGGAGGTGATGATGTCAGTGGGAACACACGAGTCCAGATCAGCGTCCATGATGCCGAGCGGGTCCAGCTGGGCCACGTGGTGCCCTCGGATCTACGGAGGGGGGACAACAGCGCAGAACCCACCCAGAACATGAGGAGGAGGAGGACAGAATGACAGGAGATAAAAAAGCCAAATAGAGGAGGAGCAAAGCAAGGAGATGTAGAGAGTAACACAAAGATGCAGAAGGACAGATTAAACAGGAAGTTCAAGAGAAGAAACGAAGGATTGGAGGAGGAGGAGGAGGAGGAGGAGGAGGAGGAGGAGGAGGAGGAGGAGGAAGGTGAGTGAGAAAGAGAAGAACAATATTAACATGTTTGTGCTTGATTAATTGTTGAGATCTCACCAATATTCTGGACACATTATCAATTTTCACACATCTGATTCCCACATGGGTTATAATGTATTACACGCACGCACACACACACACGTCTCTGTACCTGATAGGCCCTGATGAGGGATTGCACAGCCAAGTGATCCTCCACCAGCTTCTCCACGTTGGGCGGAGCTCCGACCAGGGAGGAGAGCTGAGGCGTGACGAGGCCCGGCGCCGCAGACAGACCCAGAGGAGACTGGTACGCGGCGCCAGGGGGAGCGCCAGCGTTGGCGTTCCGAAAGAAGACGTCCCACGACTGGAGGAGAGGATGGGGAGACGTCAGCCCACAGAAGTGACGCGATTAACAGTAAATGAGACGGTGGTTTTATTTTGACGGGCCCACTGAGATCTTTTGTCTCAGTTATTTAAAAAACAACAACAAATAAATAAATAATAAATGCCACAACAATAAAGAAGCAGGTGTCTGGTTCTGAGCAGCTTCCTCCTGCTGATGAAACCCGGAGAATCCGACTTCTCCAAGCCTGCTCTCTCACCTCCTCTACACGTGTGGATTTGGACACGTCTCCCGTCACGTGTGACATAAAGCTTCGCCTACATGTGTCAGACGTTCACGAATAAGTCTGGGCCAGGAATCCACACACAGCTTTTTACTCACATTAAATAAAACTCACAGTTCTCACCGGCTGGTCGTCGCCGCTTTAGCTGTGGTTAGCTGGCGCTAGTTAAACACGGTTAGTTAAATGTTAGCGGTTAGCTCAGAGGCGCTACAACCTCAGAAATGAACTGGTGTTGTGTTATTACATGTTTTTATGCTGAGTGGAGCGCTGTAGAAGGGCCTTCGGTCGGTCCATGTTTGATTATTTTATCTACAACTCAAATGTGCTTTTCTACTAAATCTGTATTTTCTGTAGCTGCTGACATGACTGAGTCTCAACTGACAATGTTAACAAAATACGAACTTGAGAGGATAAATTAACTCTGATGTCAAAAAACTTTCACTTTTCAGCGATAAATCTTCCATCAGAGAAGATTTATTACTGATGTTTAACCGTAGAAGAAGCCAGGAAACCAAACAGACCTCAGATCAGTCATAAGATCAAGTTAATGACTGGCTGAGTTACGCAGCTAGTGACATGTAACCCAGCTCCATGACCTGAGTGCGCCCAGCAATCACAGACAGGGCCATGGTTCTGGTTCTGGAGTAAACGTGACCTCTGCTCTGACTTAAGGAGTGAAACGGGTTGGTCATGTGACCAGAGCCGCGGGAGCTATTATTAGCCTTCTGTCCTTTCAGATTCAGATCAGTGAAACCCAATCTGCTTCGTCAGCAGCCGAGTCACCTTCTCCAACCCGGTGTAGGACTCGGGGTCAGAATCAGGGTGAGGGTCTCTGTGAACACCAGGGGTCTCATTTATAAAACACTAAAACCGTACTTAAGCTCTGCAAATAAAAAAGTGCTTACGCCAGGTAGGCTTGTGATCTATCAAACATGGAGGACGCACAGCTGCACGCAATCTCCGCTTCATAAATCAGAGATTAACTAGAAAGTTTCTCAGCTGCATTTTAGTCACATCCCGCCCTCACCACGCCCACTTACTGCCATAAATAGTCAATGCAAAGTGCCTTGTGGACCTCACACATATACATAAGCCGGTTGTTGCAGCGCTCCGCCAATGACATGGCGACCGTAGATCAAGGAAGCGCAATTTCACAGAAGCAGAAGTTGAGGCACCTGTGGGTGAGGTGGAGAAATGAAAGGAAGTGCTTCTGCAAAACAAGAGAAAATCCACGGAGTGGCACAGCGTTGCTGAAGCCGTCAATGTTGTGTTCTCCAGAGAGATCTGTGGCGGATATAAAAAATCGTCCAATCGGGATTCGATCACCAGACTCCCAGGTGAAAGTCACGCGCGCTAACCAGTCAGCCAAACGGAGATCTCCCCTGTACAAGTAGCCAGGGCGCATGATCAATCGGGTCACAGTGACAGGACACACACTGTCACAGACGCATGATGTTCTGTCTCAATCTGTCCCCCTGTCCGTATTCTGCGCTTCAGGCTGTGTGTGTGTGGTGTGTGTGTGTGTGTGTGTGTGTGTGTGTGTGTGTGTGTGTGTGTGTGTGTGTGTGTGTGTGTGTGTGTGTGCGTGTGTGTGTGTGTGTGTGTGTGCGCATGTGGGAGGTCTTGTTCTGTGTGAAAACGAAGCAGTACAAGTGATAATGCTGCAGGATTTCAAAATTGTATCTTCTCAGCAGCAGCACTGCAGGTGCTCTCCATGTCCAACATGTGCGTAAGCCAGGTCCGTAGTCAACTTAAAGTTGCGCACATTTTTCCGCTACGTTTTCTTTCATAAATCCCAAAGTTTGTGTGGAAAGTTGCTTACGCAGTTTTCCGACCCCGTTTTGTGCGTAAGCGAGCTCGATGAACGAGACCCCGGGAGAACATGGTTTGTGAGGAGGAGGTGAGCCGAGTTCTATGATCCACTTCCTCTCATCTAGAACTAAAGTTACAGAGAAGCGTTCACATGACAGGTCACATGCTTCCCCGCATAGCTGATGACGCTACCGCTGACAGAAAGGCAGAGAGGAGGAGACGCAGCAAGCAGCTGAAGCAGAGAACGCTGTCTGGATGTTTTCTGAGTCCAACATGAAGTCGGTTTCTGTCTGAATTAAAGCTGATGTCTGGGACTGGGCCTCATGATAATTGACCCGCACTTGTATGGCGCCTCTCAGAGTACGGACTCCAAAGCGCTTTACACTACAGTGTATCATTCATCCGTTCACACACACATTCACACACTGATGGGGATGAGCTACGATGTAGCCACAGCTGCCCTGGGGCGCACTGACACCCCGGGTTTCCACGGGAGCCGTCAGCAGCACGTTACTGCAGCAGCACGTCTTGCTCGCGTAAGCTGCTGCTTGGCCCTTCCCACGAGACGCGAATCAGCAGGGGAGCAGCTGTCACCGACAGAGCACGAAGTCACACGAGTGACTTCATCAGTAAACACAACAACAAGCAGGAGAAAACTACAACATGGCTCCAAAATGTTTGTGTTTTTATGTTCTGTCCATTTTATAATCGCCAATACGGACCTGAAAAACAAAGGAGACCGCTAGCTAGGTGATAACTTCTCACGGGGACGCACAGTTAGTAACCTTTTTTAAAGTAAAGCAACCGGAAGGCAGTACGTTCTTTATTCTGAAAATCTCGGTAGCTTCTCTCAATTTCCGCGTCCGATTTCCTGTCTTTCCTTCCCCAAAAATGTCGAACTTGACCCGTTTCAGAGGCGTCGCGCGTAGGAAATAGAACCGGCGCGTAAAGGCCGCGACATGCTGCTCCTGAGACGCGTCCGACTCGCGCTGCTGACGGCTCCAGTGGAAAAGGTTCTGTTGACCACAGCGGTTCCTATCAGCAGCTATGACGTGCTGCTGACGGCTGCTGTGGAAAGCCGGGGACAGAGGCGAGGCGCCACCGGTCCCTCCGACCACCACCAGCAGGCAAGGTGGGTTAAATGTCTTGCCCAAGGACACAACAGTAGAATTCTCTGTCCGGAGCCGGGATCGAACCTGCAACTTTCCGATTACCGGACAACCCGCTCAACCTGCTGAGCTACTGCTGCCCCCTAGAACCACAACCTGTGTGGAAAACTCTCCGGTGTGCCTTTTGTCCATTCATTCATTCATTCATTCATTCATTCATTCATTCATTCAGGACTATGACTTCACCAGCTTGAGTACAGAGAGAAACCAGCAGGTTCACCTTGGCCTGCAGCAGATGTCCTTCATGTTTCTGATTGGAGGGTTTCACTGAACCACAGCTGGTCCACAGAACCACTTCTACACTCTGGTTCCTCCCTAGAACGGCAGAAACATCTGAAGCTAACACACAAACTAAACAACGGTCATCAGAAACAGCCGAGGAGCTGTGAAGCTGCAGCTCTTTGGATCTGTTTAGATCAGAAGCTGAGAGGAACCGAGTGGGTTCTGCTGCGGGTTCCTGAGGGTAAAACGGCTGGACGGAGCTCATTTAACGAGGTTATCGGAGCAGGCTGATGTCGAGTAACCAACTCAAACCAGAACACGCCGGTCTCTGGAGAACAGCCTCACTAACCAGATAATTAGAGAAGAGTTTTAATAGAATCCGTTTTTTACTCTCAGCTGTTTCCGATCCTGATCTTCTCCCAGGCTGAAGTTCAGATTAACAACCCTAAACGGTCTTTTCCTTCCATCTCCTGAGCCGACTCGCACGTGCTTCAGATCAGCCTACTTCCTGTTGTCAGACAGCTTTTAAACACATGAATTTCTGATTCTACGGGTCTGAGATAATCCAAGTTAACTCATCACTTAACCATGACCAGGTTAGCTTAGTTTTGTGCCACTAAGGGGGACAGATTGACTATCTGAGTCTTTTATAATGGTTCTCTGTTCTTACATGAAGCGATTTCAGCAGTTGTGTTCCGACAGTTTCAGTAGCTTCCAGAATGAGCCGTGTCAGGGCTCTGTGAATTTACAAAAACAACCAGGAGCTGGCCACGCCCACCCCTTCCCTGATTGGCAGCTGTGAGGTGAGGAGCTTGGATCTCCAGGAGGGATCAGAGTAGAGCTGCTGCTCTTCCAGTGCTGACAGGTGGGAGTTGGGAGGGAGTTTTTATTCTTGTTTGGGGTGTTTCTAGAGGCAGTAGAGACCCACATGGCAGCAAAAAAAATACAATTAGCATAAAACGTCCCCTTTACATAAATAAAACCACCACCCATAAACTGTTTTTGTTTTCATTCAGGCGATCTTTGATAGGTTTGTTTTTACAGTACTGACAAACATCACCTGTCTCTTCTACCTGAGACAAGCTCCACCCCTTTACCTACTGGGGTTACCCTCTTTCTCACCTTGTGAACACTCTTGGGGTTCTCCAACCAGGCGTAGTACATCTCCTCCACATAGTTCGAGCTTGTCCCATTCAGGAATGGCTCTGAGGCCACAGGTGCCGAGTAGCACCTGATTGGCTGAAACGTCCTATTGCAGCCTGTGGAGGCTACTGTGATTGGCCGCTGCTGGCAGACAGTCTGAGCCGCCTGTGAGGCGGTGAGCGGACGCAACCGTGCCGCACAAGTCCTTAAACGATGCATGAGCAGTCTTTAGTTTGTCTCACACACAATGGTGGCGAGTCCAGTGGGCAGAAGGTTGTTGCCCTCGCACAACAGCAGGAAATAAAATCCACTTGGGTCACTCCCACGCCAGGAAGGGCTGAAGGTCCACTGAGGGGGGAAAGAGAGGGAGACAGAGCGTTAGAAAAGACAAGAACGCAGGAGGACATATGATGCATAAATAAATCACCCCGATCCTGAAAACCACAGAAATGGAGATGCAGGTTACTGTCAGGACCCACCTCTTCTCCACCCATCCCCACAGATCCCTCCATCTAAACAGGAATCCGTTCACACTGAAGTCCTCAGATGCCCAGCATTTAATCTGACCTTCACCTTATCAGGAAACCACAACTGTGGCCTCGTAAGGAAAATCTTAATTCCTTAATAAATCTAACAAGGTTGAGGATTTCCTGGTGAACAGGAAAAGCTGTGCAGCATAAAACAGAAAGTTAGTTCCTTTACCAACAATACTGACTTCTTCTTGAACCCTTCTTTACAGAGAGAGGGCGTGGCGTGTTTCAGCTATGCTCTATGTGGGCGTGGCATGTTGGTATGACAGGTTAGGGTCAGATTTGCTTTATTTTCCTAAAATCTGCGTGTTGGTCCAATCCATCAACTATTATTTCTTTTGCAAGGATCCAAAATGGCCGAACCATTGATCCAGGTGGTCTTTATTGTCTTGTCGTCTTGAATTAAGGCCCCCGGTTGTTCTGCTGGAAACGTTCAGGTATCTGTGCTTGTACTTGTTTACTCCAGTTTCTGCGGCCCAGTTTGGATATCAACAGTTCCTTAGGACTTTTCCGATGTGTTTTTTGTTAACCACTAATGTTCTGTATGCTGCGGGATGCTCTGAAGACCAGAGCAAGGGTTGACCGCGTGCATGCACACCACTTCCACACAGCACACCTGGAACACTCGAGGTCATTCCTCCAACAACTTGTGAAGAAGGCTTCAAAGAAGAAGCAAAGAACACCTCCGTTTTCCACCTTACATCCTTGCCTGTTTAAGAGGAAATCCCCACCCTTGTTACAACAGTGTGACGGGGTGGGCAACATAAAAATACATGTAAAATAAGACAAATCAGACAATATAAAAACGACAATAAAACCATTTCCAACAACATAATCAAACCACCAAGAGAAAGGAGATTATTTTGTAACTGAGTGGTGATGATTCTTCTGCACGATGTTTTCTACATGTTTGATAATTAGGGACGTTCAATATCATCAGTTGATACTGGCTTTACTAACTAACTAACTAACTAACTAACTAACTAACTAACTAACTAACTAAAACTTTATTTATATAGCGCCTTCACATGGCCCAAGGACCAAACAAAGCGCTGCACAGCAGAAATAAACATTAAAAACATATAAAACCATTTAAAAACCAACAAAAACATGCAGATAAAATCTAGGCGGGGCAGCAAAAAGTGCAAAGCCATCAGTTAGCGAGACTCTTCTTGAACAAAAGCCAAAGAATAAAAGTGAGTTTTCAGCTGACTCTTAAACTCGCCGAGCGCGGTGGCCTGTTTCACACATGTAGGTAGCTCATCCCAGAGCCTCGGCCCCGGCACCGAGAAAGCACGACCCCCTTGGGATTGTAGTCTGTGTTTAGGAACGACCAACAGTCCTTGTAGTGCTGATCGAAGGCTCCTTGCGGGAACATAAGGATGGATCAGATCTGCCAGATAACGTGGAGCCAACTCATTTAAACATTTAAAAACAAACACCAGAACTTTAAACGAAATTCTAAAAGAGACTGGAAGCCAGTGTAGGGATGCCAAGACGGGCGTGATGTGTTCAGATCTCCTGGTACCAGTCAGTAACCTGGCTGCCACATTTTGGACCTTCTGTAGTTTCGCTATGGAGGCCTGCTTGATGCCTGCATAAAGCGAGTTACGGTAGTCCAGTCTGGTGGGAATGAAGGCGTGGATGACAGTTTCCAGATGTTTACGTGAAAGAAGCGGCCTAATCCTAGCTATTCTTCTGAGATGGAAATAGCAGGATCTGATGGTTCCATTGACCTGGGTGTCCAGTGTGAGCTCAACATCCAACTTCACCCCCAGGTTGGTGACCACAGCCTTCTCAAAAGGCACTAATGAAGGGGAGTCAATCCCTTGGGCACATCCATGTTTGTATTTCGGGCAGAACAGGATAGCCTCAGTTTTATTCTGGTTGAAGAACAATACATTTTGAGCCATCCATAACTTGACCTCCTCCAAGCAGTCCAAGAGTGGTTCAAAAGAACTTGAGTTATTGCTTGATACTGGTAAATAAATTTGACAGTCATCCGCATACGGGTGAAACCTGACGTTGTGCTGACGAAATAAGTCACCCGGCGGCAGCAGATAGAGGGAAAAGAGGACAGGTGCCAGGACTGATCCCTGAGGCACTCCACACTGCAAATCAGCAGTATCAGACGAACAGTCCCCCAGGCTTTAAAATGCAATATTAGAAATTATTTAATATAACTGAGTTTTAACTCTTAATGACAACTTTTACATACCATGCACATATTACACATCAAACTGCTGCTTTCTGTTGTATTTATTACTCAGTTTGAGCATATTTAATTATTAAAAATATGTTTCATTCCTCAACATAAAAACGTGTTGGGCGACGGTGGCACGGGAGTTAAGTGATCACCCCGTAATCAGGAGGTTGCAGGTTCAAGCCCCGCTCAGATTGTCGCTGTCGTTGTGTCCTTGAGCAAGACACTTAACCCGCCTTATCAGCAGGTGACGGTCGGAGGGACCGGTGGCGCCTGTGCTCTGTAGCCTCACCTCTGTTAGTGCTGCCCAGGGCAGCTGTGGCTACATCGTAGCTCATCCCCACCAGGGTGTGAATGTGTGTGTGAATGGGTGACTGATTGTGTTGTAAAGCACTTTGGGGGGTTCCAGGACTGTAGAAGGCGCTATATCAAATACAGGCCCTTTTCCATGTGTGAACTTCTTCTCCAGGATCGTTTCAGTGGGTCACCAGAACACAAGGTGCTTGTCAGCCTTTCCATGTTTCTAATCCGTTCACCTTCATTATTTTAATTCCCTGCTTTATCCAAGCTTCAGCTGCTTCTTCACACAAAGATAAAGATCCACTGTTCTGAGGAGCGGTGATCTATGGAGCGACCGATTCGTGTTGCTGGTGAGTTTTAGTTCTGTCCGGTCAAACGCCAGTGTTTAAAAATAAAACGTTTACTTCACGGATGACAACTCCTGGTAGTTGTGAGAAGAGGCAGAACATTTCTATCAACTATAACATGGTTATGAAAAGGCGATGCTGCTTATATGGATGATAACTGATCTACACTGAGACAGAAAGCTGGTCTTAGTGGTTCTGATCCAAGAAGAACAGCTGAATGAGGTCCTGTCAGGATCTCATGGACCAGTACAGGCTTGGATCTGGGTCAGGAGCCTCCATGCTGACCCAGGTCCACCAGGATGTGTGGGACTGGCCTGGGGGGGGGGGTGGAGTCTGATGCATTGAACTGAGTTCTTCTGGAAAACTTTGGGTTCTTGTTGTGCATGAGGACTTTCTTTTATCAATGTTGCTCTGATGCTTCACTGTCACATTTTCAGAACTTAAAAGGAAATTCTGATGACTTGATTAATGGTGTACCTCTGCGACGTCAACAAATACGGAAGACAAATCTAAACCACCGGTAGCAACAACCAAAAGACTTTTCTCTGCAGCTAAATGGCTTTCCAGGTTAGGTGTACAGCTGATTTTAACGGATCTGAACACACGCTGCTGTTAAAGACACTAGTCACGAGTTCAGAAGACCCAGCACCGGAACCGTGACCCGGTCTCTACAGTACAGCGTCTGCTCTGCGGATCACCCTTCCGAAGGAGTTACGGTATTTTGACCTTGTTGTGGGACTACATTACTTGTCTGGAGCCACCTGCCCAACGCTCATCCTGATTGGCAGCTTGTGGGAACGCCCGCCCATAGAGGACATTCCAGTTTTGCTATTGGCCATTGAAACTGTCCGTCACATTGTCCTTTCACGAGTCATGGGTTCCCGTAAATGACGCTCCCTATCATACCACTTTGAAATTCGCGTATTTGAACGTTTGTAATGTTTGAAAAGTAGCTCAGAGAAGTGAAAACATGCGCATTATCCTTCCGCACAAACGCGGTGCGTGATTAGCTGTACAGCTAGTGCGGCAAGTTATGTAATTAGCCGGTTAGCTCTACAGGTAACATGACGATAATTACAATAACCCACGGCGTTAACTAACAGTTAGTTGTGTAAAGTGAATAAGCACTGAAAGTTGTGTCCGGTGAGGCAGTTTTTAACGGGAGACCGGACGCTCACGCCAGATAAGACGGGTGTTAGCCCTCATGAGGCTAGCACAGCATGCTAACAGGAGTTAAACGGGTTTAAAAAATCATTTCAACTCAAAGTACAACCCGCCTTCACGTGGAATACCACATCATAGAGACATATTGTCGGGAAACGAACCGGTTACTAACCTCCAGAAGAGTCTCGACGTCTCCGCCAGCGGCCGGTATCCCAGATGCCCTTCGCCTCTCCCGGTAAAACGATGACAGCTCCCGGAGCGTAGAAGCGAGGTCACGGTGACGCGATGACGCACGGCGCGAGGGCGGGGTCTAACGTTTCAAGTTGTAGAGCTTTGTTTGTTTACTTTTTTCTGACAAAAACCTCCGTCCACTCTGTTGCAGACTGTGAGAACTTTCTGTCTTTCTTTGTGGACAAAGTCAATAAGGTTAGATCTAGCATCTCTCCTTCAGCCTTATCGCCGCCTCTCCCGACTCCAACCAGGCCCATCATCCTAGATAGCTTTGCTCCTGTTTCTTTGCCTGAGTTAACCAAACTAGTTAACTCTACGAAGACCTCTGCATGCCCCCTCCACATCTTACCCTCGTCTTTGTTTAAAAGTGCTTTTCAGTCCATCGGTCCCAGCGTGCTCTCTATAATTAATGCTTCTCTGGTTTCTGGTCAGGTCCCTGCTTACTTTAAGAATGCTGTAATCCACCCGCTTCTTAAAAAACCGAGTCTTGACCCCTCTCTCCATAGCAGCTTCAGACCCATCTCTAAACTTCCGTTCATCTCCAAGATCTTGGAAAAGGTTGTGGCTAAACAGCTCACAGCTGCTCTTGATGAACATAACATCTATGATAGCTTCCAGTCAGGTTTTCGTAGAGCTCATTCTACTGAAACAGCTCTTCTTAGGGTCTCTAATGACCTTCTGACCCACAGTGATGCAGGGGACTGTTCTGTTCTGGTCCTGCTGGACCTGACTGCAGCCTTTGACACTGTTGACCATCACCTGCTACTGGAGAGGCTGAGAGACTGGGTAGACCTATCAGGATCTGCTCTGGAGTGGTTCTCCTCTTATCTCTCTGAGCGCTCCTTTTCTGTGGCCGTCTCCAAGTTTAGGTCCTCCACCACCTCTCTTACCCATGGTGTCCCACAAGGTTCTGTGCTGGGGCCTCTGCTCTTCCTCCTCTATCTGCTTCCTCTTCAGAACATCCTGAGCTCCTTCAAAGGAATCTCCTACCATCTTTATGCAGATGACATCCAACTGTACATCTCCTTTAAGCCCCATGAGATGTCTAAGCTGCAGCTGTTACACACCTGCTTAGACTCTATCAAAACCTGGATGGTGGGAGCTTTCTTCAGCTGATTGAAGATAAGACTGAGATCCTCATCTGTGCCCCAGACAAGCTGGTTCCCAAAGTCAGAGACTCTCTTGGTCAGCTTGCTTCCCATACCAAACCTTCTGTCAGGAATCTTGGCGTGACCTTTGACCCAGCTCTCACCCTGGATTCTCACGTCAGTTCTCTTGTTCGCTCTTCCTTCTTCCATCTCAGGAACGTTGCTAAGCTGAGTCCCATTCTGTCTCGATCTGAACTTGAGACAGTTCTCCACACCTTCATCTCCTCACGCTTAGACTACTGTAACTCTCTTTTCACGTGTCTGAGCAGAACCTCCCTGAACCGTCTACAGGTGGTTCAGAACGCCTGTGCTCGGCTTCTGACCAAGTCCTCCAAACGCACCCACATCACCCCGCTTCTCCTCCAGCTTCACTGGCTGCCAGTCAACTTCAGGGTTCATTTCAAGATCCTGGTTCTGGTCTATAGGGCCTTACATGGACAAGCACCATCTTACATTGGTGATCTTCTTAGTCCCTACACCCCCAGCAGGTCCCTGAGGTCCAGTGATCAAAGCCTACTGGTTGTGCAGCACCAGGCTAAAGGTCAAAGGTGACAGATCATCTGCTGCTGTGGCCCCCAGACTCTGGACCTCTCTCCCCCTGAGCCTGAGATCAGTGGACTCAGTGGTCTCCTTTAAAAAGCAGCTGAAGACTCACGTGTTCAAGCTGGCTTTTGTATGACCTTCTTCACCTCTCTCTCTTTATTCTGCTCTCCCCACCTATTCCACCTTCCTCAGGATCCACGGATTTCCCTCTTTCCTGTTCACTCTTTTTTTTAATCACAATTGTCTATTTTTTGCTCATTTTAAATATATTTTTCAAACATTTTTTCAATTCTTTTTTATACTTTTACATTTTTAGTTTTTGTGAAGCGCCTCGTGATTTTTATCTTGAGAGGCGCTATAGAAATGATATTTTCTTTCTTCTTCTAAACAAACTTCTAATAGTAGACCAATGTCTCCCAGCCTGTTTAGGATTAATTAAGATGAAAGTAAAGATTTGCTACATTTTTAAAGGATTGAAAAGTTTCAAACTTATAACCTATCACCACAATACTTACATATTTTAAAAAAATTTAAATGCATATTAAAGGAAAAAGGAATATATATTAAAATTAAAAAACTACATGAAAACTTTAAAATAAAGTGTCATCATTTTTGTTTTAGATGCAAAATGTTGTATAATCAAAAACTAAACAGAAATTAAAACAGAGTCAAAATATTTACTATAACTGATCCTAAAACTTCATAAAAAATAAAGCTGTTTTTCAAATTTTAATAATTTAACCACAAAGAGGTGAGAAAAACCTTCATGGAGGTTTTTATTCATCGTTCAAACCAACGTATTCAAAACCATTTTGAATAAACTTTATTAAACCTATGAAGCTGGTGGAGGCCTCCTTCATTACTGTTGCTATAGTAACCTGAAACTATCCAACAGGTCATACATAAGAATCAAGGAGTCCATCTGAGGAGTAACAAGTTTTAATGTTTGAAATCATAACTGAGTTGGGGTGAACACGTTTCCATGGATACAGAAACAGTCTGATAGTAAAATAAAAATGCACGACACTCCAGGATCACCACAGACACAATTATAGCTGCAAAAACATCATCCTATAGAAAATCATTCATTAGATTAGAAAAGGCGAGACTCCGTGTCGCCGTAGTGACATCATACTGCCCTCATCCACAGGTTCATCATACACGGAAAAGCATAGAGACTTATTTTGCCCTGAGTTTAGCCTCTCAGGCTGCCCCTAAACTCCTGGATGCCCTGCAATCGCTGAACCAGGTCTACCTTAAAGACTCGGCACCAGAGTAAAATACTGCAGCTCTGGTGAACCGCCCACTTTATATTCCTCTGAGTTAGTTTAACATCATTAAAGAGCAAGCCACCCCCAAATCAACATATTTTTCCTGATAAACTATGTACAGTGATCCCTCGCTACTTCGCGGTTCGTTTATCGCGGATTCACGACTTCGTGGATTTTTTCTTTGGAGCCTTATTCAAGGTAAAGTCGCCAATTCGCGGTATTTTTCTATGCGAAATATCAAGAAATTCCTGTTTTTTCATCAATTTCATCATAAAATGCACTTTTTGTAATAAAACTATAAAAAAAACAAGTAAAAATTTTTTTCTTGAGTTTTACCCACAAAAAGAGAACGTGATCATACGATAATTCAATATAGTACTGTACTGTAAATATGGTGTCCCTACTTCGCGGATTTTCACCTATCGCGGCCAGGTCTGGAACGAATCTACCGCGATAAACGAGGGATCACTATAAATGTGTGTCTAATCGTGCTGCAGACACGTGCCGTCAATAGTTTTGCACTTCAGTGCATCTTAGTTAAAATTTAAATGTTCTGCCTAAAACTGTCAGTGTTGTGCCGTTGTCAGGTAAAAACCACAAATTCACTGCATTTGAATTAAAATCTGCCATCGCTATTGGCTAAGAGGTACCCTAGAACGTTAGCTGGTACCGTATGATGTCACAATGTCATTGTGAGCCTGTGTGTGTATTTGTTGGTGGCTCAGCCCTCTCGGTCTGCTGGGCAACAGCATTTGTTGTATTTTTCAAACAGGAAGTGGGAGTGGAGAAATACTCTGGTAGGGGGTGACTTGCTCTTTAAATGACTTCTGAATGAACAGAGTGGGGATGGCAGAAATCATGACAGCCAGAAACCCTCTCAGCTGGGGGTGGAGTCTCCCTGCCTGGAAGACTAAACTCAGGGCGGTAAATCGGTTCATACCATGTGAGCTTCCAGAACATTGTTCAACTACCAACCAAACTCCAGTCATTTACAACAAACTACATCGCAAAGGTCTAATAGACTGTTATTATTCAAATTACTGTAATAAACAAATCTTGTGTTTGGACTCAAACCAACAGAGTCGTTTAACCTTTAATCACCGATAGGAACCAAGATGTCTGCTTTTGACTCCTTTTCATGAAGGACAGAACAAAGTTTCACACATCACAAACGTTGCTTTAACGTCCATCAAACCAGCAACCAAGCAAACGATTAAAACGTGAAGAATCCTGCCGTTTCTACCTGCATTTCACATGTTTGTGTTTATTCATGTGGCAGACGCTTTCATCCAAAGCGGTGTACAGTTGTTAGCCTATAACGCACGTTGTGATCCGTGGGGGAAACTGGAGTACCTGGAGGAAACCCACGCATGCATGTGGAGAACACGCAGCAAGGCTGCAGCCGGGTTTCAAACCCGCAACCTTCTTGCGGCGAGGCAACAGTGCTAACAGCTGGAGAAATAATAGATGGAGCATCATTGATAAATTACAACAAATGAGGTCAAATTTGTGAGGTGTGGTCTGTTGTATGAGGCCAAAGGAGGGATAGATTTTATGTAAATAAGTATTATTTTAAAGTCTTCTCTAAGTCCTCAAGAATAATCAAACCCTTTCATTCTTTACTTAAACCACCAGGAAAAATATCCAGATGTCCGTAGCAAAGATAAAGTTCTGCTTTTGATCCAAAGATCTTCCAAAAGTCCCTCCTGTTCCTCTGTCGCTGTAGGACAGAGGTGGGCAAACCTGGTCCTGGAGGGCTGCTTTCCAGCACCTTTTTGATTTTCGCTGTTCCACCACACCTGATTTTAGTCAGTAGGTGATTCACAGGCTTCTGCAGAGCTCCATGACTTGACGAACAGATGAATCAACCATTCAATTACGTGTGCTGGAGCTAAAACATGCTGGATACCCGCCATCCAGGACCAGGATTGAGAACCACTGACCTAAAAGGTCTGATCTCTTCCACGACTCATCTGGAACAACCAGAAGTGTTTAGATGTTCTGAGATCCAAACTCAGGAGAGGAGAAGATCCCAGTCCTACTGGTTTATGGAATACCAGACTTCTCCGTATCAGATCTGCTCAGTTTAAGGTTCTTAGGTATAGGGAACGCGGGAGCGACCATCAGGGACGTGAAAACACAGCAGCATGTCGTACGCTCTGCTGAGAAGGTCATTGGCTGCAAACTCCCCTCCATACAGGACCCGTACACCTCCGTCGGATCACAGCTGACCCATCTCACCCTGGACACGGTCTCTTTGACCCGCTCCCATCTGGCAGAAGGTTCCGATCCATTTGGACCAGAATTGCCATACGTGATTCTCACACATATGGTAATAAAACCTTCTGATTTTGACTCTAAAAACAAGATTCATCAGTTCTTTTACTTTATTTGTATCATGTCACGTGTCTCGATGGTGACGGACAACATTTTGGTGCAGCTTTAGTTTGTAAAGTGCTTCATAAATAAATGGAAATCAGCCCTTATGCGGATGATCCACCTTGTTTATACCGAACTGTAACAGCGCCCCCTGCTGACGACATTTTCTGTGCAAAATGTTAAACAAAGATTGTATCAAACAGTGAAAGTGGCTCATTATACTGATACCATGATTACTGTGCATCAGTCATTAATGCTTGTAAATAAAAAAAAATTAACAGGTTAAAAAAAAAGGTCTTTAATAATGTGCACAGCACCATCTAGTGGCAGGAGTTACCAACTGCAGCCATCTAACTGTACAGTGATCCCTCGCTACTTCGCGGTTCGTTTATCGCGGCTTCACGACTTTGCGGATTTTTCTTTGGAGCCTTATTCAAGGGAAATTCGCCGATTCGCGGTATTTTTCTATGCGAAATATCAAGAAATTCCAGTTTTTTTCATCAATTTCATCATAAAATGCACTTTTCGTAATAAAACTATAAAAAAAACAAGTAAAACATTTTTTTTCTTGAGTTTTACCCACAAAAAGAGAATGTGATCATACGATAATTCAATATAGTACTGTACTGTAAATATGGTGTCCCTACTTCGTGGATTTTCACCTATCGCGGCCAGGTCTGGAACGCATCTACCGCGATAAACGAGGGATCACTGTATTTCTGAAGGAAAACAGTTTGAGTAACGATTCGTTTTCAGACTATTCCACTCTAACTAAACGCTCGTTTTAAATTATTTTACCCAGAAAGAGATAAGACCCTAAAATGACATGGCTGAAAGTCTCACAGGTGGAAAAACAAACCCTATTCTTTGTAAATGGAATGCAGCCGCATGTGGTTAGGACCTATTTTGAGTGGTGGATGAATGGATGCATCTTGGTGAGGATCAGCGTTGGTTTGAGTCCCAGCAGGAGATTTGTAGTGAGTTTATAGTTTCCTCTTAAGTCATCAGGTGAGGGAGGAGTCAGCAGGTAACTGGAACCCAACGCCTCACCTGTTCCCATGTCTCACTTTGGCATGAAAACATGACGCGGCACGCAGACAGCCCTGTCAGGGAGCCCTCGTGTTTCTGTGCAAAAATATTAAACAGCTGAATGCAGATGAAAGCTCATCCTTTGAAAACAGTGCAGATCCAGGATCAGTCATCACAGCACCGCCGCCGCTCACGTTTGGTTTACTGGTGAAGTTAAAAAAAAAACCCGGTTTAGGTGTGTCAGGCGGCGGTTCCTCAGGTGCAGCTAGCGAGCGTGAACACGCTCAACGCTGAATCGGGACGTACCACACGAGTAAACGGAGAGTTAGAGGGGGACAGCACGGACGCTGTTGCATACGGGCGGGAAAAAGACCCGGGTGAGCCGGGCGGTGCAGGAGGTGAAACCCAAACGCACCCTCACTCAGCTGTCTGGGGTGGGGGGGTGCGTTACATTCCTATGACAGTGATGAGCAGACATGATAACAGTGCTTTCATTCCGAGGCCAGTTTCAGGCTCCGCCCCCCCCGTTATCAGTCAATCAGAGTGAGACGAACGTGTGAAAGTTGTTAATACTTAATGATTTGATGCTTGGCAGCTAACAGGTAACAGGAGATTATCAGGCTGGATGTTCCTCAGTCTGATTGGCCAGTTGAGTTGCAGAGGAACCCGACAGCAAAGAGCATAAAGGAGTCCCGCTGTGTTCCTGTCCACCCCGTCGGGTCCCTCTCCGAGCTAGATGGACGCCATCTTGGCTCATAGATGCTGTTCTGGCTGTTGCTAGGAGACCAGCTCTGAGTGAGCAGCGACTGAGTTAAGAAGGAAGAAGAGGAGGAGAGGAGCCACCTGATTGGTTAAACAGGTGGAGCCGGGACGGGTCTTTGAGGCACCAGAGGCTGTGATGCAGCAGGAGGTTTGGGTTTTCTGATGAAGACGGAAACAACGACACATCAGAACCTGCTCATACAGGCACATGAACTGGACAGGTGTTCTTACAGAGGAGGAGGAGGCGGTCTCAGAGCGTAGGACGGAGCCAACCTGTTGGTGTTCATCCCCTAAAACACAAAAACCCAACTTTTACTTGGAGAGGATTTAGTGTCTTCATGGGTCTGGTTCTGGTTCTAACGGACAATCATCAGATCTGCTGATATTTGTTCCTTATGAAGAAAAATCTCAACCAAAAAAAAAGCTAATAACTGTTAGCTAATATAATTATTATCATAATAAAAACAAAAATTTATGTTTGGAATAAAATGAATATAAATATTTATGTTTATAATTTAAAAACGTATTTATTTTAAGGCTTTTTCCTTCATTTTGATTTTAAAACAAACATGAATCTGACGGAAAAGTGATGAGAAAAACATTCAAACGCTGCAGCGGGAATCCGTCAGAACCAGCCAGTAGAGTTCCTACCTCAGGAGGCGGCAGCAGCTGGGTCTGATGATGCTTTCAGGGATGACAAACAGTTATCATTAGTAATCAGATTACTGTGAGTATGTATCAAGCAGCTGATTCAGAATAAAACAGTAAAAACACACCAGCAAACAGGAAACTTCTTTCTACAACTCTAACAGAACCACCTGGACCCAAACCCGAGTTTGACACAAATAGAACCTAACAACGAGGAGGGAGGACCGTCGTTAGACTCACTCCGTCTCTGACGATGTCATTAGTGTTGCCACGGGCAACAGGAGGTGGCGGCGCTCTGCTGTGATTGGCTGGAGGCACTCCATCAGCCCTGAAAACACCGACATCAAACGCCTGAGCTGCAGCAGGCACCAGCTGACATAAATCACTTTTCAAATTTTATTGTAGTGTTCCTGAACGCAGCACAGGGGAAACTGATGGAATGATTTAGATCATTTACTTCTTCAGTTACGGGGACATTTTGGAGCGCGACAACCAGAAGTGATGCTGTTGTATGAAAGTGGGCGTGTCTATCATGTGGGGGCGTGGTTTTACTCACTGGTATCCCTGAGACCTCTTCCTACGGCTCAGCCCAAACCGTCGCAGCAGTTCGTTTCGGCGCAGAAAAACAAACGCACCCAGAGCGAGCAGAGGAAGAACCAGGAAGAAGAAGACGAGCAGGCCGTCCCTGAGAGACGTGTCCTTATCTGTGGAGGGACATAAAGTCAGACCTGACCTGGGGCCTCATGTATCAACCGTGCTTACGAACAGATCTGTGCGTACATCATGCGTAGGAACTCATTTGTCTTCAGCTTTTGACACGGTTGACCATAAAATTCTGTTACATCGGTTCTGAAGTGCTTTTCTTCCTATTTAAATAACACAACATTCTCTTTATGTGTAAACAAGATTAGGTCTGAAGTCACATCTTTGCTTCACGGTGTTCCCCAGGGCTCAGTCCTTGGCCCAATTTTGTTTCTTTTATATATTTGCCCTCTTGGGGAGATTATTAAAAGCTTTACTAATGTATCCTACCATTTATATGTGGATGACATTCAACTGTACTGCTCTTTCAAGGACACAGACTTTAACAAGCTAGCTGATCTACTTGATTGCATTGCGCGTATTAAGGACTGGCTAGCCAGTAACTGTCTTCAGTTGAACTCAAGCAAGGCTAAAAACACTGATCATGATCACTGAGTATGCCATTTTATGTCCACTTTGATGTCAGAAACCATTCGTTTATCTCATGAAAACGGCAGCATTCTATTCTTCTGTGAATAAATTCGCTCTGTTAGAAAAAAAAGCTGCACTGATGCAGTTTTTCTTTCTTTTCTTTGTTTTTTTTTTTACTGCAGAACGATTCTCACAGATAATCGGGATGCTGAGCATTCTATCATGCTAAGTCGGGCTCGGGTCGGGCCAGAGAATCCTGAAAATGACTCAGCGTCAGACAGAGTGTGCATGTTTCATAAATCAGGACTTTGACCGTTCATACGAACATTCTGCATTTCGTTCAAAGGAGGAAGATTAGGAGTTTTTCCACAAACGTTTGATACATGAGGCCCCAGGTGGGAGGTCCTCAGGGGAGTCTGACTGACGTACCGTTCCAGGTGGGGCCGCTGTCCACGCTGCCTCCGTAACCTGGGAGCTCACAGAAGGGCGGAGCCCAGCCGTCCTCACAGTGACAGTTTTTGTTACTGTTGCACACCTGAGACACACAAACAGGTCAGCCTGGGGTCATCTGACACACGGGACAGACAGGTACAGGCATCTCACCCCGTGTCCATGACATTTCCTCTCCACATCGCAGTCGTAGTTCAGGACTTCAGCGCTACGACACTCAGAGTTCATGCAGACCTAGACGCCACAGGAGACAAATGAACGTTTCGTCACCTGCTCCTCGTCCCGCCACGTCATCCTCCTCACCTTGTTGTCTCCACACTTGGTCCCTTCGTTCACCATGCCCGGGTCTGGGACATCGGAACCTAGCTTGAAATCAACACCGAAACATTTAGCTTTTCCAATAGGAGTGATGATGATGGCTGGAACGATGCCGAAGACCGTCTCGTGCTGGACATTGGAGCACTGCAGCTTCCCACACAGAGCGTTTCTATGGAGACGAGGACAAGTCAGTCAGCTGAGGATAGGACAGGACAATGTCTTATACTGAATGGTCTGTTAGATGTCAAGCTGTCCAACTCTTGCTATGAAGCCTAAAAAAGTTTTATAGGAGCATGGATGTAATTTTGGGGGGGGACAGGGGGGACATGTCCCCCCCACTTTTTCCAAAGTCAAGTTTTGACCCCTGCACTTTTTACCGTCCAAAAATAATATTACTTTATATTAAATTGACACTGGTTGAGCTCTAGGACCAAGCAGAAAACAACTGTTTGTGTTGAAGCCTGTTTCCCATTAGAACATACTGTAAAGATACCCCGTCCCCCCACTTCTAAAGTGAAAATTACGTCCATGTATAGGAGGACATTCTGTCCCGTCCTTACGGAGAGACAAAGCCTTTAAAGGACAGTTGGAAACTGGACAAAATACTAAATTATGTGAGAACCTGAGGTCTTGCTAACTGGATATTTTCCACATTTGACCTTTTTTTTTAAAGGTGATGGATAAATCTGAAGGCTGGCAGATTGCAACTCGCACCCCGACTGATGCAGGTGAGCAGACATTTTAAATGTAACGCACAGAGAACATCACAGATGTTACAAGATCAGTCAAGACACATCATGCTGTCTTATTGTAGCCTCCAGGAATGGTCAGTTGTCCACCTACAGCGTGACCTCTTCAGTATCTGGCCATGTGGAGACTTAAGTCTATCTGCAAGAGAGATACCGTTGCTTGCCCAAGCTCCCTCTAGTCTAAGACTGGTTTTTATTCACAGAACAAGACGGATGAACAATATGAGTAACTAATCATATAATGAAATGGACAATATGTCGTCGTCGTCGTCTTCCTCCGCTTATCCGGGTTCGGGTCGTGGGGGCAGCATCCCAACTAGGGAGCTCCAGACCGTCCTCTCCCCGGCCACCTCCACCAGCTCCTCCGGCAGGACCCCAAGGCGTTCCCGGACCAGATTGGAGATGTAACCTCTCCAACGTGTCCTGGGTCGACCCGGGGGCCTCCTGCCGGCTGGACATGCCCGAAACACCTCCAGACTAAATAATACATTTATTTAGTCTGGCTTGCGACTACCAAATCCTGTCGGACCATCTAGAATCATTTGGGTACAGAACTGGACTGGCTCTGCTCATATTTGACGTGTAGATCGTTGAGCCCGCCTTCTGGTGAACTGGGGGGTGCCACAGGTTCTGTCCTGGGGCCCCTCCTATTTTCTGACTATCTTCTCCCTTTGGGAAAGATTTATGAGTGGTATGGCATCAGCTGTCATATCTCTGCTGGTGACGTTCAGATCTTCCTGGTGATGAATGGACCAAACACGGCCTTACAAGTCACGCACTGCCTCGCTGAGAGCTCAGCGAGTCAGAAACTGAGTCGATCCTTTTCGACCCTAGGAACCGGTCTCGCACATCGCCTTTCCAAAATCGTCCATGTTTGGCCCTGAAGCATTGTGTCATCAGCCTTTGGGTGAAATTGGCAGTGGCGGATTTAGCAATTTGGGGGCCCAAGGCGAACACAGACATGGGGCCCCTTCACTAAATTTTCGACAAGCTTACCTTTAACTGGATTTGTGAAACTCTCCCCTCTTCTGACACGAGTTATTTTCCTCCTCTTTTTTCCTGTCTTTCTCTCCCTTTGAGTGCTTTCTTCTTCCTGTCAGTCCTCCCCTGCTTTTGCCTTTCTCTTTTTCTTTCTACTATTTTCCATTTTGGTCCATGTTTTCCTCCCTTTAAACATTTTCCATTGTCTTTCCTTTTCTACTTCCTTTTGATGTTTACACAGAAAAACGACGTCACTTTTGGAAGAGAAGATAAAAGCTTTTTAAAAGCGAGCTGCTTCTTTCTCTTATTGGAGCCACTAGGATAACTCTATTTCATGCTTCATGTTTTGACTCCCGCTTCTCTCCTCCTTCTTTTTCCTCTTCTTCTTATTTGTGGTATTATGGCACTTGGCAAACAACAATTTGGTGCATTACTGCCACCAACTGGATTGGAGTGGAATGACTACCAATCACTTCCTGTTTGTGCGTGGGCGTCTTAAAGGAATAGTCCATTGTGGCATTCACAGAGGGGTGCCAGCAGTCAGGCCTAGGGCCCCCCCAACATAAGGGGGCCCCAGGCAGCCGCCGACCTACGCCTAATGGTAGAACCGCCACTGGATTTACCATTAGTTCTACTGAATGGAGACATGTCTTTATCACAGACACTAGAAAGGTGTGTGCGTGCGTGTGTGTGTGTGTGTGTGTGTGTTTGTACCTGCTCTCACACTTCCTGTAGCCGTACTGCTGATAGCCACAGTTCCCAAATCGGTCTCCGTTGCTGTTGACGTCTTTAAAGCAGATCTCAGGAGCCACTTCGGCCTCTGAAGACGAGGACAAGCGAAACAGACAAACAGAGACAAGGACAAATAAGAGGCACAAACTGGGGGACATGGACTCTGATTCTAGATGCAGTCGGGGGAACGTACTGGACCCGAACAAGGCCCGACACTGCCCGTCGTGGTGCTGGCACTTCCCGTTGTAACAGTAGGCCTGCTGGTTCCGACATGGCTGTCCGTTCTGAAACACAAGCGCCTGGTCTCACTGCAGCGTCCACCAGAGGACACGCAGTCCCCAAAGGACAAACTGTCTACCAGCAGACTGAGAATGAGGTCTCACCTGGACGTAGATGTCACTCTGACAGAAGGAGGAGGAGCCGTTACAGTACTCAGGTAGATCACACTCGTCGCTGCTGGAGCGGCAGACCGTCCCTCCTGGTAGGAACTAAACACACACACACACACACACACACACACACAGAGATGTAAAAACCTACTATGCTGCTGTCGTCTGCACCAGGTCAGAGGTGGGAGTGAATCAGCAACATTAAACAGGATGGTTTTGGTTTATGTTTAAAAATTTGGCCCTAAACATGCAAGCAGACCATAATAGCTCCGCCCCAATCCAAATCCAAATCCTGTGAGGCTGACCAGGACCGGTCCGGTAGTTTTTGCTCACCTGACATTTGTAGCAGCACTCTCCGTACGCACACTGAGCTCCGGGCTTCAGCCTGCAGGTCCGATACTCACAGCACGGGTCCTCCTCACATTCCTGCACACAGACGACATCATTATTCATCTCCTCTACTGAAAACAGGCTCTGGTGTCAGGGTTAAACCAGGACGTCCATTTAACTCCAGGGTATTTTATAAAGCACGGTTTTTCAGAATAAAATACATAAAATGAGAATGAATTTAAATAAATTCTGTAGGACAGATTTAATACAGATGTTTGAACCTAGATAAAGATTGTTTAGATTCGGTTTTCAACAGGATTCATAATAAAACTACATGTCTCACACCTTCTCTGAGCCACAGTCGCACTCCTCCCCAAAGTCCACCAGCCTGTTGCCACAGAAGGGGGCGCTGTAGGCTTCATCGGGTCGGGGGACATTCAGGAGACACGTCCCTCCCGTCAACAGGATCATCTTCTCAAAGTCGTCAGCGCTGCAGCTGCTGAAGTTCATGGATCCTCTGAAGAAACAAGAAAACGAGTTTAAACACGATCCTGACCCATTAAACTCCTGATCCAGTCCAGAAACTCCTGATCCAGCCCCGAAACTCTGATCCGGTTCAGTACTTCTTTGTTTCTAGCTACCGACCCAGAGGCCTGGTTTCCTGGTTTCAACCTTCTAGATGCTTCCAGATCCCAGACCTGGAGACTGGACCACAGTCCAGGAAGAAAACCTTCTTTTAACCCTGACCTTTGACCTCTGAGCTGTTCAGGCAGAAAAAGGCTCCTAGCTCAAGGCACGAGCCAGAATGGCATGGACACAGAACAGACCCAGATTAAAGTGGACCATCAGCGTCCGGTCAGAGAGACCTGGTGGACCAAAAGGCTGGAGAGCCAACGGAAAATAACTGGATCAGAAGTTCTGGCTCGGCTTGTTTGTGGGTCTTACGTGGCTCCAGAGTTCATGATGCAGATGGGGGCGGGGCAGGTGCAGGAGCGTCCGTCGTCGTGGTTCATCCCCAGGTTGTGTCCGAGCTCGTGAGCCACGATGGAGGCGAAGGCAGGAATGTTGTTGTTCACAAACTGAGGAGAGCAGAGTTTATTCTGAGGTTCAGCTTCTGGTCTCATGAAACCAAAGACCCGTACCAGAGACTCGTACCGCATTGATTCCTCCTCCATGACTCCGAGAGCACACGGTGGAGACGAACGCCATTCCTGCTGTTACTCCAAAGCTCTTCTTCCTGCATCATCATCATCATCATCAGTAAGTCGCACACACACCGCCCTCCCACCAGCATCATTCATCATTGTGCTGAGTCATGGTGTCTGTGAGGGGGTACTGACAGGATGAGCTGTGCTGAGTCATGACGGCGGCGAGGAACCAGCTCCTTCTCCCTCCACTGAGTGAAACGACTCAGCACTTCTCCAGCTCCTCCTTCGGTGCTGATCAGGTTCTGCTGAGTCCAGATCTCCAGTCCAACCAGAACCACCCGAACATTCAGCTGGATGTAGATCTGAAGGGATACAAACACATCGGACCTGAAAGGAGCTCAAAAGGGGTGTGTGTGTGTGTGTGTGTGTGTGTGTGACCTTACACCATCGATGAGGTTGGCCAAGTGAACCATCTCTTCCCTCACTGCCGTTTCGTTCCTGTTCATGTGATTATACTGCAGAGACACAGGTGGATTAGCCTAGCTTAGCATAAAGACTGGGAGCAGATGGGAACTGTTAGCATGTCTCACTCTGTCATTGTCCACCACCAGCAGCAGCTCCACATAGTGGGTCTTATGGAGAACAGCTCGTCTCACCTGAAGAACATACATACACACTGGTGACACCAGAGGCAAGTGTGTGTGTGTGTGTGTGTGTGCGCGCGCACCCTCCCATGCTGCCGATGGGGGATTTCCTCTGGTTTGTACTGAGCACGCTCCGTGGCATTGCCGTGCTCATGGTGAGGAGTACCACACCCTCGAGGCTGTGAGGTCACATCCTGTAGGCGGTACACCAGGTGCTGTTCAGGGGCGGAGTCTAACGGCTCAATTCCGTAGCTCTCATCACCGAGATGTAAAACACCTCTGAATTAAAAAAAACAGAAGGAGAAGTTAGAGAGCGACGTCACTTCGATCTTTATGTTCAGGACCCGTTTCCTGAATATGACAGAAACCCGGTTAAAGGTGTCGAACCAGAACCCTGCAGATGGACTTGCTCTGGTCGTGGCAGAGTCCAGCTGCAGGGATCGCTCTGAATGGAACCAGAAGCCTCAGAAGTCAGAACATCTTGAATCCGATATCCGTTGAGTCTTTTTTGGAGTTTCAGGTGTGTGATTATCAGCTGATCTGAGTTTCTGGGAGCTTCTGAGGCGGTGTGGTGTGTGCTTGTGTCACCTGAGGCCGTTGCAGATACTCATGGCCGCCGCCGAGCCCTCCAGGTCCTGAACGAAGCCCTGATAGTGACAGTGGTTCTGTAATACAGGTGATACAGAGTCACACCAGCAGGAGGCACTATACGACAGAAAGAGGAACGGAAATCTGACAGTGAGCCGTCATCTGAGGACCAGATTGAGAGCAGTCTGAAAGGAATTAATCAGCTGACAGGAAATGGTAGAGTCCCTAAAGGCCTTTTACTTACAGCTCAAACTGGTCTCAGACCAGCCTGATAAGCCTAATACCAGTGCTGGTTCTGATCACAGTCCTGGTCTCAAGCCCACTTCCTGGTGGATTTTAGTCCGGACTGTGAAACTGAAAACTCAGAATCAGTCTAACGGTTTTACTTTTGTTCTGTTCCTATGAAATCCTGATCAGGTCAACAAGAACCACGGGTCGGATCCAGAAGTCTGAGACAAACTGGAGTCCAAACTGGACCCAGCGATTGGCCAGCAGGAAATGAACCCAATACAACGACACTGAGAGAACTCCCAGCATGCCTCAGTCTCTGGGTTTCAGCTCTCAGAGCAGCATAACGGAACCAACCAGAGCAGTTTTAGTTTGTAAACATCAGAATAAACAGCTAAATGCCAACAAGTCTAGAACCAGCTGTTTGGTCACATGATACAGCGGGTCTTACCTGGACAGGTGGTCTGGAGGAGATCAGGGATCCAGCCTGACTGTAGGTGAACTGGGTGAAGTCAGCAGGCAACAGGAGCCTGAAAACAGGATCAGCTGATCAGAGCGGCGAGGAACAGCTTCAGGGTTAAACAAACAACCAGTAAACAACCACTCAACCAGCAAATAACCAATAAAAAAACACTCAACCAGCAAATAACCAATAAAAAAACACTCAACCAGTAGATACCCAATTAACAACCAGTACATAACCAGTAAACAACCACCCAACCAGTAAACCACTCAGCCAGTAAATAACCACTCAGCCAGTAAATAACCAGTAAACAACCACTCAACCAGTAAACAACCAGTGAACAACCAGTAAACAACCACTCAACCAGTAAATAACCAGTAAACAACCACCCAACCAGTAAACAACGACTCAGCTAGTAAATAACCAGTAAACAACCACTCAGTCAGTAAACAACAACTCAGCTAGTAAATAACCAGTAAACAACCACCCAACCAGTAAACAACAACTCAGCTAGTAAATAACCAGTAAACAACCACTCAGCCAGTAAATAACCAGTAAACAACCACCCAACCAGTAAACAACGACTCAGCTACAAAATAACCAGTAAACAACCACTCAGCCAGTAAATAACCAGTAAACAACCACCCAACCAGTAAACAACAACTCAGCCAGTAAATAACCAGTAAACAACCACTCAGTCAGTAAACAACCACTCAGCCAGTAAATAACCAGTAAACAACCACCCAACCAGTAAACAACAACTCAGCCAGTAAATAACCAGTAAACAACCACTCAGCCAGTAAATAACCAGTAAACAACCACTCAACCAGTAAATAACCAGTAAACAACCAGTGAACATCAACCACTCAACCAATAAATAACCAGTAAACAACCACCCAACCAGTAAACCACTCAGCCAGTAAATAACCAGTAAACAACCACTCAACCAGTAAATAACCACTAAACAACCACCCAACCAGTAAACAACCACTCAACTAGTAAACAACCACTCAGCCAGTAAATAACCAGTGAACAACCACCCAACCAGTAAATAACCAGTAAACAACCAGTAAACAACCACTCAACCAGTAAATAACCAATAAAAAAACACTCAACCAGTAGATACCCAATTAACAACCAGTACATAACCAGTAATCAACCATCCAAACAGTAAACCACTCAGCCAGTAAATAACCAGTAAACAACCACTCAACCAGTAAATAACCAGTAAACAACCACTCAGCCAGGAAATGACCAGTAAACAACAACTCAACCGGTAAATAACCAGTTAACAACCACCCAACCAGTAAACAACCAGTGAACAACCACCCAACCAGTAAACAACCACTCAACCAGTAAACAACCACCCAACCAGTAAATAACCACTCAACCAGTAAACAACCACTCAACCAGTAAACAACCAGTGAACAACCACCCAACCAGTAAACAACCACTCAGCCAGTAAATAACCAGTAAACAACAACTCAACCAGTAAATAACCAGTAAACAACCACCCAACCAGTAAATAACCACCCAACCAGTAAACAACCAGTGAAAAACCACCCAACCAGTAAACAACCACTCAGCCAGTAAACAACCACTCAACCAGTAAACAACCACTCAACCAATAAACCAGTGAACAACTACCCAACCAGTAAACAACCACCCAACCAGTAAACAACCACTCAGCCAGTAAATAACCAGAAAACAACCACTCAACCAGTAAATAACCACTCAACCAATAAACAACCAGTGAACAACCACTCAACCAGTAAATAACCAGTAAACAAACACCCAACCAGTAAACAACCAGTGAACAACCACCCAACCAGTAAACAACCACTCAGCCAGTAAACAACCACTCAACCAGTAAACAACCAGTGAAAAACCACCCAACCAGTAAACAACCACTCAGCCAGTAAACAACCACCCAACCAGTAAACAACCAGTGAACAACCACCCAACCAGTAAACAACCACTCAGCCAGTAAACAACCACTCAACCAGTAAACAACCACCCAACCAGTAAACAACCAGTGAACAACCACCCAACCAGTAAACAACCACTCAGCCAGTAAACAACCACTCAACCAGTAAACAACCACTCAACCAGTAAACAACCACTCAACCAATAAACAACCAGTGAACAACTACCCAACCAGTAAACAACCACCCAACCAGTAAACAACCACTCAGCCAGTAAATAACCAGAAAACAACCACTCAACCAGTAAATAACCACTCAACCAATAAACAACCAGTGAACAACCACCCAACCAGTAAATAACCAGTAAACAACAACTCAGCCAGTAACAACCACTCAGCCAGTAAATAGCCAGTAAAAAACCAGTGAACAACCACCCAACCAGTACATAACCAGTAAACAACCACTCAACCAGTAAACAACCACCCAACCAGTACATAACCAGTAAACAACCACTCAACCAGTAAACAACCACTCAGACAGTAAATAACCAGTAAACAACCACTCAACCAGTAAACAACCACTCAACCAGTAAACAACCACTCAACCAGTAAACAACCACTCAACCAGTAAACAACCACCCAACCAGTACATAACCAGTAAACAACCACTCAACCAGTAAACAACCACTCAGACAGTAAATAACCAGTAAACAACCACTCAACCAGTAACAAAAACAGAGTTGAAGGATGAAACATTAAATCGGGTTTCAGGAACTCACTGGTTCCTCTGGAGATGAACGACATGTTCGGTTCCGTCCACTTGGATCAGGTAGGACACCTGCAGTGGCACAAACAGGACTCATCAGCAATGTTGGAACATAACGACCTGGTTCTGTTGGACACACCTGAACCTGGATGTTCACGGACAGACAGCCAGAACCAGAACCAGACCTGGTGTCAGAAACTCAGAAAAATATGTTCGTCAGTCGGCCAGTTTAGCTAGGTGTGACATCACAGATCTGTTACTGCCTCACACACCTGGTTTCACCTGGAAATCTGAGTTATTTCAGATCAGCTGTGGTCCCAAACCCTACTTCTGATTAACTCACAGCCTCCGTTTTATCCCCCACCGCCTCACACGTTTCTGCTCATTTTTCAGGGAAATAAAGTCTGAGCACCTGGTTGGGTGGTCTTCCATCCAGGTCTCGCCTCAGCCTGCCTCCGATTGGTCGAGGGACAGTCAGCTGATAGGAGGAGAGGTGCTCTGTCTGCCGAGAGGCTGCAGGAAAAAGAAGGAGATTCACTTATACCTGAGAAAACATCATGTTCACATTATTATTATTATTATTATTAGAACTTAAACATTCAGTGTCACAACTTCTCTCAAAACAACCAATCAGAGAACACTGTGCCTTTCAGGAGGCGGGATTTAAAACAGCTGTTCAGACACAAGGTGATGAGCGATATCGTGGTTCAGCAAAAATTAAAATAGAAACTTGAAATCCTTTGAAATTGGTTTTTTTTCTCCATTCCATTTTCATCCGCTTATCCGGGGTCGGGTCACGGGGGCAGCAGCCTAAGGCGAGAGACTCAGACTTCCCTCTCCCCAGCCACTTGGGCCAGCTCCTCCGGGGGAATCCCGAGGCGTTCCCTGGCCAGGTGAGAGACATAGTCCCTCCACCGTGTCCTGGGTCTACCTTTAGGTCTCCTCCCGGTTGGACGTGCCCGGAAAACCTCACCAGGGAGGCGTCCTGACCCGATGCCCAAGCCCCCTCAACTGGCTCCTCTCGATGTGCCAGTTCCAGTTTAAACTGGTTCTGTCTCAACTCAATGCTGGCTCATCCCTTTAGGAACCTTTTCTGTTCGACTGACTCAGAGGTCATCTAGAAACCGAATGAAAAATCTTATTTCTGACCTTCAGAAACTCTGGAAAACTTCAGATCCAGTTTAGAGAATTCTGAGAAGGAAAAAAAATATGAAGACTGGATCAGTATTAGCCAGGATCAGGAGTTCTGGTCTGGGTCAGGAGTTTAAACAGGACCGCAGACACTAGAGATAAATGACATAATAATTTTCTTTGGTACCAGATGAACACGATCCTGCTCTGATGGTGGTTCTGAGGTTCTGTCAATCGTTCATTTAAACCTACGAATCATCAAGCAGGTTCTGAACGGGCTTCCGGAGCTCCGACCCCAGAAACACCAGATCACACAGCGTCTCCATCTGTTCACATGGTCACCAACTCTTAGAGCATGGATGTGACAGTCTGTTACCATGGTAAAAAACTCGCCTGCAGCGGTTGGGTAGAGTGTGTTTCCCTGTTGGTCTTATATCGTGCATGTTAGTTTGCATTAACGCATGCAGGATGGCAAATGAAACTGCCACCTGGTACCACCTGGACCAGACGCGATCCCTCAGTGACCGATTGTTGGCTACTGCAACGTGGTAGGAACTTTCTACGCTGTGAAGGTGACGGTTTGTTCCACGTGATCGCACATTTATAAAGATTCTTCAACAGCTCTTTGACAAAACCAGATTATTCCCGAGTTCTCCAAGCAGGAAAATAAATGTGCAACACAACATGAAAGGGGCGGGGCCTAACATCTGACTGCTGGCTGACAATTATGTTTCCCCGTCCAGTTGTGTGAGACAAAATTTGAGTTGGATAAAGAAGTATTATGATTCTGAAATGGGGCAGCAGCAGCAGGAGGTAGAGCGGGTTGTCCAGCAATCGGAAGGTTGTGGGTTCCATTCTGGCTTCCTGGTTGTTTGAGCAGCAGATAAAACAGAACTTCCTGCTCAGAAAACACGCTGAAATCATCAAGTTTCAGTCACGAACAGAAACTACAATCTGCTTTTATTTCCCCTTCATGGAGGAACACACACACACACACACACACACACACACACACACACACACACACACACACACACACACACACACACACACACACACACACACACACGGGTGGGGTGTACTCCCTGCAGGGTTGCTGCTGGAGGACTTGGCTCAGAACCGACATCACTAAGCAGCTTAACACACATTATGCAGGAACAACACACACTGTGAAAACACACAAACACCAGCTACACATTCTTAAAGGGACGGCTCGGATATTTAACGTGTGGCTGTTTCACGCCAAGGAGAGCGAGTCGAGCGTAGAGAATCAGAGAGAAGTTCTGAAGTTGCTCTAACAGCTGATCAGAAATGAAAGAATCAAGGGAGACAAAACCTGTCAAATGAAATTTTCTACCAGACAAATATTATTGTAATAGAATTTTTTGTTGATCATCAGGAGGAGGAGGAGGGGGGGGGGGGGTCATCTCTCCGAACATCCTGTTGAGTCAGTGATCCTGTGGAACTGCAGGGTTATTAATCACTCGGCTTCACTGTTTGCTGTTTTGAGATCAGATGGGTGAATGTGAGTCAGCAGCAGCCTCACCCCGCCTTTCCACAGGAGCCGTCAGCAGCACGTTACTGCAGCAGCACGTCATAGCTGCTGATAGGAACCACTGTGGTCAACAGAACCTTTTCCACCGGAGCCGTCAGCAGCGCGAGTCGGCCGCGTCTCAGGAGCAGCATGTCGCGGCCTTTACGTGCCGGTTCTATTTTCTACGCGCGACGCCTCTGAAACGGGTCAAGTTCGACATTTTTGGAGAAGGAAAGACAGGAAATCGGACGCGGAAATGGAGAGAAGCTCCCGAGATTTTCAGAATAAAGAACGTACTGCCTTCCGGTTGCTTTACTTTAAAAAAAGGTTACCAACTGCGCGGCCCCGTGAGAAGCTATCACCTAGCTAGCGGTCTCCTTTGTTTTTCAGGTCCATATTGGCGATTATAAAACGGACAGAACATAAAACACGAACCATGTTGTAATTTTCTCCTGCTTGTTGTTGTGTTTACTGACGAAGTCACACGTGTGACTTCGTGCTCGGTCGGTGACAGCTGCTCCCCTGCTGCTTCGCGTCTCGTGGGAAAAGCCAAGCAGCAGCTTATGCGAGCAAGACGTGCTGCTGCAGTAACGTGCTGCTGACGGCTCCTGTGGAAAGCCAGGGTTAGTAAACACAGTCTGTGATAGAGTGGGAACTCTGGAAATTATTTGCTGATCTGACAGTATCTTCAAGATAAGGACTCTGGTCAGAGAGCAGGGCACGGAGAAACCGTTTTAGGTATGCATTGACAGTAGAAGTATGGACATCTGTGGTTCTGTGTGGTATATCAGTCATGAACGCACACGAGGCTGTCTGCCACCACCAACAGCTTGGACAAAATGGAAGAAACAGCTTTACAGGAAGTGACTATCTAGAGGAAGTGATGTCACAAACTGGACCACCAAAATAAGAGCGGGGTGACTTTACAAATGGATCTTCTAGAACTGCAATAACTATAACCCTTTCCGACATAGCCGCCCCCGAATTTAGTTATACATTTGAAAACTAGAGGAAAGTCTTATCAGGTGTTTAGCCAGAGTCATCTTCATTTGCCAAGCTGGCAGTCGCACCAGGCGCACAACTGGTCGAAGATAAGTCTGTCCCTTTATCCTCACTTCAGCTGCCCTGACTCAACCGTCTGAGCCTGGACATGTCTTGACAATCCTCCCGATTGTCCACTGGGCCCTGGGCAGTTGTGAATCGACCACCATCACAACCTGTCCAGCTGCAAGATTGTCTGTATTCTTGTGCCACTTGTGCCGCTTCTGTAGGTTAGGAAGATGATAGCGAATAAAGTTGGACCAGAAGTGGTCTGCCAGGACCTGGCTGTGTCGCCATCGCCGTCTGCCCAGGAGTTCGCTGGAAGCGTAAATGGCTTGTGGAAGCGATGCATCACGACGCCCCATGAGTAGTAGGTTCGGGGTGACTGGGTCTGGATCAGCAGCATCCGAGGAAATATATCCCAGTGGCTTCGCATTGAGAATTCCCTCCAACTCAATCAAAACCGTCTGCAGAACAGATTCTGTGACAGTTTGGTCCTGCAGTACCACTCAAAGGGCTGCCTTCACTGACTTGATCTCCCGTTCCCATGCCCCTCCAAAATGAGGGGAACCTGGCGGGTTCAATCGGAACTTTATTTTCTGTCCAGCCAGCTGCTCTTGGATATGAGCTTCTAAAGTTTGGACGCTGGTCTGTAGTTCAGCCGCTCCACCTCGGAAGTTGGTCCCTCTGTCGGCCAGGATTTCAAAGGGCTTGACACGGCGAGCGATGAAGCGACGTAATCTCATCAGAAAAGCATCAGTGTCAATGCTCTCCAGCAGGTCGAGGTGCACACAACTCGTTGTCATGCATTTAAAGATAATCCCCCATCGCTTCTCTGTGCGTCGACCCACCTTGATATAGTAAGGGCCGAAGCAGTCCACTCCGGTAGACCAGAAAGGTGGCTTGTATAGACAGAGTCTTGCTGGGGGAAGGTCTGCCATTTGTGGGACTACAGGACTAGCGCGCCACTTTTGACATTCCACACAGCTGTACTGATGCCGTTTGATGGATTCTCTTCCGCGTAGGATCCAGTACCTTCTCCGAATTTCAGCGAATACACGCTCGGGACCCGGATGCAGGAGCTGGTTATCATATTTCTTGATGAGGAGCCTGGTAACAATGTTTCGGGTCAAGGATAATTGGATGCATGGTATCTAGATCCAGATCTTCTGCTCTTCGCAGCCTGCCTCCCACTCTTATCAGCCCGACAGCTATATCATACTCCGGAGCAAGCATGAGTAGGCGGCTTTGTTTGGAGATGGGCTTCCCCACGGCAAGGAGTTTCACCTCTTCCTGGAAGGTCTCACTTTGGGATTGTCGTAGGAGATGTAGTTCAGCTTCTTGTACATCTGCAGCTGTCATGGTGGGGCTCACCAGGTCTTTGGCCGCCCCGTGAAGGCTCATATGAGAGGCTCTAACGAGGTCATCCCAGTTGTCGATGTTAGTAACATCCACTTCAAGAGAAGGACAGGTAGCTGCTGCACAAAACACTGTCTTGCGTAGCTCATCCTCATCTTCTTCCTGAGCTACTTCCATTTGTAGCTCTGGCCAGGTGTCAGTAGGCTGGTGAAGAAATTGTGGACCCTGACTCCACCGGTTGGGCTGACTGAACTCATGGAGTGTCTTCGAGTGTCTTTCCGCGGGTAAGTCATCTGTTGGATTATCAGAGGTGCTGACATACCACCAAGTTGACCCTTCGGTAAGTTCTTGAATTTCAGCGACCCTCGTTCCAACAAAAACCTTGTATCGACTTGAGTCTGATTTCAGCCATGTCAACACTGTAGTTGAGTCGTTCCATAGTGTTGTCTGCTGGGGAGAGAATGACAGCTCTGCCATTGTGACCTTAGCCAGCTGAGCTCCGGCTAGAGCTGCACACAATTCAAGGCGTGGCATTGACAGCTGTTTTCGAGGGCAAACACGAGATCTAGCCATCATAAATGCAACGTGAACATTGCTCTGGTTATCGGGAGTTTGAATATACTCGACTGCTCTGTAGGCTCTTTCGGAGGCACTGTTAAGTCAGTTTGCTTTAATTTAGGATAAAACAAGTGAATGGGAAAACCAAATGCTAGTTTCCTCTCACTTACATTGTTTTATGCTAAACTAAAGCAAAATGACTGCTGCCAGATCAGAAGAATGACTGAGCTGTTTACAAAATGCTTTTTTTCCTCTTATCTAACTCCGGGGAATAGATACCTTTTACTTAGGGGTGGAATATCCCTTTAATGAAATTAACTCAATTGCTTTTATATTGTGTCGTTAGTGTTGTGGGTGTATAAAGGCTATGCACGATTAATCAATAAATAAATGATGATCAATAAATAAAATATATATACAACATGTAGTAAAATACATGTTATTTACAAAATAAAATACATGCTATATAAAACTACAGCATGGTGTTAATGTTTAATTCATTTATTGTTGAAACAATGCATACTTTCTCATGCAATAATGCTTTTTGCACTCTTGCTGTGTCATTATTACAGGCAGTCAAGACAAGGTTTGCACACGTTCTTGGAAGAGAAGATGCTCTCCTGGCTGCTGTGACACTACCAAAATTCAAGCTTCGTTGGTTACATGACCAGGCACGGAAGGACCTCGCAAAGGCATGTCTGCTGGCAGAGTGCCGAAAACTTCTCCCCAAACACGATCAGTTACAACCAGGTACCTGCGCCACCGACACAGCACAGCGCACAGGTTCTAGCAAAGAGGATGGGTTCTTCTCCTTTGCAGAGAGTGATGACACTTATGCCACTGCTGAAGCTGAGGTAGCCGAGTACCTCACATCAGGAGCTACAGGGTTAGACTCTCTGAAGCATTTCCCACTGATAAAGAAACTATCTCTTAAACTTAATGCAGCCACGCCCTCGAGTGCCCCGGTTGAAAGGCTTTTCATCCTGGGAAACCTGATTCTCACGCCAAAGAGGAACAAGTTGTCTGATCGCAAGTTTGAGAAGCTTCTTCTCATGAGGTGCTTGTTGGTTTGAGGGAACAAGTGTGGACTAGCACTGATATGATGACGTGTTTCCTCCAATGGTGCACTACAAGGTGAAGCAGGTTAATATTTCCAAGTGAAACATAGACAACTGAAGCATATAATCCACCATTATTTATTTCAGCAGTTGTTTATTTACATGGCCTGACTGCAGGAAATATTATTTTGTTTAAACATTGACTGTTTATGGAGCAAAAATACGTTTTGTTATTTATTTAGTTTCTCTTACTGAGGCTAAAAATACTTTAAATTTCATTACTGAAGATGAGGTCTGGTGCAGTTCAGCTGTTTTCTGTTAAGTTTACAAAGAATGGATAAACCTCTATGTGTTTATGTTGAATAATTTTTGCACTGTTATTGATACGGTTCCTAAATGGTCTGAGGAACAGTTTAATGTTGGCAATGCTAAAAGTATACTTTCTACCCATTTCAATGGCAAAAATAAATATACCTATCAAGGTTTCAACATACTGTATGTCGTGTTTTGTGTGATCCGCTGCTTTTTTGTAGTGATAGCCTACTAGGTACAATGATTAGATTTATAGCACTGTGTGACATCAACCACAAAATTATGTGTTTGTATTTGTAGAGGGTTAGAACAATAGAAATAGATTAAAACGGACAGATAAAAAGTGACATAAAACAGACATTGTCCTTTCTAATTTAGTTTCATTCATTTCATCATTCACTTGCACTCGCAGTACTACACTGCCATTTTATGTTCAGACCACTAGGTGGCGCAGTGAACTCGTGGCAGGATAGGGCTACCATGTAAGCAAGCAAGAAGACCAGCAACCTTGCTGGCTATCCAGTTAAGGAAGTAACACATTTTAATAAGAAAAATCTGAATAAAAACAGTTACTTTCCCTAGTAACTATTTACTTAGAAACTAACGAGTAACTTAAAGTAACTGAGTTACTCTTGAAAAAAGTAACTAGTAATGTAACTACATTACTAATTTAAAGTAACTTTCCCCAACACCGGTGTTGTGGTAGTCGGCAATAATGAGATGATAGTGATGTGGTGGTGAGATAGTAGCGAGGCGATAGTGATGTGGTGGTGAGATGATAGTGATGTGGTGGTGAGATGATAGTGATGTGGTGGTGAGATGATAGTGATGTGGTGGTGAGATAGTAGTGAGGTGGTGGTGAGATAGTAGCGAGGCAATAGTGATGTGGTGGTGAGATGATAGTGATGTGGTGGTGAGATGATAGTGAGGTGGTGGTGAGATAGTGAAGTGGTAGCGAGGCCAAAGTGATGTGGTGGTGAGATGATAGTGAGGTGGTGGTGAGATAGTGAAGTGGTAGCGAGGCCAAAGTGATGTGGTGGTGAGATGATAGTGAGGTGGTGGTGCGATAGTAGCGAAGTGGTAGTGAGGCCAAAGTGATGCGGTGGTGAGATGATAGTGATGTGGTGGTGAGATGATAGTGATGTGGTGGTGAGATGATAGTGATGTGGTGGTGAGATAGTAGTGAGGTGGTGGTGAGATAGTAGTGAGGTGGTGGTGAGATAGTGAAGTGGTAGCGACGCCAAAGTGATGTGGTGGTGAGGTGATAGTGATGTGGTGGTGCGATAGTAGCGAAGTGGTAGCGAGGCCAAAGTGATGTGGTGGTGAGATAGTAGTGAGGTGGTGGTGAGAAAGTAGTGAGGTGGTAGCGAGGCCATAGTGATGTGGTGGTGAGATGATACTGATGTGGTGGTGCGATAGTAGTGAGTTGATAGTGAGGCCATAGTGATGTGGTGGTGAGATAGTAGTGAGGTGGTAGCGAGGCCAAAGTGATGTGGTAGTGAAATGATACTGATGTGGTGATGAGATTATAGTGATGTGGTGGTGAGATGATAGTGATGTGGTAGTGAGATATTAATGAGGTGGTAGCGAGTAGTGATGTGTCGGTTGCGAACGAACTGGCTCTAAGAGCCGGCTCTTTGAAGTGAACGACGGGAGCCGGCTCGTCATTGGGAGCCGTCCCCTCCCCTCTTGCTTTGGTGAAAGCTACAGGCGATTGGTCAACATGTGTAACTGCGTGTCCAGACTGTCCACACACAGAGCACTTGCGGGTGGAGGGAGACGAGAGGGAATGAGGAGGAAAAAGGCGAGCAAGAGAGGAGAGTGCGACAAAGACGGTGAGAAAATGAGCGACTGTCTTGGAGAGTCACTAGTCAACTAGTGGCCAGCCTAGGCACGCTAATGGCTAGCCTCTCCAATGCTAACACCAGCCCGTCCAGGCTAACGCTAGCCTATCCATGCTAATAGACAGCAGAGGGAGTGTGTGAACCAGTCAATGACCAGCCGAGGGCTGCTAGTCCCTAGCATATCTAGTAATAATGCTGGTAAAGGTGCTATTCCTCAGTAAGCAGCGCCAAAAATGCTAATATGTACTACATATGTATTTTCCTGCAAATATGACAGCGGAGTAGCATTCCCCTTTTGTGTTGTGCACATGCGCGCACATGCTCAGTAACAAGGGGTAGGACGGTGTACTGGGTAGGAGAAATTCCCGGAACACCGGCACCAGCTTATCATTAATCAGATCGGTAGTTTGCTTCGGAATTTATATAGCCTCCTGCTGCTGGGCAGTAGTCTTAATTTTGGCCCCCATACTGCGCCATAGAAAGGCGATAGTGATGTGATTAGTTAAGTTATTTAGTGAAATAATAACCACAAAATCTGCATGAACTAACTCATAACAGTGAGGCCAGCTGTGAAACTCTCACAATTCAGTTTCAGCCAATAGGGAACCTAAGTCACTTCTGCATCATGGGCTTGTCGTTTTTCCAGGAACCCATGATGTGGAAGTGACTTAGGCTCCCTATGGGCCATAAACTCTCTGTGTACTGGTGCTTGAGTGTTACTTCCTGTGAGTTCTTAGCGATCACCAAGATTTAAGGTGGAATTTGACCCAAAGAACCAGAGTTAAATCTGCAAACATCCATTCCCACTGAAGCAGATTAGTGTGTGTGTGTGTGTGTGTGTGAGAGAGAGAGAGAGAGAGAGAGAGAGAGAGAAGAAGTATGGACAGTAATGATGTGAATCAGCAGCCAAAACTTTACACCCCCCCCCCCCCCTACCTCCGCAATGACAGCTTCCGCTCAGGAGCAGCAGCAGCCCCCAGACCTCCAGCACATTAGCTCTCCCTTCCACCATCTTCTTCTTTCTCTTCTCCTGGTTAATTATTGTTCCTTTTCGCGACACTTCAGTCCTCTTCTCCCTCACTTGTCCTCGTTCGGTCCGCTCTCTGAGGTGTTGTCTCCCACCAACTGTCCCCACCCGCTCAGCTTCATGCCAAACAGCCAGTGAAGCTTTTCTTCTTCGGCCGAGCCATTCCTGTCCGTGCCAGCCGACCCAAACACAGGAGCGGGATTACCGCTTCGGTCCAAAGTGTCTCCCGTTGCGGTAACAGCTCGGTTCGTTGCGGTTTACGGTGGGTTTGGCTGCTGGACCGAGTAAACTCCGTCCTTTCCGCCAGCAGATATCTCTCTCTCCTTGAATCTTCGGGACCCGTTAAGGCAGCGGTGTACCACTTCCTGTACAAACCTTCAAAGTAAGAGCACAACTAAAGAAACCGCTCGGCTTTTGAAATTGCAAGAAGTTGTTGCAGAAACATTCATTGAACACTTTGGAGTCCACATGATCCCTAATAATTCTCCTGGTGCTCTAGTTTCCTCTAACAGACCATGCCAGGTTAACTGGAGACTTCCTAGAATGTTGTTTGATGTAGTGTATGTATATATATATATATATATATATATATATATATATATATATATATATATATATATATATATATATATATATATATATGGTTATGATTTCTGCAGGTTGATATTGAGCTAGGTTAATATTATTGTTTCTGTTTGTACACCTGCTTTTTTTGTTGTCATGCTCATAATTCAACTGTAAATATTGATTCTTGTAAGCTGTAAGCTTCATTGGTTAAATAAAACTTGTTAAAAAAACTGGAGACTTCCTAGGGGTGTGACTGGTTTCTTGTCTCTGTGTGTCCACCATATCTCGCCCGGTGACTGATGGAGGTAGCCTCACCAGCCAGCCCCATGCTTTTAATGGGAAGCATTGTTCTTCTGTGCTGGAACACAAGCTCCCTGAGACCCGGCTGAAGATGGAACTGCATGTGAGAATGGAAAGATGGATGTTTCTGTAAACGGGGGTGGGGGAACCACTTAAAAAAACAACAGCTTCCCTTAACACAGTGATGCGGTTGACTCTATCTGAGTTTATTACACACCAAACTCTTTTTGAAGTATCGCATTAAAAGTAAAACAAAACAAACACAAATATGGCTTAGACTGAGCTTTTGTTTTGTAGTATTTTTACGTACCGGATGTTCATTGTTTCTGCGGCAATGACATCCTTTTGGACTACGCATGCGCAAATCATAGAAAGGAGCAAACCGAGCGCTCCCTTCGGAGAAGCTCCACCTCTCTGACATGTGCCGGTAGGTCTCCATGAATAATTACAACGCTCCTTCAGGAAAGAAGCGCTGGTGATGGTGATCGCTGATTGGCTGATCCAACTTGACCTTTGATGCGTTTATGAGACTGAGCAGCGTGTCAAGAGCAACCTGAAACATTCCTAATAAGTATTTTGTGACAAATAAGGTCAAAGAAAATTCATTCAAAATACTTCATTACTTCATAAGTGTTACCCAGCTAATCATTATATGACAAAGTTTAAGAGGGACATTGATGTGAATTGCTCTTTTTGTGGACACCACCCTGAGACCGTTCAGCACCTCTTCTGGATCTGTTCACATGCTACAACGTTTTGGAAAGACTTTAGCAGATTTATTATCGGACAGCTCTGCAAGGACTTCATTTTAAAATGGGAAAATGTTGTATTTTGTTTTTTTCGCAAGCACAGAAAGGGAGATGTATACTTTGTTATGAATTTGTTAATTATTCTAGCTAAATTCTATCTCCACAAATGCAAATATAGTAACCAAAAACCTAATTTCAAGCACTATTATAGTGACACTCTATCTTACATAAAATTGATTAGTGGATCACTAAACAAAAAAGCTTTAAAAACTATAACTATTTGCACCACCTATAATTTATTTGGATGTGTGTAACATTTCTGTAGTGCACCCCTGGCATATGTTTCATCTTCTTTTTTCAATTTTGTATGCAATTTGTTTGTATACTTATCACCTTGTTCAATAAAGTTTTGAAGAAAAAAAAAGAGCAACCTGAAACAGCTACTCACTTGTTCTGGTCGTGTAAATTTACAAGTAAATTCTGGAAGGACTTCCACAAGTTTATTAATGGCTCTGTTCTCCTCCCTGACTTTCAACTATACAACACAGATGTTATCTTTGGTCTTTATAATTTTAAAAACAAGGACAACGATGCTTTCTTCTTTGTAAATATGTTTTTATTTTTGGCAAAATTTCACCTACACAAAAGCAAAGTCTTTGGCAGAAAACCTGAACTTCTTGTATTAAAAATGGAACTTGAACAATATATGAGGACGATCTCCTCATCAAAAAAACACCAAGGCTCTCAAGTCTGTTAACATGTGTAACCACCTGAAACTGCTCAATTGACTTAACCTCTTCCAACCCCCCCCCCCCCCCCCCCCCATCTCCATGTCTCCATCATTTCCGCCGTTCTTCATTGTACAATGGTATGCTTTAGGGCCCGACCAATATACTTTTTTTGGGGCCGATACCGATATAATGGCCAATAAATCTCCCTCACAAAAGAAAAAAGAAAATTTTTCTTAAGCTTAAACCCTTCATTCTCTGCCTTTTTTGATGCAAACTTATTTCTCTATTACACACCAAAGAACTGTCTCCATAAATCACTCGAGTTTCCAAGTAATGCAAATAAGATTATTTAGCAGATCTCAAAAACAACAGAACACAAACTCAGTCACAGCATAAATCTAACACTCAAGTATTTTCTTGTAAGCTGCGGTTTCCACAAATACATTTAAACTTAAAGGAATATTCCACCACTCAGTAAAACTGTGTCTTGATAAGATTCCCCAGAGTTAGACAAGTCAGAACAAGCATTTTATAACCAGCCCAACATGATCTGGCAGCAGTTGGTTTTCTTAGTTTAGCATAAAACAACGTAAGTGAATTCACATACATTGTAGTGTTTTTATGTAGGCTAGCCTTGCCTTCCATTGCTTTATGCTAAAACAACTGGTAACATGTTTTTTCTGACTTGGCTAACTCTGGGGAATCTAACGACACACACAAGTTTAGGGACAGAAGATCCCTGTAAGAATATTAAAATAATAAAAATGCAGTAATAAATATGTCTTTGAAGGTTCTCAGTCATCCAGGTCATTGTAGTCTAAGGAGCTTCGAAAGAAAAGCGTCTGGACTTCTTTGAGTTGCTTGAAGACGTTTCACCTCTCATCCGAGAGGCTTCTTCAGTTCTAAGGTCAAATGGTGGAGAGTCCCAGATTCAAACCCAGTGGGAGTTTCCCCCCGAAGAGGGAACAAAAGGCCCCCTGATGATCTTCTACATAAACACATGAGCCAAGGTGTGAGGGTGGGTGTGGGTCCTATTCAGCCAGAGTATCGGGTGAGCTCATTGTGAAGCCTGGCCCCACCCTATCATGTGAATTCCGTAATAATAAATAAAACCGCAGTAATAAATAAAACGTAATACTTGTGCTTCGTAACAAAGTAAATGATAAATGACCCGCACTTGTGTAGCGCCTCTCAGAGTAAGGACTCCAAAGCGCTTTGCACTACGGTGTATCATTCATCCATTCACACACTGATGGTGATGAGCTACGATGTAGCCACAGCTGCCCTGGGGCGCACTGACAGAGGCAAGAAGTAACACTCTGTGGAAGTTCACTTGGTGAACTTATTCACCCTGGACAGGAAATAATTGCACATAACAAACATAAATAAAAATAAATTAAAAAAGTTCCAAAACAATAATTTCTGTTCAAAGTTTAAAGGAATGGAGCCACACGACATGAGTTCTTAAAGCTGGCGCCATCTGCTGGATAGGTAGCGCAATATCGGCCATATCAGCCGTGTTTTTGGCCGATAATGTTAATGACCCCAATCTCGGCCGATATATCGGTCGGGCCCTAGTATGCTTTGTGTGATCCATGTCCACATTTTTATGTTCAAAATGTGTTAAATAAAGTTTACAAAATAAATAAATAAACAGGACAGGAGGACACCGGGTGCTGCAGGAAAAGAAATTCAACACAATGGTAAATGATCTGTATTTGATATAGCGCCTTCTAGAGTCCTGGAACCCCCCAAGGTGCTTTACAACACAATCAGTCATTCACCCATTCACACACACATTCAAACACTGGTGGGGATGAGCTACGATGTAGCCACAGCTGCCCTGGGGCGCACTGACAGAGGCGAGGCTGCCGAGCACTGGCGCCACCGGTCCCTCCGACCACCACCAGCAGGCAACGTGGGTTAAGTGTCTTGCCCAAGGACACAACGACAGCGACAGACTGAGCGGGGCTCGAACCTGCAACCTTCCGATTACGGGGCGAGCACTTAACTCCTGTGCCACCGTCGCCCACAGTAGAGGAAAGTAGTAACTAGAGGTATATTTCTGCAAATGGAGATGTGATGATGACCTGCAGGGACAAGCATTTGGCAGGTCTGCAGCAGTCGGATGGGAAAGGAGCTTCAGCTTCCTGTGCGTTGGAGGGGGTGGTCCAGGTTCTTCATGAATGAGTTTCTTCAGTGTCCTCCTTTTGACCAGTGTCAAATGTCTCCAGCCCGACACTGATCCCAGACCAGCTGTCCTGATGAGCCTGTATTTCTGATGCTAACACCCAGCAAACAGCTGAGAAACCATTAGGAAAGATCACAGCTCAGCTGGACGAAGATCTGCATCTTTATAGCAGAACAGGAGCTTCATGTGATCACTCCGGTTTGGATTTCTTTAGCCCGTGTGTGTGGTTATGATAAACCTCTGTAGACTTATGAAATACAGTCAGAAGTGTCGAGCTACTGGTGTTTCCAGGAGCTTCTTTGCGTTTAATCACGGACAGTTCCTCCAAAGCTTCAGAGAAACAGGACGGTTCAAATAATCTCTGATGCAGAAATGATGAGAGGCGTTCAGAGGCCGTAGGAACGAGTGGGAATCAGCTTGTTGGCAGATACGTCGATCCTGAACAGAACTCAGACCGGTCAGAATTAAGAGCTGCATTCAGAAAAAAACGGTTTGTTTTCATGCAGAAATGTTTTACAGATAAACAAACGTAACAAAAACGAGTAACCCGCTCAGTCCTGTGCTCATGTGACCTTATTTCCACTAGAGGCACACGTTTGCAGTTTTACCTTAAAAGTATCTAAACTTAAACAATACAGGACAAAATCAAATAAAGCCCGTCTATTAGGTGCCTGATTTCTTTTATTAAAGTGACAGTGTGTGTTTTCCATGGCGACAGGGGGCAGTACATACCTAAATCAATGCAAGCAAGACCTTACCGACGGATGGCCATTAGGGTCAAAAATCCTTGGGAGTGCGGAAACGATTCCTCGAGTACCTCGAATAATTCGAGTACAAAAAACCCTCGAGTCAAATTCTCTGCCTCGAGGCTTCCTTTAATTCATGTTTAATTAATTCATGGCTTTGCAATCGCCCGGGGTCATGTTTCACCCGGACCGAAATAAGTGACGCGCATACACACTGCACTGAATGCACACGCGAGTAGCGAATGTAACTTAACTTTCCCTTAAGCCATGGCGGACAACGTAGACCCCGGTGGAGTGCGAAAAAGACAGAAAATGTCAAAGGTGTGGGAGCATTTTTCACTTCGTAAGGCGGAAGACGTAGTCCAGTGTAAATACTGTAAAATGGATTTAGCCTACCCAGAGCCGTGTCCAGGACTTTTAAAATGGGGTGGCCCATGTGGGGAACTTGTTTATGCCTGGGTGGCACCAATGGTTATGCTTATTTACACAAATCGTTTATTTATTTACTTTCTAGTGAATTTTGGAGTTTCACATTGCACAATCACCATTTTTTTCTATTCATCTTCTAGTTTTGTGGTGGTTAGCAAGTCACTTCTTGTTGCATTATTGCCACCAACTGGAGTTGAGTGGGACTCTAAATACTATTTATGTGAATATGAATAAATAATATTTATACTACAGAAATGTTCTGTGGGCCTGGGTTAGAAGACAAAGTTAAAGGTGCGTGCACACGCTATTTTTGGAGTTTACAACTCAAGCCTTTTGTCGACAGTGTAAAGTCAATTTAAACTGGAACTTAGTAGGGTGGCACCTGGGGTGGCCAATCAGACTCTAAGGGTGGCATGTGCTACCCCAGGCCACTCCCTGGACACGCCCCTGAGCCTACCACAACACTACGTCCTCCATGCTGCAGCACCTGACCAGGAAACATCCACCTGTAAATGTCACTTCTGCAAGCGGACTCGGAGCCTCTACGAGATAATGCATTTTAGCCTGTATGTCTATATATTCTGCAGACACTGTGCGACTTTTTCATTTGTAGCACTCAGTTTCAGCTCACACCGTACGTCTGGTAGCAACACGTCGGACTTAAAATGTGCTAAAAATAGCAGTTTTTACAATACGTTGGACTTTTTACTGTGTTGTTATTGATGTCTGTTGTCCCTCGGGATTGCTGCAGGAGGACACGGGTATTTATGAGAGGAAAACAAAATACAGTAAGTAAATGTGATCAGTATAATTTGACATAACCACGGCAACCATGCTTTCTCGACAATCCTTGTTATTGTGAGAAAAAAAGTGTAGAAATTAAAACGGACGTGTGCTAATAGGGAAATAGCTGGCGAGCCATGTTTGCGCATGCGCCGTGAGCGGTTCTGGTGCTGGTAGATTCTCGCGCGAGGGGAAAATCTGCTCAGGTTGCATACTTATTTTTTTGCACAGGCATTTGTTTGCTGTGAAGTAAAGTTGAAGTGCTGAAGTTTTGAAAACTAATTTTGAATAAAACTTGAAGAATAACTGGCAACTGCTTGCTCATTTTAAGAGGTCTTTCATATTTTATAACATGCCGTTTGATATAATGGCTTACAAAGACAAAAGGGTCATTTATTAGAGTACTCGATTAATCGATAAAATATTCAATAGAGTACTCGATTAATCGATAAAAGATTCAGTAGAGTACTCGATTACAAAAATATTCGATAGCTGCATCCCTAGAGTGCAACCTCCAGCAAAATAAGAACATCAGATTGCCTTTCATCACTGGCGACGAGTGAGGAGGTAAATGTGTAAAACAACAGTTATTACTGCTTTAATAACCTTTTGTTACAAATCAGTAAACGCATTCTCGCCTCACGGGCTTCCGTAGTAGCAAACATGCAAGGGCGCCCCCAAGGGGTGGCCATGGCCACCCCTAGAAAATTACCATCTGCCAGTGCCACCCCAAAAATTTCTTTGGCCCCATCTGGCCACCCCATCAAAATTTTCTGGAGGCGCCCCTGCAAACATGGCATCCAATATGGCGTCGCCTAGAAATTTAGACCCGCTCCCATGTATTTTAGACCCAATTACTATGGTTACATGTTGTCAAACTGCCAATATTTTTCAACAACTGGGTATCTATTAATTCATTTACAGCAACATTTCAAAGGATATTTCCAGAAATGAATGACAATACTACACACTGTCCCTTTAAGCTGTTTGAAGTTTTTATCCTGTGTAAAGTTTCAGAAAAATAATGAACGTGTTATAAAAACTAAACTCAGTCATATTCCTTTACAAAAGCTTAATAATTTATTTTTAAACACTCAGAGGAGCAAGCAGCTCGTTACAGAAATGATAAAACAATAATACTAATCATGAAGACGAGGAAAAGCTTCTGAAACATCCGTTTTACAAAACAAGCCTCCACATTTAATGCTGAAGATCAGCTGAAGATCAGCTGTTCTACAGAAGCCCAGCAGGGACAAACTGGGTTTAGTGGAGTCTAAAACAGCAGGAGGACAAACAGAAAAATCGTGTCTGGACTTGGACCTGCTGACCGAAACCCAGCTGGAAGAGCTTTTGCTCCGCTCACCTCTGACTCAGGCGCCGGTACAGCTGGATAGTCTTCAGCTGGATTTCAGGATCTCCTGGTCTGATGTCGATGGCTCTGAGGAAGAAGCTCAGCGCCTCTTCCAGCTTCTCCTGGCTGAAACACTCTTCTCCTCTCCGAACTAGAGCATCATAGCTCTCAGACTCCATGGAGCAGTGGTCCGTTCCCTCCCAGAAGACCGACTCGGCTTCACTGCTCCTCTTCTCCAGCCTCATGTCTTCACCTGACTCAACATTAGCTGACAGCTCCTCTTGCTCCTCCTCCTGCTCCTTAGACTCCTCCTCAACATGAAGATCAAAATGAGCAGAATCAGCACCATCCTCGCCGTGCCCTTCGTTCTCTCCTTCAAACTCCTTCTCCTGGAGCTCCAGAGTTGCTTCCACCTTCTCTAGGTTTTTATCCTCCCCGTCTTCCTCCCCCTCCTCCTCCTCCTCAGAGTTCAGATCATCTCTCGTCATCTCCTCCGACAGAAAATCATTACTACTTAAAAGGTCCTCGTTATCTTCATGATCATCCTGGTCATCCAAGTCCAGCCTCATGTCTTCACCTGACTCAACATTAGCTGACAGCTCCTCTTGCTCCTCCTCCTGCTCCTTAGACTCCTCCTCAACATGAAGATCAAAATGAGCAGAATCAGCACCATCCTCGCCGTGCCCTTCGTTCTCTCCTTCAAACTCCTTCTCCTGGAGCTCCAGAGTTGCTTCCACCTTCTCTAGGTTTTTATCCTCCCCGTCTTCCTCCCCCTCCTCCTCCTCCTCAGAGTTCAGATCATCTCTCGTCATCTCCTCCGACAGAAAATCATTACTACTTAAAAGGTCCTCGTTATCTTCATGATCATCCTGGTCATCCAAGTCCAAGTCCTCGATGACGGACCGGAGGAGGGACCGCCGAGACACCACTGACAAGTTTCCTCCTACACTCCTTCTGGGAGGAGGAGATGAGCCAGAGGGATCTGATTTTGGAGTGGAGGCTCCAAGCACTGGGAACGAGCGATTGAGAGGACTCTTCAACAGCTTCTCCTCTTCTTCGTCTTCCTCCTCCTCCTCACTGTCATAAATCACAGCTGCTCTTTTCTTCTTCTTGGGAAGGATGAACTCGTTGACTGACTCGTTGATGGACTCGTCTCCTAGAGCCTGGCAGCTGCTGGTGGTCCTTCTGTGAAGACTCTCTGACAGAGACTTGTTGACATCAAAGCTGCCGATCACCTGGAGCTGAGACAGCAGCTTCTGCTCCTCCTCCTCGATCTCTGCGTGGTCTAGAACGTCGTCGCTGTCCTCCAGCTGTAGGTTAAAGTGTCCACCAGAGGACTCCAGCTCGGTGCTCACTCGGGAGGCTACTGCTGGGATGCTGGAGTCGGACAGCTGGAGGACAGAAACCCCTCCGTCCTGAAGCAGACTTGGGTGATTCAAGTCCATCTCAGATGGAGAGCTGCTTCTGTTTGGACCAACATGAAAAGGGTCGTGCTGAAATGAGGCGGCTGCAGTCAGATCGATGACCTCAACACTGTGATCCTGCTGGACGTCCATCTCTCCAGAACCAGACTGGTCCAAATCCACCACAACAGGTGAGACGTGGTTGTTGTCGGGCTGAGGGAGGGGAGGACTTGGTTTAGGGTTTCTGGGTTTCTTATCCCGAGTCGTGTCTCTGCTGATGGAGTCCAGCGGTCCTCGAAGCCAGGCCGGTTCCGAACTCAACGCCATGCTCTCGGCCAGCTGCATCTGCAGAAAAACACAAACGCGAGGGTCAGTCCCTCATCACCTGGAAATGGAAACCTCGAAGACCAATGAAAGAGTGAGAAAACGAAAGCAGGAAGTTCCCCCACCGACACCAAACCACCAGCTGCCCCCCCTAATGAGCGCAAAATGTTTACGTTTGAACTTTTATTGTTGTTTTAATTGTGTTTTTTAACTAAATGTTAATCACGTTGACCGTTCTTTGGGCAGTGTAAAGAGCGAGGTTCCCACGGTAACCGTGTATGCATGTCTGACACACCTGGAGGAAAGTAACCAAACGCCAGTTAACTGATGATGCAGCTCTTGGCCAATCATGGAACTCAAACTAGATCCGGCTTAAACTGGCTCATCCACTTAGTTAGCACATTTCTATCTGAACAAAGCTTGCTTTATGCGTGACGGGTTCACTTTCCGCGCGGTGATGCGGCTCGCGGATGGAACGCACGTCACAACTCGCAGCGTTTATGGTTCATGCGGCTCGTCTCTGCGGTGAGCCAATATTCTCCCAAACTGTAGGGGGCAGCATGGAGCTCTACGGCATGCATCCAACACTACACCATGGTAGAAGTAGAAATTACTGTTGTTTACAACATGGCATTCCAGCATTTTTAACAGCGTCCTCGTCTTTTCCGACAGTGCGAACTATTTCCCTCCACGAATTATTAACAACATGTTGATCACGGTGATCTCTGAGAGCTGAATCATACAAATGTCTGTATTTACGAACCTCTGCCATACTAGTTCTTGCCGGTCCGCCATGTTTTTCAGTGTCAGACCGTCCGCGTGGTTAGAAAATTTCCTAGGTGCGCGGTGCGGACGTTTGGGCCGTGCGGAGGCGCGGTGGAGGGGCGTGGTTGTTAAAACAGGGTATCTGCAGGTTTAAGGGAGCCAAATTTAAGACATTTTTAAGGCCACTTTGACAAAATTTAAGCTATTTTTAAAATTAAATTTAAGCTATAATTTCCAGCTATTGCCCGGAACCGGTGCTAACCACGTCGCAAACGTGGGATTAGCCATCCAGTTACCATTAAACTTGCCCTTCCCTATGGCGCAAGCTCCCACTAGCTTAACCAGCTAATGCGCTCATTTAAAAATAGCCCCCCTTCACAACCAACTGAATGTGTATGGCTCCGCTTACGCCAACATCGTACACAAAAAACGCTGAACACCAACTAGAAAAATCACAAAATTTTTATAGAAATAAAAGAATCTTGTTTATTGGGTCTTTGGTCATTTAAGACCTTTGGAAACTGTCTTTAAGGATTATTTGTCATTTTTAAGGCCTTAAATTTGGAAAAGCAAATTTAAGACTTTTTAAAGGACCCGCGGATACCCTGTAAAATGACGCAATTTTGCCGCGCGGAGCCGTGCGAACCTCGCGGACGCGTCAAGCATAAACCAAGCTAGAAGTAACTATATTCATTTGATGATGATGTGTGATCAGGAGTGAAGGAGACAGTGCTCTGATCTTTGACCCACCTGAAGCTCAGACTCGGCCCTCACCAAATCCTGAGCCTTCTGGACCCGTCCTTCAATGTACTGATGTTCCTCCTGGTTTTCGGGGGCCTCATCATGGTTGATGTGGTGGGAGAACATAAGGTCATGGTCAGAAATCCCAAACATGTCCATGGTGTGAAGGTGAGCGATGTGTTCGTCCAGCACCGGGTCACTCCGTCGGTGTCTAGAGTGCAACTCCTGCAGCTGACGTTGAGTGGAGGAGGACCGAGTGTCCTCCAGAATGAACAGCTGCCTCAGATCCTGTCTGCTGAAGTATCTGAACGGGTTCTTGTTGTCTCCGGTGTTCTGTCTGATGAGGGAGTCTTTGAAAACCTGCCGCCTGTAGATCTTCTCCTCCACGGTGCCACAGGTGATAAGCCGGTAGATGACGACATCTTTTTTCTGGCCTATGCGGTACGCACGGTCCACAGCCTGGGAGTCTGTAGCTGGGTTCCAGCTCGGATCGTAGATGACGACTCGGTTTGCTGCGGTCAGCGTGATGCCCACTCCACCGACCTGAGTGGTCAGGAGGAAGACGGAGTAACTCGTGTCTGACTGGAACAGAGAGATGAGCCTCTCTCGCTCGGCAATTTGCAAGATGGTTCCATCCAGCCTCAGAACCTTGAATCCTCTGTTGCCAAGGATACGCTGCAGGAAGTCAAGCACTTTCCTGTAGTGAGCAAAGACGAGGGTTCGGTGGCCTTCCTGTCGGAGTCTTTCCAGCAGCTGAAGTAAAAATGTGAGTTTTCCAGACTCTGTTACTAAAGTTTCATCTGAAACGTCACCGATGCTGTGAGGGTCAGTCGCTGCCTCTTCGTCCGGGAAACCTTCAGCAGGATCTTCCAGACCCAACTTTGCTATAGCGTTGGCAGAAAGCAGTCTTGGATGGTCGCACAGCTTTTTGAGGATGGTTAGTTCTGCCAGAGGTGATCTGGTGGTCGTGAGCAGCTCCTTGATGTGCTCCATGGAGATGAACTGCCTGTAAATGTCCTCTTGAATAGGACTCAGGTAAGTCCAGACGATCAGGTCGTTCTTTCGGGTCAGCTGTGGCATGACCGCCCCAGAGTGCGTCTGACCAGCTGTGGTCTCGTCTTTGTTGGCCTCCTCTTCTCCCGTTCCACCGGTCTTCTGAACTTCAGCCTTTGTCCTACGGAGGTAGTAGGGTTTTATTAGGGCTATGAGGTTTTCAGACATCCTGGAACCAAGAACCTTTTCTCCAGGAGTGGCATCCTTCTCCCTGGCCCGAGTGATGGGGTTCTCATACTCCGTTTTGAAGGTCTTCGCCGTTCCGAGGAGAGATCCCTTACAGGCAAAATCAAAGAGGGTCCACATCTCCCTCAGGTTGTTCTGAACCGGAGTTCCTGTCAGAAGAATCCTGTTCCTGGACGGGATGGCGTACGCACTTTTGGCCGTTTTAGTTGTGGAGTTCTTTATTTTGTGGGCCTCGTCCAGGACCATGTAGTCCCAACAGAATTCCTTCCCCTGATACGAGGCCAGCTGTTGCCAGTTGTTCATTAGCATCGTGTAGGTGGTGATGATGACGCCTCCCCTCCTCTGGACCCTCTCTAAACTTCTGGTCCTCTCCGCTTTGCTCGAACCATGAAACTCCTTCACCCTCATGCCAGGAGTCCATTTGGTGAACTCCTTGACCCAGTTGGTGATCAGGGATGTTGGCATGACAAGAAGCGTGTGTCTGATCAGCTCACTGTCATACATGCCAGAGAGGAACGATATAATCTGGATGGTCTTACCCAGACCCATATCGTCAGCCAGGACTCCCCCTTTTCGGTTCTCTTTGTAGAGGCAGTAAAGAAAGGCAACGCCGTCCCTCTGATAGTTGTACAGCCTGTCAAAAAGCTCTCGGTACAGCATTAAACCGCAGTTGTTCACATCGACAAAGTCACCATCCTCATCCTCCGCGTCATTCTGAGCCACAATTTCTTCGATCTTCTTTATCCTGCTCGCTAGTTTGGGAGTCTGGTGAATGCCGTAGGCCAGCCTGAAGAGTTCCAGAGCTTTCTGGATGTCTCCTTGTTTGGCAACACGTTTCCCATCTGAAATCAAGCTGGAAGAAAAAAAAACCATATGGAATATCAGCAGGTCCTGAAGTAATCACATTGGAAGGGAAAGTCATAGAGATGGTCCATGAGTATAAGTACCTAGGTGTTTGGATAGATAACTCCCATACCTTTATATCTCATATAGATAAACTGGTGAAAACATTAGAACTAAAGCTGGGGTTCTACTTCCGTAATAAGTCGTGTTTTTCTTTAGGAGGGAAAAAAGCAACTTGTCTGTACTAGATGATGGTGATCTTCTATATATGAATGCTTCTTTAACTGTGCTACAAAAACGGGACTCGGTTTACCATCCTCTCTGAGATTCACCACAAACTGTAGAGCCATCACTGTGAATTATGTTCACGAGTGAAATGGCCGTCGTTGGCAATTAGACAAAATCATTGGTATGTTTTTATTTACAAGGCAGTGTTTGGATTGTTACCTCCTTATATTTGCACTTTAATCACACGAAAAAATGTTAATTCCCGTTCTCTAAAGGGACTTTACGGAGTTTTGAATTTTTATGCTCGAGATTGCCCCCTCAGACCAAAAGCGTAAAGGCAGCTTCAATAGTGGGCTCGTGCACGAGGCGCGCATGCTGTACGTGCACACTCCTTAACGAAAATAACAGCTGAGACAGTCCCTTGTGTGTGTGTGTGTCGGAGGACAGGAGAACAAGCAGCTAATTAATTAAATAATGTGGTTCTGTACCTTTCTCTTCAGCACAGCCGACAAAGGTTTATGATGGGTCAGTCCTCCTGCATGCTCAGATCATTCCCTTCCCTTGCTTGAAAAATTGTTCCAAAATGAAAGTTGAACCCACATCTTTTTTGTCTGTGAATTCAATGCCGTTCGGCGAGTCTCAAATAAAAATTTGGGCATCTTACTGTAAAAAAATATACCATTAATGTAAAAAAGAAACTCTAAATAAACTATGTTCACATCCAGAATCAAACCCAGGTCTTCTGCATGAGAGTCAGACATCTTACTAGGTGAGCTAAAGCACCAGTGACATCTTTTGTATCTGTAACATTTATATCCTTGATGACAGCTGAAACAACGTCAAACCAAAGAACGGTTCGGAGTGAAAATGGCTATTTTGTTGCTAATTTGCAGGAAATATCTAGAAGAAAGTTCTACAGAAAGTAGCTAAGGGTCCTCAGAAATGTAGCTAGCTTTGTCACTAGGTGTTAGGAACAGCGACAAAGTGGCACTGCCTCTCTCTCTGCTGCTAAAGCTACTGATAGCAAATGCTACGGGCGATGCCTGAGCGTGAACGCGCATGAAGCAGCCTGCTCGACCCGAGCATCTCTCTTTTTCTGTGATTTTACAGAAAAACAGGCAATCACAGTAAAAATGCCAGGGCTCATTCTACAGGACCAGGGCATTGCAGGAGAATGTATGAAGAAGACATTTATTATTTCTATACATGTTTGGCTGTCAAACTTCCATAACGCCCCTTTAAGGTCTAACGATCAGTTGCTACTTTCTGTTCCTTTTGCTCGCACACAGTCAGGAAAGAGAGCCTTCGCCTGCTCTGCTCCTTCTGCTTGGAACCAGCTGCAGAAATCCTGGAAAATGACCGAGCAGGTTTCACTAAATGCCTTCAAAACCAAACTGACAGCTTCAGAGACTGCATTAGTAACTTGTAACTGCTTTTAATGATTGAGTGTTTTATCATTGTCATTTTGTTAACTGGAATTTTTGCTGCCTCTTGGCCAGGGCTCCCTTGTAAAAGAGGTTCTCAACCTCAATGGGTCTCTATCCTCGTTAAATAAAGGTTAAATAAAAATAAAAATAAAGGTTCTTTAGCAGTTCAGACTAAATGATTTACAGTAAAAACATAAATTAGTAAATCTGCATCAAGTTGGCTAATAGAACCAGGAAACGAGTCACAGAATCACCAATTTGTAGCACATTTATGTAAATTAACATTTTCTCTTAGTGATAGTTTTCATTTATTCCACGCTCTTTATCTAAACATGAAAATAAAACATGTTACTGAATCAAGGACGCATTTTCAGAGCTAAAATTCAGCTTCCTATCAAACTGTTATTGATGTTTTTGAACATTTCATCCAACTTAAAGAGTTCGTTTACATGCTGATCACAAATGTGTCATCTAAATCAGTAACAACTTTTATCAGGAAGAGCAAAATGATTCGTAAACAATAAGAAAATAAATGAATACTAGTTGTGCTCACAGTGTATTTATTATTTCCTAAAATAAAGAATAAGTTTATGAGTGTATGTTTGAGCGTGGGGGCTAAAAACACCCACACACAAGATAATTACAGACTTGAGAGAAAACTGCTGGTTTTATTTCTAGTCCTTCAGTTACTCAGCTCATCAGATATGAAGGAATTTCATCATAATCAAAAACAGATGATTGTGTGTGAGATACCTGGTATACTTCTCCATCATCTTGTCCTCTGCGTGGTTGTCCTCTGCGTCTATGTCCTCTGCGTGGATGGACAGAGATCTGGACAGAAAAATCTATGTTAGAAATTCAGAAGATAGATCTCAACTTTACTGAGCAAGACCAAACACGTTCAGATTTCAGATTTATTGGCCAAGTAAAATTACATTTACAAGGAATTTAGCTTCGGTAGATGTTCGCTCTCTAACACATACAACAACTACAATAAATGAGAATAAAAATACATGAAAAACACATAAGAACACGTATACCCACATACATGTTCATTTACACACACACATATATACATATGTATACACACACACTCATATCCATAAGCATACTGAATAAGCATTAAAACCTATAATAAAAAGATGGTAAAAGAATCTACAGATTCAGGAGAGAAATGGCTGAAGGAAAGAAACTGTTCTTGTGTCTGATAGTTTTTGTGTACAGCGATCTATCGCGTCTGCCAGATGGGAGGAGATGGAAGAGAGTAGATGCAGGATGTGTGGCATCTTGGACAATATTCACTGCCTTTTTCCTGGTCCTGCTGATGTACAGTTCCTGGACAGAGGGCAGCTGGGCACCAATGATTTTTTTTGTCCATTTTTGTGGCTGACCCAAACCAGACAGTGATGGATGAGCAAAGTATGGATTCCACTGCAGCAGTGTAGAAGATGATCAGCAGCTCTTGTAGTAGGCCGTACTTCCTTAGTTGCCGTAAGAAATACATCCTCTGCTGAGCCTGCTCCTTTGCCCGTCTCAACGGGCTCAGTGTTGCTGTAAACCTTGGCTTGTAAAATTGGAGAAATAACTAAGAATTGATGTTACGGAAACGCATGTGAGTCCGAACGCCTTTAGCAGCTAGCTAGCTAGTTTGGTAAACGCTCTTGTAAATGCACCGTAAGCTCACTTACTTTTCGAGTCTGTCAGAAACATGAGAAACCTGTTCATCGTGACGAGAGTCCATTTTGTTACTTTTCTGCTAGTCCGTTGTAATAATACAGCAATAAACTCTACGCAGATGTTTGCATTTATATCTTCTCGGATTTCTCCGCCATTTTTTATAGCCAATCAGAGACCACGCTGTGATCCCATATCCGGTTACGCTGTCCAATCACAAAAACGACTGGGCAGAACTTAGTTACGTAATTTCCGACTTGGAAATTCTGACGACAACGTACGACTGAATTCAAATTCAGCCAAGAACGAGAAGGTGTTTAACAGTTTGATGTAATAAGCTTAATGGTTCACCAGCTATTAAATCATTTTGGTGCTTTAATAGAATTCTGTTATTTAAATTTTTAACATCTAATACATTTTGGCATGTTTTGAATCTACAGTTGCATTTAAACATTCCTCCTGTAGAGGGCGATGTCTCAAAAACTGTAAAAGGAAAGGCAGCTTTGTTTGTACAGCACATTTCATACACAAGAGTAATTCAGTGTGCTTAATTAGCAAGAATAGTAAGAACATTAAAAATCATCAAGCCAGAAAGTACACACAAACAAATTTTTGATTTAAAAATTAAAAGAAAGGGACTTAACTAAAGGGTGAAATTTACAATGATTATACAAAAAATATGTATAAAACTACAGCCTAGAGGTACTTTTATGAAGTGTCGAGAATGCATAACTGTCAAGTACACAGGTGGCAGGTACGGCCAGTCACACGTTGGCAAGTATCAGCAGAGCCAATAGATGAGCTTATGGATGGTTCTGATAGGAAACAGGCTTCAAAACAAGCGGTTGTATTCCACTTGGTCCTAGTGCTCAATCAGTGTATACTTAATATAGCGTAATATATTTTTGGGACGGTAAAAGTGCAGGGACCCCCCCCCCCCCACACACACACACACACACCAATCGGGCATCTGATTAGGATGCCTTCTGAACGCCTCCTGAGGTTTTCTGGGCATGTGCAACTGGGAGGAGACCCAAGGGAAGACCAGGACACGTTGGAGGGACTTTGTCTCTCAACTGGCCAGGGAACGCCTTGTGGTTCCCCCGGAAGAGCTGGGCTAAGTAACTAGAGAGAGGGAAGTCTGGGCATCTCTCGGCTTAGGCTGCTGCTCCCGCGACCCGACTCTGGATAAGCGGTTGAGAATGGAGGGATGGAGGAGGTGGATGCCAGAGGAGTGCAGGGTTCATATGGTAAAAGTAGGTCTGAGAGATAAGAGGGCCGAAGACCATTAAGACCCTTAAAAACAATTAGGAGTACCTAAATATCCAGAAAAGAATACACAAACACAGAGACTCAAAATCCCGGAGCAGTTTCCAGGCCAGACCGAGGCTCTACTGAGGCCTTTCCACGGAGCTAGCTCTGTGGTCACGTGGGTCTGATGCTCATTAATTATACAGAATTTTAGGATTTTAATACACTTAAACAGAAGAGTGAGAAAAAAATTCACCCCCCTCAGAGTTGTCATGAGTGTAAACTAGATCATTTAAACCAAAAACATGTTTTGGTACCAGGCTGTAAACATGTTTATTTCTGCTGTGAAATTGGTATTTTTAACATGGGAGTCAATGAGGATTTGCTCGCTTCTGACACCAGCCCCTAGTGGATGAGGGTGGAACTGCAACTTTTGTCACTTCCGTGTTGGCTTCATTTTCATACCAGTATTATGGGGGCTTGCCAGTACAGGTCAGTCATCATGGACTTTGTGGACTGGTGTGAGCGTAAACCACCTTCCCTTGAACACCAGTAAAACATGAAAATGGTGATTGACTTCCATACAGATATATATATATATATCTATATATATCTATATATATATATATATATATATATATATATATATATATATATATACACAGATATATATATATATATATATATATATATATATATATACATACATTCATACACATACATATAAGTATGTATATATATACATATTTTTATATACATATATACACACATATGTGTGTATATATGTATATATATATTTATATATACACATATGTGTGTGTATATATATATATATTTACATACATATATATATATGTATGTAAATATATATACATATATATATATGCACACATATATACATATGTATATATATATATATATATATATATATATATATATATACATATTTATATACACATATACTTTTTTTTTTTTTTCGGACGAAATGAGTTTCCTCCGTAGGGTGGCCGGGCTCAGCCTTAGAGATAGGGTGAGGAGCTCGGACATTCGGGAGGGACTCGGAGTAGAACCGCTGCTCCTCCGGATCGAAAGGAGCCAGTTGAGGTGGTTTGGGCATCTGGTCAGGATGCCTCCTGGACGCCTCCCCGGGGAGGTGTTTCGGGCATGTCCTGCCGGCAGAAGGCCCCCGGGTCGACCCAGGACACGTTGGAGAGGTTACATCTCCAATCTGGTCCGGGAACGCCTTGGGGTCCTGCCGGAGGAGCTGGTGGACAAGGCCGGGGAGAGGACGGTCTGGAGCTCCCTAATTGGGATGCTGCCCCCGCGACCCGGATAAGCGGAGGAAGACGAAGACGAAGACATATACATATATATACAGTGGGGCAAAAAAGTATTTAGTCAGCCATCGATTGTGCAAGTTCTCCCAGTTAAAATGATGACAGAGGTCAGTAATTTTCATCATAGGTACACTTCAACTGTGAGAGACAGAATGTGAAAAAAAAAATCCATGAATTCACATGGTAGGATTTTTAAATAATTTATTTGTAGATCAGGGTAGAAAATAAGTATGTGGTCCTCCACTTGTTACCTGTATTAATGGCACCTGTTTGAACACATTATCTGTATAAAAGACACCTGTCCACAGCCTCAAACAGTCAGACTCCAAACTCCACTATGGCCAAGACCAAAGAGCTTTCGAAGGACACCAGGAAAAGAATTGTAGACCTGCACTAGACTGGGAAGAGTGAATCTACAATAGGCAAGCAGCTTGGTGTGAAAAAATCAACTTTGGGAGCAATTATCAGAAAATGGAAGACATGCAAGACCACTGATAATCTCCCTCGATCTGGGGCTCCACGCAAGATCTCATCCCGTGGGGTCAAAATGATCATGAGAACGGTGAGCAAGAATCCCTGAACCACACGGGGGGACCTGGTGAATGACCTACAGAGAGCTGGGACCACAGTAACAAAGGTCACCATCAGTAACACACTACAACGGCAGGGAATCAAATCCTGCAGTGCCAGACGTGTTCCGCTGCTGAAGCCACTGCATGTCCAGGCCCGTCTGAAGTTTGCCAGAGAGCACATGGATGATACAGCAGAGGATTGGGAGAATGTCATGTGGTCAGATGAAACCAAAGTAGAACTTTTTGGTATAAACTCAACTCGTCGTGTTTGGAGGAAGAAGAATACTGAGTTGCATCCCAAGAACACCATACCTACTGTGAAGCATGGGGGTGGGAACATCATGCTTTGGGGCTGTTTTTCTGCTAAGGGGACAGGACGACTGATCCGTGTTAAGGACAGAATGAATGGGGCCATGTATCGTGAGATTCTGATCCAAAACCTCCTTCCATCAGTGAGAGCTTTGAAGATGAAACGTGGCTGGGTCTTCCAACACGACAATGATCCCAAACACACCGCCCGGGCAACAAAGGAGTGGCTCCGTAAGAAGCATTTGAAAGTCCTGGAGTGGCCTAGCCAGTCTCCAGACCTCAACCCATAGAAAATCTGTGGAGGGAGTTGAAAGTCCGTGTTGCTCGGCGACAGCCCCAAAACATCACTGCTCTCGAGAAGATCTGCATGGAGGAATGGGCCAAAATACCAGCTAATGTGTGTGCAAACCTGGTAAAGACCTATAGTAATCGTTTGACCTCTGTTATTGCCAACAAAGGTTATGTTACAAAGTACTGAGTTGAATTTTTGTTATTAACCAAATACTTATTTTCCACCCTGATTTACAAATAAATTCTTTAAAAATCCTACCATGTGAATTCATGGATTTTTTTTTCACATTCTGTCTCTCACAGTTGAAGTGTACCTATGATGAAAATTACTGACCACTGTCATCATTTTAAGTGGGAGAAATTGCACAATCGGTGGCTGACTAAATACTTTTTTGCCCCACTGTATGTACATATACACACATGTGTGTGTATATATATATAATGTGTGTGTGTGTGTGTTTGTGTTATTTATGTAATCATATACACACACATTATATATATATACACACATGTGTGTGTATATATATATAATGTGTGTGTGTGTGTGTTTGTGTTATTTATGTAATCATATACACACACATTTAAACTTCATCACCCCTTCACTCTCTGAAACAGACACACAAGATGGAAAAAAAATACCGGTTATTAATATCAGCCCAGTTCTACTTATCAGACTGATACCAATATGTTAAAACAATCACTTATATTGGCCAATATCAATAATGATGCCAATATATCACTCATCCCTAGTAAAAACAGTCTCATTATTTATATTTTACTGGGTAAGAAACACACTCAGAGCCATTAAAACAAATCCAGTCGTGTTTTGGGGCGGGACAGGTTTCCTTCCACTGGGTGAACAAGAAACCAAATACTAAACTTTTATCTTGATGCTTCATCTTTTTTTCTAGTAAAAATTTGGAATAAGTCTCCACAAACAGAAGCTTTTATTGTGAAATGTCTTGTGTGTATTTTTATTCGAAACCTCCAAAGTTTTTCATAATTTTTTTTTAGGTTAAACTGGATTTAAAACTGGTTTGTTGACAAACGACAGGAAACAGAACATGTGTAAAAGCATGAAGAGTTCCTTTTAACACGTTTACTGCAGAACCTGAACATTGTACAGTGTATGGTTCAGAACAATGGAGCGGTCTCTAAAGCTTTGACCCGGGCAGCAAAAACCAGAACGTTCTTCTCCACCTCAGCATTGATCTGGGCCTGCGAGGCTCGTGGGTTTTCCTTGAGGTACTCGGAGATGCTCAAGATGCAATCCCTCTGAGAAGACACACGAAGACAGGAAGTGGAACCAACCCTTTTTCTGAGGTACACAGACACCTGACTGATAAGCTCATTATTTGTTCTGCTGTGGGCTAAGTCAAATAAGAAAGACACACACATTTTTAACTGAAACTCAGTCAGATGCAGACCTGAAGCTGAAGAAATCTCACCTTGAAAGCGTCCACTTTGTCCTGTCCAGTGATCCGGTTCAGCAGCTCTCTGCCAACCTGAACGCCTGTCACCGCGGCCAGCGTCTTCCTGTCTGGCTCTGACTGAGAGGACAGCCAGCGCAGCAGTGCCACCTGCACCACAAGCACAGGTGAATAATTAGAATGAAACAATCGCTGGCTGCAGCAGGTCAACAGATTGTTTAAATTGGCTCCTCTAGCGTCTGGTTTAAAGCTCACCTGGGTGAATGTAAACCTGCCCTGTCACTGAGGCGTCTGCCTGGACTTTCAGGTGAGGAAGTCCATCCTTCATCTCAGGAATTTTGGTCAGAGAGTAGAAGGCTGTTTTCCTCAAACATAAAACCATGTCTGACTTTCACTTTGCTAGTTTTATTTTTCAACCAACCAGAAGGCTTTCAGCCGTAAAAAAAAAAAACATTCCTGACTGTCAACAACAGAAACCATGGAGGAACAACAGACTGGAAGCAGAACACCTCTAGGTCTCTGGACCGGCTTCTACTTTCAGGAGTTTAATGTTACAACGTGAGTGATGTACTGTTGGTTACAACTTGCAGTCTCGACAGCAAGAGAATAACGAGAATGTTGTAAGCAAGGGCGCCCCCAAGGGGTGGCCATGGCCACCCCTAGAAAATTGCTGCCCCCCTCCCCCCAGGAAAAGCCAGTGTTAATACATCATATCAGGCCTAGTCCACACGTAGCTGTTTTTTTTAAAAATGATTATCCGCCCCACCAAAAACTTGCATCCACACCACCTCGTTTAAAAAAAAAACTGTCCACACGTACCCGGATAAATACGTTAAGGACATGCCAGACCTGTAGGCGGCAGTACTTCCCCCGTTCTTAACCTCGTCCTTCGTCTGTGGTCTTCTGCAAGGAGCAGTAATTCCGCTTGCAAGAGCAAACAAGCAAAAAGCGCTTGGACAATTGATAAAGCGAGCGCAGCTCTGAGGGCATCCATGCTGTCGGCTAGTGTAAACACAGGTCGCACACGTGATGTCAGCATTTTTTTTTTGTCACGGAAAGTGACGTTGCGGACCTTAAAACTCCGGTTTTGTCCGTCCACACGCAGACACCCAAAACGGAGAAAACGCTGATATTCACTTTGGCCGGAGTTTTTAAAAAGATCTGTTTTCGTGTGAAAAAACTCCGTTTTCGTGTGGATGACAGGCCAAAACGTAGAAAAAATATCTACGTTTTGGCAGATCCCCGGCTACGTGTGGACAGGGCCTCAGTCAAACCATAAACTGATCTTGTTTTTTCAAGACATTATTGTAAAACCAAATAAAAATAATACAATTAATCAGTAAAGAAATAATCAGAATGAAAAAAATGCAATTGTTTCTGCTGCTCACCATTTAAAACAAGAGACGCCTCTGTCAGTGCGCCCCAGGGCAGCTGTGGCTACATCGTAGCTCATCACCACCAGTGTGTGAATGTGTGTGTGTGAATGGATGAATGATACACTGTAGTGTAAAGCGCTTTGGAGTCCTTACTCTGAGAGGCGCTATACAAGTGCGGGTCATTTATCATTTATTTATCATTTTTAACTCCATATTGTTTTGTGAACACAGCAACACAGGTGAATTAACCTAAAAAAATGCATGTTTAAATTAAATTTGAAAAAAACATTTTAAATAAATGAAATATATTTTCTGAAATATTCGTGTTTTTAAAATTTAGGTAAATTTTGTTGGATACATACTGTTTCTTTGTTTGTTTTGTTTTTTTAGAATAAAAATGAATAAAGGAGCAATGCAATTCATCGCCGCAGGCTAAACTCTCCCAGAGTTACCGCAAGGACCAATTTGGGGTGTCCCTCCAAAAATTTCTTTGGCCACCCCCTATCAAAAATTTCTGGAGGCGCCCCTGGTTTTAAGACATACGAATTGATTAAAAATCGTCTAGATGGGACGAGGACGGTAAAAGTAAAGAAACGTCTCAGGTTCTGGTTCAGATGACCGTCTGCTCAGCTTGTAAATATTTCACAGAACCAGCTGTTCTGCGTGACCCTCGGGTAACCCGAACTGGTCAGAAAACCCAGCTGTGTGTGACATGTTCACGCGTTAATAAAAACAGAGTAGAGGAAGACACAACTCATCCATTCCTTCACACGGGTGCACCGTTTTTGACGCCTCTACCGTTGTACACGAGGACAGAACCCTGATGGGGATGTCAGTACAGGCCGGGACACACAGGCAAGCGCAAAAACACCGGAAGTGCATCTGTGGGGTGTTTTTAACGTCTGTTTTATAACTTTTCGTTCATAAGGTACCCACCAAGCTTCGCTTATCGTGGAAAACTTGACACGTTTACTACAAAGGTGCGCTTGTTTTTGTTAACTTACCTGCTGAAACAGCTGCGCGTTGCTCATCCTCCCCGAATCGAACATGACAACAAACGGGTCAGAGGTCCGAACACGAGCGAAACGGCGAGGTTCCTTAAACTAAACAAGTCCGAATAAATTCAGCCAAAGCTGATTTCTGCATCTGAAAATCGTTCGGTTTCCACAAAAATCTCCAATCCCCACTTCCTGTTTACCTTTTCTTTCTCGACGCCTCAAAGCGGCAGAAGTCGCACTTGCGCCACCTGCTGGTGCGCTGTGGGACTGCTGGGTAAAATGTTTCTCCTTTTAAACTGCTGAATTCAACTGATTTTATTAGTCATCTGTATATTTTAATTCTGTTTAGTATAACCTGTTACAGACTTTACTTCTTTTAGTAATTACTCAAACTGTGCCTGTTGCCAAAATGAAGTTATTACACTATCCTTCACTCGGGTCTGTTGGTTCTTTGCTACATCATAAGCGTATTGACGTGCTACTGTATGAGTGGCAGAGCTGTGGATCAAACCCCCTAAAATCAGATCTCTAATAACAGAAATAACAGAACCGTTGAGCTTTCTGCTGCTGTTGCTTAGACATCAGTTTCCTGATACTCGGACAAATGTTCGACTATCAGAAAACTAAATTTTGTCATTATGGAGACTGAGAATCTTCACCAGCATTAACGTTGTCATCCACATAAAACCGACATTTTTCTTAATGTTTTTATTCATTACTTCATGCAACTCATTTTACTGTTAGAATTTCCACAAACTACTTGCTCTCTCCGTAAACAGAGCAGCAGCTTAATGACGTCATTTATTTCCGTCTCTGAAGCGACTGGAGGTCTCCAAGTTTCAGCTGGCATCTTTGGGTTTAGAGAAGGAGCCCAGCTGCTTGGTGTTGACGTCCCTCAGCTGCTCCAGCTGCCTCTGGCCTCGTCTGTACAAATACTCAATGTGCATCACATCCGTCTTCTTGATGCGAGCGTTCTCCCTGAACTCATCACGGATTCGGGGAATGAAGCCTGGTTTTTCCTTGCCAGCTCGCAGGAATTGCCGATACAGAACCAGGATCTGTTTCTGCAGCTTGCTGTGTCGCAACATCACAAAGTGCCTCCCTGAACAGGGAAGAATCTGGTCAGAGAGCAGCTCCTCACGTAGATCTTCTGCCACCTGGACCAGAATGTTCTCCACAGTAACTCCTCTGGTTTCTACGGCATCTGGATACTGACACAAAGTTTAAAGTAAATGACAGTTTGATCATTTATTCAGTTAAATTATTAAATAAAACGCAACTAACAGACTGAAAAAAAGATATTAAATGTCATTACAAAGAGATGCCTCTTGCAACTAGAGTAATTTATGCAAATATTCATAAACACAGCTGAGCAGGTGATGGAGGATAAACCTGTAACTCACCTGTGTTGAAACGTTTCCCGACTCGGCTTTGAACTACCTCTTATGTCAATAAACTATAAACGAGACGCAAACCAACAAAATATAATGATAAATGTTGCTCAGGAGTTGCGTGACCTTTTAACACCGCAGCAGCGAAAATGTAATAAAACAAAAAAACAATAACCACATGACTTCCGGTGGCATCATAGTTATCAATGATAAAAACTCAGAGATAACCCCCAAAAAGAGTAAAAAAGTGAAACGATTAAAACATTCAGACCAAGCTGTTACGTTGAGATGAGTCCTCCCTCGAAAAAGGGTTCCCCTTTCTGTGGATTTCCGGTCTGAAGGTGTGTCCCTCGTAATACTTCCCCCCGCAAAAATAGCAATTTTATTGGAAGAATTAAAAAATTCTAGGATTTGTATCTGATGTTATAATGTGTGAGGATGTGTGTATCTGACCTTTGAGATATTAGTTTCTACCGAAGAGAGAAAATAACGTTTTTATTGTTGAAGAGGGGGTTACAATTTGTTACTGGACTAACATTGCAAAACATATTCTTTATCACGTTCAGTAATATTTTATAACTGTACCCATAATGCTAAACGGAAGACAGCGTGAAGCTGGTGGAAAAAAAATTTCGACACGTTTCGATGTAACACCGAAATCAGATTATTGTACACTTCCGGTTTGGCTTCCTGGAGCAGCACGGATCGAAAACAACACCGGTGTAAAGCATCGACTTAAGGCAAAAAGGTTTGCGCTTTAAGGAAGTTCATTTTAAAACTATAAACAGTATTTATCCTTGCAAAGATTTTTTGCAGTCTAAATTTAATATTGGAGAGAACGATTGTGCCTTTTGCACTTCTATTATAGAAACTGGTATACATTTATTCTTCACATGCATCTTTACCAAATTTTTCTGGGATAGTTTTCACTCGTGGTTGACGCATAATAATTTCATTATACGTTCCTTATCTTTTTCTGACATCAAGTATGGTATTATTTTGGAAAATAAAATGCAGCAATTCACTGTCAATAATTTGATTATTTTCGCCAAATTCTTTATACTCAAATGTAAATTTGGTAATATCAAACCGATCTTTATTGTTTTTTTTAAAGAACTTGCATCCTTTATGGATTCTCTTAAATTATGTAGTTCCAAGAAAGCCATTTGGCTCTATAACAATTTGGTGAATGTTTCCTTTACCCCTAATGTTGTTTGATGTAATATACTGTATATATATATATATATATATATATATATATATATATATATTATGATTTCTGCAGGTTGATATTGAGCTAGGTTAATATTATTGTTTCTGTTTGTACACCTGCTTTTTTTTGTCATGCTCAGAATTCAACTGTAAATATTGATTCTTATGTAAGCCTGTAAGCTTCATTGGTTAAATAAAACTTGTTAATTAAAAAAAAAAAGGTTTGCGTTTCTCATTCAGTTGGACTGGGGGAGGGGGGGGGGGGTTGAACCGGAAACATTTAGGAGGCCAGCTCAGATAAGATAAAGATCATTATGACACAAAAATGAGGTTAATCATTGAAAGGCAGGTTTTCTCAACGTGTCTTCTCTCATGAGGGCTCGTGATTTTTATCTTGAGAGGCGCCATAGAAATTATATTTTCTTCTTCTTCTTCTTCTGCTACTCATAATGCCTTGCAACAAAAGTCTAAACCTTCAAAATAAGATAAAAATGACTCACTGTACAGGAATTACCCCTTTTTAAAACACATCACGTTTTCCTACATGAAATCTTAAACATGAATCACAACATATTTTTAAATCCCTAAATTATGAACATTCTTTTTTTTAAACATTGCATAACTTTGGGCAGAACGGAAGGTTCTAATAATGTGCCAGATGACTGGGATCATTTCCTCTGTGGTGGTGGTGCTGTTGTGATGAGCCAAACAGAACCAGCAGAACCGTTACAGCTTATTCAGCAGAACACAGAAACTCACAGCAAAGAGTCTTAATAATAATAATAATAATAATAATAATAATAATAATCTATTTTAGATACCAGAACTAGAATTTGGCTTTCATTCTTGAGTTGGTAGCCATCAGAAAATGTATTATTAATTAAAAGAATAATTGATTAAGCTGTAAAATAGTTTGTCCAGATTTAGAGATCAGTGACATGATTTTGTCCTCCTGCAGACATGGAAGTGACAGCAGAGGAGGAGCGTCAGGTGGAGGAGCAGGTGGAGCGTCTGCTGAGCGGCCAGGGGTCAGAGGTCAGCCTCTGTGACGTTGGCCTGGAGTTGAGCAAGCCAGCGACTCTGAGGAAGAACGTCACCTACATCGTCTGCGCCGTGGTCTTGAACGAGAAGGTGAGCTGATGGTTTTCCAGGAGCATCAGCTGGTCTGAGCCGGTTTCGTTTGGACTGACAACACGTTTCTGACTCAGGAGGAGGTGCTGATGGTGCAGGAGGCGAAGCAGGACTGTTACAAGCAGTGGTACCTCCCTGCAGGGAGGGTGGAGGTGGGGGAGAGCCTGGAGGAGGCGCTGAGGAGGGAGGTAAGTCTTTAAAACCAGCATCTGTTGTCATGGTGATAGCCAGACCTCTGATCCGCGTTCTGATGGTCCACAGGTGAAGGAGGAGGCGGGGTTTGACTGTGAGCCAATCACGTTGCTGCTGGTCCAAGAGCAGGGACCACAGTGGATCCGCTTCATCTTCCTGACCAGGATCACAGGTCAGAGGTCACACCTGAGTGCCTCCTCAGGTGGAGGTCGTGGAGCCTGAAGGTGTTCAGAGACAGCAGTAGCTCAGGAGGTAGAGCGGGTTGTCCAGGAAGGTCGCAGGTTTGATCCCGGCTCCGACCAGAGAATGCTACTGTTGTGTCCCACTTAACCCACCTCGCCTGCTGGTGGTGGTCGGAGGGACCGGTGGCGCCTTTGCTCGGCAGCCTCGCCTCTGTCAGCGCGCCCCAGGGCAGCTGTGGCTACATCGTAGCTCATCACCACCAGCGTGTGCATGTGTGTGTGCATGGATGAATGACTGGTTGTGTTGTAAAGCACCTTGGGGGGTTGTAGAACCCTAAGAAGGCGCTATACAAATACAGGCCAGTTACCGTTTGTGCAGATGAACAGCTGCAGTCTCTTGCTGTCTGTCAGGAGGAAGCCTGAAGACTCCCTCAGCAGCAGATCAGGAGTCTCTTCAGGCGTCCTGGTGGGACAGACAGTCTTCCCTCCCTCTCCGAGGACGAGACATCCTCCGTCTCATCGAATACGGACTCAAGTAGGATGCCGTGTTTTAGCTGTTAGTAATGGAATCCTCTAGTCTTAACCCAGCTCTGCTGCCTTCAGGTATCACAGGAGTCCGTGGCACGCTGTCACGCTGCCTCTGGACCTGAGCGGTCGTCATGTGGTGCAGAGACTCGTCTTGGTCTTTGTCGGAGCGGAGCAGCAGGTCTGGGTCCTTCTGGTCCGAGGTGACGACTGATTTTATCTCTAATCTGTTGCAACGTGAATCATGTTGGGTTTTTACCCATGAGCCTCAGCGGTGCGGCTTCTGACTCATTCTCCTGTCGCCAGTGCCAGCGCCCCACCTCCCCTCTGCAGCAGCGCTGAGGACCCACGCGGTGACCTGGGCTGCCAACATGGTGGTGCAGGAGGCCATGCCGTCATCCTACTACGACCACGAGGTCAGCACGCTGGGTGTGTTCAGTCTTCAGCACAACGGTAGGCAGCACGGCAGGACAGACGGCGTGCTCTTCAACACGCTTGTCACCATGGTTCCGGATCGCGTGCAGCGGGACGAGGACGGGCGGACGGTGGACTGGCCCGCTGCGGGGACGCCGCCTCCTGTGGAGAACCCTCGGTACATCTGGGTCAAAGTTCAGAAAAAAGCCCTGAGAGAGAAACTGATGGAAATGACCAAAAACACATCGTTGCTCCCGATCCACAGCCTGTACTGATCTGAGCTTCGTGCATGTGCACACAGGAAGTGACTATAACTGGACTTTTATTATGAAAGGAACCAAAAACCGTTTATTCTGTTGCTTTGTTTTCATGGAGCTGCACCAGAAAAACTCACAAATGTCAGAGCTGCTGTTTGTGTTCACAGAGGAGGCTCCAGGACCA